CAGCGCATAGATCTCTGTTGTGTGTGTGTGTTATGCGAGACAACAATAATAATTTTGCCAAGGTCAGAGGCACAAAAACAGTCAACACACACATTGTATATATATTCACCGTCAATATACCTCAAACGAAAGTACTTTTCGTTATTTAAATCAAATAATAACTAAGGTTTGTTATTATTTCCAAGATATCGGCAAAGCGAGCTGTTGCAAAAGCGATAAAGAAATAATACGCTTTATTTAATCTTCTATGATCCAAGCTCGTAAATATTTTGGCAAGTGCTGTGCATGTGAATTGCATTTGCGACAAGCTTTAAATTCAATTACAGCTGAGCTGAAACTGAATTTGCTCTAATGCAATGCTGCAACTGATGAGCAGCAGTGGGGAATGAAACAGATGCAGAGTGGGCAGAGTGGGTTGAGCAACTGATGTTTAATGTGAATACAGCCGACAGCTGAGTGCCAAGAGCTGCCAGTGACACTCCTACCCCTACCCCCCTCCACTCCCCGCCATTACCGTGTCTTCTGCAGGTGGGGATTAGTTTTGATGGAGCAACTGTGTATTTTCATCGATGTAGTTTGTAGCTGCAGCTAAGCGCTTTAGCGCCAGCACAACTCCTACTAACTGCAATGGCTTTAAAAATGCTTGAATTAAGTTGGCTACAACATGATTATTGGCACACTGTTATATGATGATGAAGCGCAACTGAAGCAAACTCAACCATAAGCCAACTTGTGGTTAGAACACGTGTGCAGCTAAACTAATTTACTACGGTGTTTCGTGTGTGTGTGTGTGTGTTTGTTGGCTATGTGTGTGTGTGAGAGAGTGATTGGGTTGGGCAAGTGTCGACAAACTCAGTGGGACGCAACACACCTTAGCGAAATTGCTAAGCGAATTTAAGAACTAACAAAAAGTTAATTCATTAAAGTAGGAGAAAAAAAACCTTTGGTTTAATGATTTCACGAATGGCCATCTTATTTGTAAGGGTTTATGACAAGTTTAAGTTGTTAATGTGCTTATATAAGCCACTCATTTATAATTGCTTGTTTTCAGCAACTTAATTAATTTAAATCCAACCACGTCATTAGATAATTAGAATGTTTCCATTAATGACTATTTTATAAGCTTGCAGAGGGTGTTATAATTTAGTCGTGTAACGCACTTATGGAGACCTCAAACACTATATATGTATATATTCTTGATAAGCATCAGCAAAATAATCTTTAACATAGGACTGCTGTATCAAACACCTTTCAATCGGTTGGTTTGTCAAACTTAGAACTGAGCAGAATGACTACTTTTATTTTTGATTTGATTATATTTAATTAGCAAGGCACATCTGAAACGTAATCACATGTTGTACGCAACAACACTTATAATTGCTGTTATTATATAGTCTGCGTTATTCAATTGCCGGACTGAGCAAATCTACTGATTTCAGACAAGTTAATCATTTTTGATGTATTTAAATACATCAAGTAGTTATTGATTAAACCAAAGACGTGCAAAGCTGGACAATTAGAGACTGAGTTCCATTATTTTTTTTAAAGAGTGCTCAAGCATTTTGCAAAATATTTGGACTTTCACTTTATTGCCAAGCATCAAACCAAATCGTCAATTTCACTGCCAGCTGTAAACTGTTGCCGCCGCTGCATGTTGCTAACTGCTATTTGCGGTGGCATTGCGACATTACGTATACGCACGGTACACAATTGCAGTTTACACACCCCACAATCCATGCAACACGCTTTCTCTCGGAACTTGCCGAGCTCGCAACGGAAATGGTGAGGAAATGAAAACGGCTTAAGTTTCTTTCTGTTTGGTGCTCTCTGTGTTCTGTGTTTCCTCGTTGTTGTTGGTGTTGTTGTTTTTTTTTTTTGTGTTATGTTTGTGTTTGCTTACCAAGCCAACACCATAGAGCCACCCACTCGGCTGCCTGCTGACTGTTAACTCGATTGTGAGTCAAGTTGAAAGTGGAACTCGGTTCGATCGAACAACTCGCGCAGTTGCACTCTGTCGGCAGACAAACGGACAGGCAGACAGAGGGACAGAGAGACATACTGACTGTGACACAATCTGCCTGCCAGTCGCCGCCATCCATCGCTGCAAGTGAGCTATTTTAAGTTAAGTTGATTTCAAAGCATGTAATTTATTTATGCAGTGCATTGCGTATTACGTGCGAACGCCGAGTAAACCACCTTGACCCACTAATTGGACGCCTCGTCGATATAATGACAACAGCAATAGCAATAGCAATATCAACAGCAATACTAATAGCAACAGCAACAGCAGCAGTAACAACAACAGCAACAGTAACAACAACAAAGTTGCCTATTCGCAAATAGTTTTTTTGCCCTCTCAATTGTTGCCATTTTTCTTGTATTTTTTTATACATATTTTTTCTCACTCATTTTCTTGCCGCGCCTATCGATAAAATCACTTTGGCTGAATCATGTGTTCGCCAGGTGTGTGCAGCCATTGAGAAATACGTATTAAATAAACAGAATTAGAATTTAGAAATCGTGTCTTTTGACAACTTTTCAAGTGCTTAAATATAATTGTGCACTAAACCAGATTTTGCTTAGTCTTATAAATATTTGACAAAATGAAATAGTTTTTGTCTTAAGTGAGTGGAAAAGAGCCCAATTAATTGCCCACAAAATGTCTATTAGAACAATAGAATGCCTACGGGGCCTGCGAGGCCTGCGAGGCCATTTAATCTTCATGGTTAAATGGTTCTGCAAGTGAATTTGCATTTTGTCTTAGTTTCTCCCTTGTTGCTTGTGCCTAATCCCATTATCTATTATTGTTGCTCTAGCACAACCTGAAATACTTAATAGTTGTTCTTAAAATCACATTTAGATTATGCACTGAGTGCTGTGGGTGTTGTGGCGGCATTTGATTGTTGCAGCACTTAGTGCGGAACATGGCCAGAGGCATTTACCTGTCAAGTGGCAAGTGGCAAGTGACAATTGGTAATTGACAAGCTGGCCAATTTGCAATTGCGAAGACAAACACGGCCAACACCCGCCTACCAGGCCAACGGCTGTGGCAGCCTTTATTAGTTTGTAATTTTGGTTTTAATATTTATTTATTCGCCGCTTTCTGGCCGCAGGCTAAGTTGAATATTAATGAACTTAATTGAAAAAGTTTGTCTCGAAAACAAACTGTAAGTGTGTATGTGTATGTCTGTGTGTGTGTGACAGTGTGTGTGTGTGTAGGTGGGTGTGGGTGTGTGTTGATCCACTGTAAACATGCAACAACAAGAACAACAATTCCTTAACTGCTCCTCTGCCAGCCGGGGCAAAAATTAATTTTCAAAATTACGACAAATAAAATGTTGCGGGCAACTTTTCAACAGCGAAACCAAAATCAAGGCAGCATTGGTGGCAGGGGCAGTGGCAGGGGCAGTGGCAGGGGCACAAGTAGAGAAAATTGTGCTTAGGGTGCACGTGGAGCCAAACAACAATAACTGTAACTCGATGCGCAATTTCCATAATTACGCATATTTGGCGCAGACTTATAAATATTTATGCGGCTGGCTTTTCAATGAAGTTCTTCCACAGATTTCTCAAGCGTCTGTGCACAAGTTAAGATAGCTATGGAGTCCCAGATATTCATTTCATAGCTCGTGTGTGTAGACAAGTGCTTTGTTGAAAGGAGCAACTTTTTGCTGCACCAGCCAGTGTGAGGCGAGCAGTTGAGATTAAGCCAAGTAGGTCTCTGTGGGTCTGCTGCCTTAAATAGGCCGAAATAGGAATGTGGTTGATGTGTTCATGCTAAAAACATGTTTGCAGCAAACAACTTGTAATCGCAAAACTTATTTACAGAAATCAAACAAGCTGTGAAGTTTTATTAAGAGTAAAAACTTAAAAATTGGCAGCGCATAGTTTGACTATAACTTGCGACGGATCTGTAATATATATATGTATATTGACAAGCGTGTACAAAGTGCATTATGTATACATATGCATTACAAATATTATTTTGGCGTTGCAGTCACAAGATTAGCATGCAGCTCACGTTCTACGTTTTCTACGAACACGAAAAATCCAACGACAAATCTCAAAAGAGACATAAATTACAAATAAAAATAAATAAAAGAAAATTGTGCAACGTTGAATCACGCGCCAATAAGCGCTGACGCGGATGACACTCGAATGAGCTATAGTATTATGATAATACTTGTTGCCTATGCTGTTTACATGTTTGATGATGAGTTGCTGTTGTTGTTGCTGTTGTTGCTGGACATGGGTATACACATAGATATACATAACTTCCGTGGGTCGTCTAAAAAATGAGCAAGTCGCTGGTCGGACTAGGGGGCCACTCAACAGACTCGATGGCAGACACACGCGTGTGACAAATTACACAAATGGGCATAAAGCGGACGCAACTGGGACTCCAGATTCTACATACACATAAATATTTATATATATATATTTATATATATGTATTATGATTATCTCTTATGTCAGCGCTTGACTTTTCTCGCTTGTTTCGCTTTATTGCAATTAGTCGTAAATTGATTTGGCAATCGCTGGCACTCTGATATATGTTTATATTTTTATGCCCTACACTTGACACTTGGCAAAAGAGCTGGGTACCCCCGATTTCCACTAAATATCTGCCAAAAGAATCGTTGTTTTACATTCACATTTACAGTTCCAGTGCAGTTTTCCTGGGAACTGTCGAGAATCAAAATATAAGTGCTTTAAATTCAATTGAAAAACACCAAATAAATATTTTTAGCTTGAAATTCAATTGTGTTCAGTGGCACTCCCCGCTGGTGTTATCTATCAATCTATTTTTAAAACTATTGACACAAATAAATATCGGCTGATAAACTCTATAAATAACGACAGTCGGCACAAAGTTCCATAAAATATACGATTTTTGTTGTTGCTGATATTTATTAAATTTTAATTCTCATTTTAGAATATGTTTATTTAAATATTTCTCGCACACTGATTTCATATGTACTTCTTTCTACTTCAATCAGCACAAATATGTCCACCGATTCCAGTCGACGCATTCAGGTGCCGGATGAGCTCAAAGAGGTGCTTTTGCAGTTCTCCATCTCGTATCTGGTCGAACAGCCACCGGATCTGCTTGACTTTGCCGCCGAATACTTTAACAAACTGCAGGCAAATCGGCCAACAACAGCCACTGATAACGGGGCCGATGATCAGATAAGCCTCAACTCACAAGATGGCGACGGTAAGTCATAAAGCATATTAAAAAAATTAACTTTAAATTTGAGCATTTTTTAATATTTGTATATTTTTAATGGATGCATTTGAGTTGATAAATTTTAAATACAAAAAGTCGCTAATACTTTGTATTACTGATCTTCTTTGAATTGTTTAGAAATTAAATTCATTATTTATTTTTTAAAATTGTGGCTTTGAGCCAGAAAGAAAGATTTATGAAGTACGTATTTCGGCTCTCCTCTGTTAAATGATTTGAGTTGCTTAAAAAGGTCGAAAGTTATGATTGCAAAATCAATTAAATATTTAAAAATATTTATGCAAGTCATAAATGGAAGATTTGACTTGAAGTCAAGTCGCTGATACCGAGCATTTCTGATTGATTAAGAAGCTTGACAGAAATGTAGTCATTTAATTAATTAAGACATTCGATGTCGCCCATTAATTAATTCTTAAATAGAGCATATTTCAGATGCTTTTACTTATGCTTATGAGATGGCTACGTATACAAGTTTATCCTTTTTTAATATAATATAAAATACTTATCGTGAAAATGTTGAGTTTCTGGCATACTTTATCCAATTGACAGTCTGACAGACAACTAACGACAACCATATAGAAATTGATATATAACTAAATAACTTTTTGAACTATTGAGTCGAACTCTTGACAAATCTTATAAAACTATTTGCCCGCTTCTTTATTAACAATATGATTTATGTTTGATGGTGACAACTATATAGAATGTGATAAAAATAACGTAACTAACTTTTTATACTATTGAGTCGAACTCTTGACACATCTTATAAAACTAGCACAAAACCCGCTTATATATTAATAATATTATTTATGTTTGATGGTGACAACTATCGACTGCTATCGGCTAAAGCTTTGCATAACTTGTGGGCATAACATTTCAACATTTCGTAACAAATATTTATTCATATTGCCTAACTAATTCATCTTTGAACAGTAAAATCAATATTGCCTCTGGCTTGATTACGCCTTGAAATGTGCCCACCTACAAATGAGCAATGCGAACATTGCGTGTCCTGACAACAACAACAATAGCAACAAGAACAACAATTCCGTTGAGGGTCAACTATTTTCATGTCTCGTCATATTTGTGCGTCAATTGTTGCCACATTGCGAGGCATGGCATTAACAGCTTTAACTGCAGCTGCTTTTAGCCCCCGAGGTATTATTTTTGGTTGCCCAACTTTTGTCAAGGCGAAGGAGGGAGCGAGGGGGAGGGGGAGGGGTATGCCACTACCGTCATGCAATTTGACGTCAGACGTGGCAGCGCGCAAAATAAAAGCCGGCCCTTGATTTTGGCGTAAGCCATGCACTAAATTCTAATAATAAAACAGAAAGCCCAACAACAACAACAAAAAAAAACCATAAAAAATGGTAACTGAGTTTGTTGTTGGTTTTGTTGCTGTTGTTGCAAATTGAAAAGTTTTTTTTTTCTTCTTTGCGGTGCTAAAAGTTTTGCTTGTTGCCAACTTGAAACTGTGTAACATTTTTGGGGTGTGTATCTGTATCTCATTATTTGCCATAATGCGTCGCACGTGTGCAGACAATTAGCGCCAGCTGGACACGCAGCCGGATCCCTGCATCCGTGCCACATTCATCTTCCACCAGCACCCAAAGCAAATTAAATAATAATGTTGATAAAGCTGTCAAGAGCAACAGTAACAGCAGCGCCGAGCACAGGACACAGGACACAGAACCTGGACCAGCCGCTGCTCCTTACTCCCCTTGCATTCTTCTGATGCTGCTGCGTTGCGTGTTTATCTTCCGGTTAATCAAACACGCAGCACGGCTCAAGGAACACCGTGTCAAGTGTGCGAATGTGTCTTGCTCTTCAACTTGCTCTTGCTCTTGCTCTGGCACTAAGAAAAAAATCGCACTACTTTTTTCCCCAAGGATAACCCAGACTAAAATAAACAACAGTTAATCCTCAACTCGAGAGAGCAAATTTCATTAATATTTTCTGAAGTTTTTTCTTAGAAACATTATCATTTATTAATAAATTTTTGAAAAATGCAAAAAAGCCTTTCTAATTTTTGCGACATTATTTTTTCGTTTATTTAATATATCTAAAAACAAGAAAGACTTTCTAGTTTTCCTGGTGCTTTTCTAAATTTCAATGCGATTTTTTGTGTGATATTTGTCTTGCTCTTCTTTCAGTACTTTGTAGGGCATCCTGCATTTAGAGTCCTGCTGTCATTAAAAATCTATTAATTGCGCACACAGCTCAAGAGCTGGACAAACAACCACAACTCGCCTCATTTTCTTTAGATATACACACATATATATCTCAATTACCAGCTGGAATGAAGCGAATTTGTCAAAGTCTTTTAAATCTGACACCTCTTTAAAAATTTCTACGCAGCGCTTTGATTTTTATTTTAATTAAATTGGTTTGAAGTGGATTGGAGGCAAATGAAATCTTCGCCAAAGAAATCTGTGAACCAAGCAAGGCTCTGATTTGCAATTGCCAATCTGTTTTCGCTTAAATTATATTAAAGCACAAATGTTTTCTAGCCTAACTATGGCTTCCGTAAAATGAGTTTCTATTATTATTATTATTATTATTATTTATTAGCTAATGTGAAAACTGAGATAGCTTTTCAAATAATCTGAGTGCGTTGATCAACAAAAGTGAAGCACTTTTATATATATTTGTAAATACAGTTAAGAACAAGCCTGTCATTTAATTGAAGTTTGCATTAGACTCGTCTCACTATCGTTTTCACCTTTTTTTTTTATTGATGCTGTTGCTTCCGCTGCTGCAAATTTGTCTTTGGCTTTGCTCAGTGAAGCCCTCAAAAGTTCAGCTGAGCGTAAGCGCAAAACGCAAATAGCTCTCACGTTTATGTGTTTGAGTGTGTGTGTGTGTGTGTGTGTGTGTATGCCACGCCCCTTGCAGTGCTTTGATGTCTATTTATGGTCAGGCGAAGCTGTTTTGATTTAAATACGCTTTAAGCGCCGCACGCACACATAAATAGCGCAGTCGAGAAAACACTTGCATGAAATATTAAGTATACGTTCAGTAATTTTTTGCGGGTGCCAAATTGTGGCCTAATAAGGTGTGTGCGAGAGTGTGTGTGAATGAGTGTGTGTGTGTGTGTGTGTGTGTGTGTGATGAGCTTGTCGTACATTTTATTAACGCTCACGTTGGCCACAAAAAATATGCCAAGCAGCGCAAGTGAGACGGCAAGGTTGAGGGAATAAGACACATGTGAGATGTGGAGAGTGTGGAGTTAAAGCAATGGGCGCCCATTGAAGCATGCGGATGAGCAGCCGTAGCAGCAGCAGCAGCAGCACCAGCAGCACCAGCAGCAGCGGCAGCAGCGTCAGCTTCGCAGTTTTGCGCTTCAGCTGGCACAGGAGCAGGGTGGGTGCTGGGGTGATGTTAGCTGCCACGCCCATGCGCTGTCATGGCTTTAGCTTTGCGAGCTACATTTTGAACATTATTGACATGCCAGCGGCGTTTGCAGCAGCACGGAAATGACTGGTCATGTTCTCTGTGTGTCTGTGTGTGTGTGTATGCTTGTGCCTCCTGTTGCGCTTAATGATAAATATAAAACAACAACAGCAGCAGCAGCAACAAATGCTCATGTTAATCGAGACAAAGCGACGCTCGACGCTCGACGCTCTCTCCCTTATTTATATACCACAGACAGAGGCTGACAACCATTTTTTCATGTGTGCGCCTGTATTTATCTATATGTATATTTGTATATATGTATGGCAAACCAACACATTTGCACATCTATCTCTTGTGCTGTTGCCTACTTACAGGCACTATTTCCGCCTTTCATTTTGACGACTTGTGGCGAGCATTTGTGGCCTGGCTCAAAGGCTGCTGCGGCAACGACAGTGGCTTTAGTCGTTAACTAAACGTCACTCCGCGCACAAGACGGAGTCAGTCAACGTACCAGTCAACCAGTCAACCAGTCAGTCAACCAGTCAGTCAGTCAGTCAGTCAGTTAACTAACAGCATGTCATCATCAACATCATTGTCGTCATCATCATCATCATCATCATCATCATCATTGTCATCATCCCATTAGCATTCACATTGCAAATCTCATTCGCGTCATCGTCTCCATCTCTCATTCCGTTAACGAACTTAATGCAGTCAACTTTTTTATTTGCCATTTTTTAATTAAATTTGCTCGCGCGTGTTTGCCAAGTTTTTATTACAGTGTGTTTGTGTTTGCGTGCGTGCGTTTGGCCTTAAAACCATATTTAAGCCAAAATAAATTTGATAACAATTTACTAACACATTGCTAAAGCCAATATTAAATATCGTTTACTAAGTGCTCAATTTGCACTTTTCACATTGATTAATGAAATCAATTGTTTGCCTATTGACTTGTTAATAATTTATTTGCTTACGTATGTCAATAATATGGGCATTTCAATATGTAATATTGACTAACGATTTCTATATTATTTTCTGTTACTGTTTTGACAAAGATGACTTTGAAATTTATTGCATAAACAAATGCCTGTAAAGTGTCGGAAAATTTATAAGAAATCAAGCACAAGTTACGTTTTCGACTTGACTTTGAAAATGATTTATATTTTGATATGCCTAAGCAGTAAAATGCTCATTTATCTATAAGAACCACAAAAATTATTTGCCATTTTGAAATCAAAGCATCAGAGCAGCAAATCTAATCAAATAAACATAAATGTGACCAAAGCTAAAACACAAGATGATGGACAGGCATACATACATATATTCTATATGTTGATACTTCCTCCAATTTATACATACCTATATGTTCTAAATATAGTATGATGATACTTCCTTCCATTCACTACGAGATTTTTCTTACTAATCAAAGATTCCTTGCAAGCTACAAATGTAATAAGGACACCTTATTAAACATTTCCTGTGAGTGTTGTGCTATTATTACTCTCGCAGCTGTACATATTCTATATATAGCGTGTGCATATTGCCGTCCATCCATACATAATTGTGTTATATATAGTAAGTCCATACTTCCGACCTTCCTCCGACGTAATCTTGTCGTTAACATCCGTGCGTTGTCCACATCCTGTTACAAAGCAAGCTGTAATAAATACTTTACTACAATTGAGTTTGCTGCTCCGCCCTTTAACAGCTTCAGCTCAAGGATAACGCCAAGACAATATATATATATATATAGATAAATGTGTGTGAACCATTCAAATGGCAAGTATCCCACTTGACACGACTTTTAACCATCGCATTGCAAAGACACTTTTTTTATTTTTTTATTGTTGGCTGTTGAAGATAAGTTTCTGAAGTGTTTCAATCGTGAAGTGCGCGCTGAGATTTCGAATTGTTGATTTTTGCTGAGAAACGCAAGCGAAATAAACTTGCTAGCTCGAATCTAAAACAAGACAGTCATCACTCCGCAGTGTAGGCCAGGTGCATAAATATTTATTACGCATACGCCGCGTGTGACAGTCAATACTTTTGCGTTGATATTTATTGTGTGCGTTTTGAGCTTTCACCTTGAGTTTTCAGTTGCAGTTTTTCCAAAACGTGTTCGCGCACAACTGGTTTTTGATTTTCGCGAGGCTGTTGAAAATACATAAAATAAAAAAAAAACCTGCAACTGCAGCAATAACGAACTATTCCAGCCACAACAACAAACAACAAATCAAGCGAGAAAAGCCATAAAAAAATTATATTGAGTGCAGAGCATAATGTCTACGCAAGTGTCTAGCAATTTATTGGCCGGTAAGCAACAACGAAAACAACAAAAAAAAAAAACAATATCAACATACCTAATATGAAAATACGAAAAATATATATTTTTTTTTGGTCAGACACGTCGCACGCACAATTATAGCTATATAGATAATTGTATCTATTGATCTACAGATTTGGATGATGCAAGCCACAAACAGAAAAAAAAACACACAAAATACATACACATAACAGCTATAAGTACTCGACAAATAGATTAAATATAATATGGCAGGTAGACGATAGATAGCGTAATCTTAACTTGGACAAAATCTGATCAGTGTCGTTGAATTGATGAAATCGATTCTATTTTCTAGAATATATGTACTTAATTCAGCACCAAATTGGTTAGGCTTTTAATAGTTCTTTTAGTTTTATATATTCGATGCTAAATAAAAATATATTTTGTACCCAATTTGCTTGAGTTCAATGTAAAAATTATAAATGCTAAGTATTTTTGTTAGGATTGGAAACTTGTTGGCAAAGTGTATATGAGAGCACAATAAAAGTTGTGGTTGTAAATTCGAATATATATAGTGTATATATATATAGAGAGTTGAACATATATATTTTATGTGTGTGCTGGAAAAATGAATAATTGCTGCAATTGTTTTAGTTGTTTTCACTTATCCCATTCCATCTGTCTCGTTTGTCTCAACTTTGCGCGCTGATGAATTGCAAACATTTTGCTGTTTGTGTATGTAGCCAAGCAAGTTGTTGTTTTTGTTGTTGTTATTGTTATTGTTGTTGTTGCTGGTGTTAATAAATACATCATCAAAGCATTGGCAGTGCAAGTAGTAAAACTGCCAACTAGGCGTAATTATTGCAAATGCAGATACAGATACAGATACAGATACAGATACAGATACAGATACAGATGCATACAGAAAACACATTCATCTTAAATATCTGCTGCTGTATCTAAAGGGGGCTGTGTTGATCTTCTTTTTATGTGTGTTTTCAGACACACACACACACACACACACTTGTATATATATAGCAGAGTCATCTCTATATATCTCTCACGCCTGATGTGTGGGCAGCTGGACAGCCTTGGCTCAGCCACTGCCCCACCTCGCTCCCCTATCCCTGCACTCTGCTTGTGTCTGTTTTATGTCTGTTTTGTCTGTTTCATTTTCATTCAGAGCGAGTGCATTTTATGTCGCTTATGCATTCGATTTGATGAGACAGTTTCCAGCAAACTTGACGCAGCTGGTTAGCAAAAAAAAAAAAAAAAAAAAAAAAACACTAAAACACAAATGCTGACGCAAAGTGTATGTGTGTGTGTGTGTGTGTGTGTTATGAGTACACCCAAGCACATTCCCCAGCTAATACAATGATGGCCTCAAGATGATGATGGTTTTGGGAGCGGGGCGGTGTTGAGTGGAAGCGCATCCGGCAGCATTCAACTCAACTCATCACAGTCTCTAATCATCAGTGAATTCCTGTCTATCAGTCCTCTGCACCTCTCTGCGCTCTTACCCCCGCTTATTTAATGAAATTAATGTGTGACATGAAGCCAGAAAGTGGACCTGCTCTTCTTGTGTGTCTGTGTGTCTGTATACTTTAGTTAATGAGCACAAACATGAAAGTCAAACTGGCGCAGAGGACATTGTCCTCAATGGAGACATCTACTTAATGCATAACCAACACAGACAACGTTTAGGCCAACAACCAAATGAACTGGCCATTTTCATTAATTAGGCGCATTCCACAAAACATTTTGTGTACCAGAAAACAGCAAAGGTTTACTCTTAGATCGATTTGATATGTGAACTTACGACGAGTCAATAATATATTTTTGAAGGAAACTATTCAAACTTTTCCATTTATTAGCTATTTTATTGCCAATTTAAGTTGTAGAAAAACAACACACAGCTTGAAGCAATCAAAATACAGCAAATAATTTTAAATATACAGGAAAAAATCATATTTATAGCAATTTTACTAAGATTTATATCTGAAAAAATGTAGCTTTTGTTGTGATAAAGTTCAAGCATTAATGTTATTCAATATTTTGGTTTTCATCCATAATATTTACAGCCGAACCACCAATAGTACAAAGCACACGTCGCAAATCCGTGTTCGCCGAGGCTTACGATCCGGAGGCGGACGACGATGATGAGGGCGCCACTGCCATATTCCCCAAGACAGATGACCAGCGGGCGCGTCTCGTCGAGTCGGTGAAGAATGTGCTGCTCTTCCGTTCGCTGGAGAAGGAACAGGTGCGTATCTAGCACATAAATCTCTGGCATGTTTCCTTCACCACGCTACACAAAAGCCAAGCGAGCTCTTTTCGCACAGACACAGACAACCGCAAAAGCCGAAGCACGTTGTCTGTGTGTGTGTGTGTGTGTTAGAGTGTGTGGTGTGTTTTGTGTGGATGCCACTCCATCTTTGCCATTCCGCTGTTGTTGTGTAAATGCCTTCTGGCTGATTTCTGTTGTCTTGTTTTATGTTTTCGCACAGATGAATCAAGTGCTGGATGCGATGTTCGAGCGGAAGGTGGAACCAGGCGATTTCATCATACGCCAGGGCGATGATGGTGATAACTTTTATGTTATTGAATCGTAAGTGCGCCAAAATGCTAGAATAATGCTCTTAAATTGCGTATACGTCATGTGCGACGCAGCCGCTCCGTCAAAGTAGGCAGCAATATTTTTCACATACACACGAGACGTATGCGCAATTAATTTGTATTTATTTCAATTTATTTCGTTGCTTCATTCTGATTGATTAATTCTCGCGCCTATTCCACAGTGGCATCTACAAAGTCTATATAAATGATAAACACATTAGCACCTACAACCACACCGGACTATTTGGTGAATTAGCGCTGCTCTACAATATGCCCAGGTAAGCAAATATTCAACTCTAAAAAGGCCTATCTCATCGCAGACTAGACAAATACCGAAATATCGAATTATTTACACCCGCTGACTGTGCATGAAATGTGCTAATTTCTCAATTCCAACTCGACACTTTTGGCTATTTCCATCAATTTCTTATGAGAGGGGTTTATTAAGCGGGGATAGGTGTGAGATGATTTATATCTCACAGCTTAAATCGATTAAAAAAAAATAGCATTTTATTTCTACAACATTTTAAAGCTAGCGTTTAGAGATTTTGAGGGTATCTTTAACCTGGAATGCAGTATTATTCTATGATTTCTTTTTAAAATGAAGCTATGTGAGTTTAAAAATGTGAAGTCCAATATTAATTAAGGTTTTATTTTTTAACAAATGTCCAGAGCGGCCACCGTGCAGGCGGAAACCGTTGGCCTACTCTGGGCCATGGATCGCCAGACATTCCGACGCATTTTGCTCAAGTCGGCGTTCAAGAAGCGAAAAATGTACGAGGAGCTGTTGAACAATGTGCCCATGCTGAAGGCCCTGCAGGTGAGCAGCAGACAGTTGGAATATGCCAAGCCAGAATATTAGAATATATATATATAATTTCGATACTTTTGCAGAACTACGAGCGCATGAATCTGGCCGATGCCCTGGTCTCCAAGGCATACGAGGATGGTGAGCGCATCATCAAACAGGGTAAGCCCAACTCGTCCAAATCTTTCTGCTAATGGTTAAGAGTATTTTCGATTGGTTTGGTATATTTGCGTAGGTGACGCTGCTGATGGCATGTACTTCATTGAGGAGGGCACCGTGTCTGTGCGCATGGATCAGGACGATTCGGAAGTGGAGATATCCAAACTGGGCAAGGGCCAATACTTTGGCGAACTGGCACTGGTCACACATCGGCCACGTGCCGCATCCGTTTACGCCACAGGTGGCGTCGTTAAGCTCGCATGTAAGTCATCTGCGAGCCAAGTTCGTGACACTGAAAGCCACTTAAAGGACTCGCTTTTGGCCAGCACTATTAATGCTTATTCTCATTTATTTTTTCTGTTCTTCTTTTCTGTTTATCGCATATTTTGTTTACGCACTTACCCCCCCGATGCCCATTTTGCACTGTTGTTGTTGTTGTTGTTTCGTGTTGTGTTTGTGCCTGTCGCTTTCCGTGTTGTGTGTGTCTGTTTTGTGTATTTCTGCCTAATGCGGTGTAGTCCTGGATGTGGTCTGCTTCGAGCGACTCCTGGGCAGCTGCAGCCGCCTCCTGCAGTGCGGCATTCGGGACTATCGCTACCTGGAACTCGATCTGCGTGCCTATTTTGATAGCCTGCTAACCTTGTAGTTGACTTTCTGCTTAATGTATTGCTTCAAAGAGGGGGGCGGGGTGTCAGTAGGGAGTGATTACTTGTTAGAATTATCGCATTTTACTCTCTTATAAAAGAAATAGTTCTTAAAATATCACTTTAATGTCACATGCAAACTCTCTAAGACTTTGAGGCAGAGATTGAGATAGCAATCAAGCCAGAAACTGAGTTAGGCATATAACGGTGTTATTGAATGAATCAAGTCAAAGGAAAAATGAGAGAAAAAATATGGAAATACCAAGAGAAAGTGAGAGCAATTGAAAGAGAGAGAGATTTGAGGTGGATTTGGGAAAAGCGATTGGTAGAAAACAAAAGAAAACTGTAGAAAGAGAAAGATTAGATTGGCTAGAGAATGGGAAAGCGATAGAGAGAAAGAGAGAGAGAGAGAGAGAGTGAGGGGCACAGGAAGATTACAAGAATAGAGAGGACAAGTCAGTGAGAGAATGCGAAAGTTACCGCCTGAGCAGAGAATGCAACCAGGAAACTTGATGAAATGAAGAGACTGAAAAACATATCAAGAGAAAGAGTAAAAGAGAGAAATTTAGAGAGAGTCTGCGACAATAGCCATGGTAAAAGAAAACTCGAAATCTACAGAAAGGACATTCAGATTTGAGTTTAAATTGAGATCCCAAATGAGATTTGGCATAACAAGTGCGCACCAACATTGTTTTTATATTAAGTACAAGTACACCTCCGCCCCCCTCATAATTATTTCTATTTGTAGTATTGTAAGGTTATAGCTCTAATTGAAATTCCGTCCTAGTCCTAGACACGGATGCCTTCGAGCGCATCCTGGGCTTCCTTACCGACGTGCTCAAGCGCAATATTCTGATGTACGAGCAAATGTTCACCGAAATGGCCCGTCGCAATACCAATCTGTGAAATCAATCAAGCGTTATTATTATCATCATAATTATTTTTGTTGTTATTATTTTTGTGACTAAAATTTATTGTTCAGCAAGAGAGAAAAGGAGTGAGAGAGCGAGCCAGTTTGTGTAAATGGAGTCATTAAAAATTGTACAGTTGCGAAGTAAACATCAATTTATATGCAGTTTTTATTTACTTCACACAAATATATAAAACAAAAACACTCACACACATACACACTCACACACATTCAGATTGGCACAAAAAATCGCACGTATACGCAACGTTAGCCCAAGCCACATCAAAATGTCTGCTGCTGACACAGACATAACACAACCAACAAACAAACAAAAAACTGGGGAAAAATACACAAATAAAAAGTCGAAAAAAAAACCCGAAAAAAATACGTTTCCATTGTGTGATTGGTAAGCGCAGCTCTATATAATATTTATGAGTTGAGGCGCCTGTGGTTAATGGCAACGGGTTCAAACATATGCATATGTACATTCCGCATAAATATATAAATATATATGTATATATGGGCAGTGTGAATTCCTGTGGGTCAACGGTTGTGATCTATGGTCCTTAATGATAACTTTACTGTCATGTTTACTAACATTATTATTATCATTTTTATTATTAGCCATTATTTATGAAGGTTAAGGCATGTCCACAAAAATATTCTCGCTTTTTTTTCTTTGCATATCATAAATAATTGTTATATATTTGATTTCTGATTAACAGTTCTTGATGTGAGGGCATTTGAGCGTCTGCTCGGACCCTGCATGGATATTATGAAGCGCAACATTGATGACTATGAATCGCAGCTGGTTAAAATATTTGGCAGCAAAAATAATATCACCGATACACGATAAAAAGTCTGAACAACAACAACAACAACAAACAAACAAACAAACAAACAACAATAACAAAATGCAGCTACAACAACCACAAGCAGGCTAATGGGTTTAAAAGGACTCTGCACAAACTAAACGAAGGCATACATACAACAACCAACAACCAACAACCAACATCAACAACATCAACAACAACAGCAATAACAAGCATGCAATGCACTAACACAACCAATACAAGCGCAAACCAAACAAACATACACACACACCTACAAACACACACACAACACTTACACACGGACCCTATATATATATATAAAAGTAAAGAACTTGATTTAATTATGTTTTAAGCTGAGGCTGGTTAATGAAATACAAAAACAATGATTACGATAATACGCTAATGATAATGATAATCATAATGTTATTTGCGTTATATGCGATGTTTTACATACAAACTCACGCACACTTAAGCAAAAATATTGTATGTATGTATTAGCAATTGTAATTTAATGTATTTAATTGAAAAACAAAGAGAAAAATAACTTATAACAAAACCATTTTTTTGTGTGTCATTAGCTCGAAGAAAAATATTAAGTGCATAGTTCATAGTCTTGTTTTTTCTTATTTTTATCTATTATTATTATTATTATTATTATGATTATTATAATACTAATTTGTTATCGCTTGATTTACGTATAATTTAGCACAATATATAGCTGAAAAAAAAAACTAAAAATATTAAAAAAACAACAAACAAAGCTCGTTTTTGCATAAGTTTAACAATCGAAAAAATAAACAACAAATCCAGCAAGTTGATGGAGTAAAATCAAATAATGAAACTTGCAACTTGCATAACTATATATATAAATATATATAATATATATATATATATATATATATATATATATGTAGGTATGTGTATATCAAATGAGCGCAAATGGAAACACATCAAGCAAAGAGTTTATATCTACAAAAACACAAATTTAAATACTTATATAAAGTAAAACCTACACATATGCATACAACAAATCTTATTTATTTATAAAGTAAAGTAAAACAAAATCAATCATTGTACTAGTCTATATATGTAAAAATTGCTGCTTGCAGTCTTTACAAATAACAAGAAAAACAAAAACAAAACAAAAAAAACTAAATCAAAAAGCAGCTGGCAAATGTTGCGCAATAAAACACCTTTGAAATTGTTTAAATATATATTTGAGACACGCTTAAAGATAATGTTATGGCCCAGAACAACACCCCTTCGAAAAGCAAAAAAAAAAATCAAAAAAATCAACTGAAACAACCCCTGTTTTTGGGTTTCCAGCCAGTCAGAAACTAGATCTTCCAAAAACAAATATGTTGACAGTTCAGTTAAAGATTTCCATAACAAAAGAAAAACAAAAAAAAAAAACAAAAAACGATCTCAATATAAGCAAAATTTAATTGTTATACCATTTATTACGAATTTCATTTCAATTTCAATTGGCTCTACAAAGCAAATGGCTAAAGGCACAATCAATTATATATGTTGCATGGGATCAAACTTAGAAAACAAAACTTTCAATACACGATACGTTATGATATGATATGATATATGTATCTAGCGGAGCAAGTATATACATACACATATGGTGCAGATCTGCTCAGTTCTTAACAAAATGGTATTGGCATTATGGTCTTGGATGGGCTAGACACGAGTACCATATAGTATTGTAGTTAGAGCGAAGCGTAGCGCAAAAGCAAAGCAATATCAATGGCCTAGATGTGTACTTAGTAGAGTTCTATTTTGCAATTCCAAATAGTTGCCCACCCTTACCCTTACCCTTACCCACTTGTCCATATATCCCTCACTTATATCCCCCTCCCAATTCTAAGCTCTAAGCTATACTCTATCCACGCAAACATGTGCAACTACGCATATATATATCATGTACATGTATCTGTATTTATATATACTACTTATAAACTGAATGAGCTTAAAATATGGTAAACCCAAACTCCAGTACTTTATAAACGTTACTTTATTGCTTGTAAAATGCGTAACTAAAACCAAATTACTTAAATGTACTTTGTAGTTATGTAAAAGCAAATATAAACAATTTAACTGGCATACCAACAGTCGAAAGGTGTTCACAAAAACTATATAAAAACAAAAAAAAAAAACAAAAACTAATAAAAGAAAATATAACAAAACTAAGAAATGCAAATATCATTAAATTAAAAACTTGTTACACGTGACATAAATAAAATAAATACAATCAAAAAACAAAAACAAACAAAAACATGAGAAAAATTTAAAGTAAATATGTTTAATCCTATATAATTGGTGTCTAGTCTATGTTCAAGACTTTAAAAGCAACAAATTCTTGAAAACACACAAAATAAAACAAAATAAAACAACCATCATAGCAACAAGAAAGCATGCATAAATATATCAAAATAAAATGAAAACCAATTAAAAAATATGATAGCGAACATAATTATATAAGAAAGCTGAAAGTGCTGGCCATTTTCTTCTAAAAAAAAAAAAAAAAAAAACAACAACAAATGAGAAACACAACACGCACAATCCACAGCACATACATAATATACTCACACACACAAACACACTCACACACAAACAAACAAAGAAACAACCAATAAGCAAAGCTCAAAGAAAATTAAAAACGAAAACGTGAAAATGATTAATAAACAAACATGAATTTTGAAATGAAAACGCGCTAAAAATGAAAACAAATTTCAATTTTAACTGTTGTGTTGTAATTATGCATAAAGCGTATTTAATTATGTATGTGTAACAAAAAAAAAATACAAAAATCAAAATAAATATGTATGTATGTATTTAATGAGCATATTTAAAATGTAGACACGGCAAAACAAAACAAAAAAAAAATCAAAAAACAGAAAAGAAAAGAACATTTCATTGGAACTTTGCAATAGGCGTTTATAAATTAAGGAAAATCAAATCAATCCATTGAGAAACGCCACACAGAAGCTGCTTAAAAAAAAGAGATGGAGAATTCTTCAAATTATTTGCTTTTCATTTAACCAATGCCAAAAAAAAGATTGATTTGAATTTGTGTCATTTGAGCGCAGCAACAATTGGCATGGATAAATCTTATATAGCATACTAAGTTATAGTATTGTGAAAATATTCTTCAGATACCGCGTTATGTGTCGCAAAAAGCAAAAAGCCGAGGCAAACATGACGAAATGAATACAAGTTTAATAAAAGCGATAAAAACACTAATTCATTTGCAGTTTTTTTTTATTATTATTTTTATTTCAGAAGTCAGCTGCAATCCTATCAAATTAACGTTCCAGATAAGCATATACATATTCGTCTACGGGGCATCTCTTAGCCATAGTACTCCTACACCATTAAATCCAGCATTACTGTATGCTTACAGGGTATCGTCGAATTGAGCACTCTTTACTAATTTCCAAATGCAAATGATCCGACTTTATAATTTTTATTCACTTAAAAACGTAGCTCCAAATACACTTATAATTTTAAGATGTTTAATATATGTATGTATGTGTATATGTGTATTGTTTATTATCATTATAATGTATATAGAACTCCAATATCGGTCGCTCATCTACTCTCCGATAATGCACGAATGATAAGTGAGGCTAATGTTCTTCTGGTTTTTGAGAGGCGCCAATTACAAATTACAATTTGATACACGGATTGGTATCAAATTTTTGTTATCGAATTATATTATTTTAATATGTTGTTCTTGCTTTTGTTGTTGTTGTTGTTGAGCTGTATTTTGTGTTGTTTTCTACGGTTTGCTGCTGCTGCTGATGATGGCGCTGCTGCTACACTTGATTGGCCGCTTCTGCCTTCACGCTGAATGTGTTTAAAATTGTTGCTGTTGTTGTGGTTGTCGCCCGGTTCTGTTTTGTTTTAGTTGTTGTTGTTGTTGTTGTTTTAGGAGGAAAAATTCATTTAAAAATTGTGGTTTTTGTCTTTTGTAAAACTAGAAATCTAACTATAAAGATCATCATCGCCATTGTCGCCTGGCGAGTTAACTGGCATATTGGTGCCAGACCCTGAGGTGTTGCCGGCATTACCGGGGAATCTGTAATTAATTGTGACAGACAAATTAATAAAAATCTCAATTATCATAAATAAAAGACATCAATTTCAATTCGATCGAACTTACCTAAAGTTTTGTCCAAATCCACGGGACTGTTGCAAAGTCTGGGCGAACATCTCGTATTTACGTATATCGTTGTCCGACACGGAGCGACGAGCAAACTTCATTGCCTCCTCAAAGTGGCCACGCGTTATCTCCGGCACTGGGTCATCCTCGTCCATCTTCAAAATAACAATTACACAAACATAAATATTCCTCAGATGAGCAATATGCGATCGCACTTACGTCCATAGCGGAGTTCTGGTTCTCGGCCCGATCCTTTTCGCGGCGTATCTCGGCCTCAATCGCCTGTCGAATGGCCAGCTTGCAGGCGCGCTGACAGATCTCGGTTAAATCGGCACCCGAGAAGCCCTGCGTCACCTTGGCAATGTATGTCAGGTCGACCTCCTTGGCCAGCGGCGATTTGCGCAAATTTGCCTTAAGTATAGCCTCACGTGACTTATCATCGGGCAATGGAATATAGATCAGCTGATCTAAGCGACCCGGACGCAAAATGGCCGGATCAATGATATCCGGCCGATTGGTGGCGCCAATAATAAACACATTCTTCTTGGCACCCATGCCATCCATTTCGGTTAGAATCTGATTGATAACACGATCGGCAGCACCGCCAGCATCGCCGACATTGCCGCCACGAGCCTTGGCAATCGAGTCCAACTCGTCGAAGAAGAGCACACAAGGTGCCGCCGAGCGGGCCTTGTCAAAGATGTCGCGCACATTGGCCTCGGACTCGCCGAACCACATGGTCAGTAGCTCGGGTCCCTTCACCGAAATAAAATTTGCCTGGCATTCGTTGGCAATGGCCTTGGCCAGCAGCGTCTTACCGCAACCGGGTGGGCCGTAGAAGAGAACGCCACGGCTTGGTTGCATGCCGAACTTGAGGAACTTGTCGGGATGTTCGACTGGGTATTGGACCAGCTCCTGCAGCTCCTTCTTCACGTTCTCGAGGCCGCCAATGTCTGTCCAGGTGGTGTTGGGCACCTCCACAACCGTTTCGCGCAGCGCCGATGGGCTGGACTTGGTCATCGCATACCGGAAGTTCTCCATGGTGACAGCCAGCGAGGCCAGCACTTCGGCATCAATTTTATCATCTTCCAGATCGATCAGATCCATCTTCTCACGGATTTGCTGCAGCGCAGCCTCCGAGCACAACGAAGCCAAATCGGCACCGACATGACCGTGAGTCTCGGCAGCAATCTGCTCAAGATCAACATCCTCATGCAGTTTCATGTTCTTGGTGTGTATGCGCAGCACCTCCAAGCGGCCGGTGGCATCCGGAATACCAATATCAATTTCACGATCGAAACGCCCGAAGCGACGCAGCGCTGGATCAATAGAATTGGGCCGATTGGTGGCCGCCATGACAATCAAGTGCGAGCTCTTCTTCATGCCGTCCATCAGCGTCAGTAGCTGCGACACAATGCGACGCTCCACCTCGCCGTGCGTCTTGTCGCGCTTGGGTGCAATCGCATCGATTTCATCGATGAAAATAATGGCCGGCGAGTTCTTTTCGGCCTCCTCAAATGCTTTGCGCAGATTCGACTCGGATTCGCCGGCCAGCTTGGACATGATCTCGGGTCCGTTGATCAAAAAGAAGAATGCGCCCGTCTCGTTGGCAACGGCGCGTGCAATCAGCGTTTTACCAGTGCCGGGTGGGCCATACATGAGAATGCCACGCGGTGGCTTCACTCCGATCGCCTTGAACAGTGACGGATGACGCAACGGAAGCTCAACCATCTCCTTGATCTGTGCCAGCTGCTTGCGGCAACCGCCAATATCGTCATAGCCCACAGCATTCAAAGACTCCTCCTCCTCCTACAGCGAAGCGTGAAATTTTCATTGAGCGTTAAACAAACAAATTCAACTCGAACGCAGCACAGTGGATGAAAATGGCCAAAAAACAAAAAGAATGCTTTCTTTGGTGAATCTAATGCTAATACAAAATATGTCTGATGTCTTGAAATATTGGAGTACAGAAAAAAGACGGATCTCTAAACCAAGTTACTGATAGTTTAGTTAACACAGATGCAGACCGACTTCAACTCCACGGTTGATGCTGACCAAGATATACTTGGTCATATAGGTATATAAAATCAGGTCGTGAACATAGTCCACATCAACCCATTTACCAGTTAAACCCAGGATAGCCATTCACTGCGCTGCGTGTACTTAACAACTCTCACAGTCAGCTTACCTCGCGCTTGATGGGATCACCATCGCAGAAGATGACCGTTTCGGGAGCTACAATGCAGTAGGGCTCGGGATCGGTGAGCACCACTTTGAACTCAATGGGGCGCATGGCGGCGCGCACAATGAAATTGTCACCCATGTGAATGGGACGATAGGCCTCGAGGAAATAGGGTTTCAGATAGATCTCAAAGAGATTGCCCGTAACGCCCTCGGTGGTGTCATCGATGGGCAAGATGCGTACACGCTTGCCGTACTTGACATCCGGGCAGGATTGCACGGAGACAACGTCCGCCACGTGGACGCACAGATTGTTGCGCACAACGCGATTCATGCGGATCTTCTCGTCGGGACAGGTCTCATCCGATAGCACAATGCAGACCGTCTCCTTGCGTCGCTTGCCCTTCAGAATGACGGTGTCGCCACGGAAGAGCTGCAGCTCATCCATTTTCGCCTAAACATTCAGATTAGTTTAGATTTCAATTGATGACGTGGCCTTTCAACAAATTTCGGCTTCGACATACCTGCGAAAGCGACACGACGGAATTGTCATCATTCTGCGCCTCCTCGACAATCAGACGATTGGGACGATCCTTGCGCTTCAAAATTGCCGTTGCCAGGTCATCGCTGCTGAAACAAGCAATATAATCGGGAGAGTTAATAAATAAAACCCTGTCAACCGCACCGTTTCTCATTGGAACCCTGTGGCCTAAATTGACCCAAACTATCGCTAATTTTCAACTGTTCCTCGAGCTCGTTGCGATAGTGGCGCACCATGTCGGGCACATCGTTATCCGTTATGCGCTGCTCAAGCGAATGCTGCGACCTGCTGCTGGCATCATTTTCACCATTGCCGTTTGACATTATATCCCCTGGTTTTTTTTTGCTCAATTTCACTTAACGGTGACTAACTAACGAATTAAAGAAAACAAAGCTAACACTGCGTCACGTTTTCGTATATACATTTAATGATAAACTGACTGGGAATCCATAGGCTCACTTATGGATTACCAGTTCCCAAATAAAGGCAAAGTATTTGCAACTCAACCCTCAACAAAGAAAGAAAGGGCTGCAACAACAACAACAAGAACGGAAATTACGATTTTCTTTGGGATTAGGATTCTTCCAGTTTCGCAATATGCATAAATTAGGCTGTGTATTGCCAGTACTAACAATATGCATATATTTATTGCGGAAAACTCTCATTTAAGCAACACAACATGACGCTCATTTGTCTTCAGTTTTCACACAATTTTCCTATGTGGCCTTTTGGTTTTTTTTTTTCTCTCATTCGGCCAATGACTGCGCGAAATTGTGACTGTCTCAGCGCTGAGTGTCGGCATTCTTTTGATGATGTTTATTGTAACATATACACTTACCCCTTGGAATCAGCCATTGTATATGATTTGTGATGAAACTTTCAAACTTAATTATACAAATTGGCGCGTTTATATCTTGAAAAAAACCTTTAAAAATTGAGCACAACTTCTGTACAAAAACCACAAATGATTTCGCTTAATGTCCGCAGGGGCTGCCAACTCAAGTAATGCAAAAACGCGTTGGCAGCGTTGGCATACGAAAAGTGCTGAGTTGTGTGATAATTAGTGCTGAGACTTCGTTTCACGAAAAGACTATCGATAAATTGGGAATGCAGTCAAACAATTGTAATGCAATGTAAACTGTAGCGACTGTTTGCCGCATTTATTTGAAATTTAAATGAGTTTTGTGTAGATCTCTTGTATAAAGACATATATAAATACATATACATTTATAATTCTTATATTTATATTGAATACAAAATATGTTTTAGCTATTTAAATTTTTGTGCAAAATTACACTTGTTACATACAAAAAATTTGTTGAAAGTAAACGAGTAAATGCGCTTTGTCTCAATTATTTTGCAGAATTGTTTGTTTCGTTTTGTTTCGAAATATATTTTGGAGTGGTATTTTATTTTGGAGAGTATTTTTGGATTCGGACATTTAGCCAGCATGCACAGACTGAAACGAAGAAAAAAAATTAAATTAAAGGCAAAATCATATATATGATAGTATGGAGAAAACGGAAAATCAGAATGCTAAAAAAAAAAACAATTATATATATAGTATATACATATAAATATTTCCACATTTCAGAAGAAACATATGTAATCATAGAACTTCATATAATGTAGCTACATTTCTCTATCAAGTCTTTTGATTGCCATTTGTTTTGAGTTTTGTGTTGTTGTTGTATTCGCTGTTTGCCGTTGGTTTGCAGTCGCCTTAAATAAATTCTGAATTGGAACGTACCCTGGCAATGTCGACGCCAGTAATGCTCTTAACCAGCTCCGGCACTTTGTTGACAATCGCCAATACCTCGCCTGTCAACTTGGCGGCACCGATGTCGCCCTGGCCACTCGACACCATGGTTATCTTTCTGGCCTGTGACAAGGGTGCAGCCACCTCGGCGGCAACCTAGAAACAAAAGAAAACGAATTAGAGGCAATGCTTGTTAGTATAATTGGGACACGACGCACCTTGGGGAGCGTATCCAACAGCATCTCCACCATGGCAGCCTCACGATATTCACGATAGGCATCGGCCTTCTGTGCCATTTGCTCGGCCTCAGCCTTTGCCTTGGCCGCAATGGCAAACGCCTCAGCTTCGCCACGGATTTTAATCTGCAATAAATGCAATTCGTTTTGAAATATTTCATTTAATAAAATTAATTTGTAAACTAACCGATTCAGCCTCGGCTTCGGCTTCCATCACGACACGTAGCTTGTTGGCCTCGGCTAACTTTTCGAGACGATATTTTTCAGCCTCAGCTGGGCAACGCACGGTGGCATCCAGCTCCTTCTCGCGACGCATTATTTCCTGCTCTTGCACGGCTATTTCCTGGGTACGCTCGATGACCTTCACCTGCATCTGTTCCTCCTTTATGCGCTGCTTGGTCTTTGCCGCCTGCAGCTCGTAAGCCATATCAGCCTCGGCCTTCTTGGTCTGCACCTCCAGATCGTAAGCAGCACGCTTCAGCTCAAAGTCGCGCTGGGCCTTGGCAATGTCGGTGTCGTTGAGGAAACGGGCCGCCATACGCTGCTCCTCGGCAATGGCCTCCTTGATGTGAGCCTCGGCACGTGCCTCTGCCTCACCGATGCGAGCGTCACGCTTCACCTCAGCCGTACGAGCCATGCCCAACGATCTCAGATAGCCCTGTTAATTGAGAAGAGGATATATGTAGGGATTTTTAGTACAATACAAGTCGCAATGCCTTCAATTAGGTGGACTCCCAAACACCGATCACAATATACGCACCTTGGAGTCGCCCTGAGTCGATATGTACATACATGCAAAAATACATAATATTTCAGTTACTCAAAAGGAAACGACGTGCCAATAAAACAAACATAAATTATTTATAGCCAGTGTTGCCAATTCCGCTACTTTCCCGTTAAATCGGGCTGTTCTTTGGCTTTTTTCCTCTTTAAATTTGACAAAAAAAAAACAAATATATGCAAAAATCATGTATATCAACTCCATTCGTAAATTGTTGATATGAGATAAGAATAGTAAAGAATATATATGAATATATGTATTAATGTGTATGTCTGTATGATGATGAAAAAAGATGCAGGCCAAACAGAAAGTGTTTCTACAATTAAAATGTGCAATTTTATGCTATATAAAAACGATATTAATAATGAAATTTTCGATGTATTTGAATAAATAAATAAATGCCAAAATTTCATTCACTGATTTTTCTATATAAATTGTAGAAACAATTACTTGGTTTCTCCCAAACAGATGGCAACACTGGCCAGTGCATACCTACATGTGTAGTGTATCGAATATGGGGAATCAATTTAATTGGCTTACCTCCTCGTCACGCAGATCCTTAATGGTGTAGGACACCACAGTGATACCCATGTTGGCCAGATCGCTGGATGCCACCTCGAACACCTGCTTGCTGAACTTCTTGCGATCCTTGTAGATCTCCTCCACGGTCATAGAGCCCATAATGGCGCGCTGGTGACCCTCCAGTGTGACCAGAGCGATGTGATTAATTTCCGCCTCCGTTTTGCCCAGGAATTGCTCGCAGGCAGTCAGGAGCATATCCTCGTTCTGGCCCTGCACCTTGACCTGAGCAATGCCAGTGACAGAGATTGGCACACCTTGACTTGTGTATACACATGGGCTTTCCACTTGCAGCGTCATCGTATTCAATGAAATGCTGAAGCAAAGACAGTTACATTTATTGCGTGATGTCAGAACTCAAGGTCGATTGAATTAATTACCGTTGTACTTGTTGAATCGACGGCCAGACAAAGGCTCGACCGCCGGGCACCAACAATGGTTTCATATAGAAGCATCCTAGCAGGATAAATAAACAACAAACAAGTTTCGGTTATGTTTACAAACAATGAAAACAAAAAACATCAAAAATCGCAGATATTTCAATTTTTTTTTTTGCGGCAACGGCGTTCGTTGGATGCGCACGCACGGCTTCGGACTCTTACAATTTGCTTGTACATAAAAATCGATAAGAAGTGACGTCATTTAAGGGTGCTGCCCCAAGAGCACTTTATTGACAATCTTTTAAAATACTTTTGTAATCTTTTGTTTATAAATACGCTTACCTGATACGACAAGTGCTTCATTTGGGCCACAGGTCACAAATCCCCAAGTCATTATTGGTCAACTACAACTGCAACAATATTCTCGATTTAGATCACGGGTTTGTTTTTCAACGCAACTCGTTCAAAAGTTCGTTTTGGGTGATATTTTATTTTACACTCGTATAAAAAGTATCGTCTGTTATTAAATTATTGAGTTGCGTTAACGAATCGGCAAGTATTTATAGAAACGAAGCCCCCTCTTTTTCGTTTTTTTAGATATAAGAACGCGAGAGACGACCGGTCTGTCGAGAACACGAAAAGTAACTAAACAACTGCTGAATTGACCCGCATGTGCGCAGTGCGCATCGTCTTTAACCCTTAGCAGAGGCTGTGTGGTTGTTTGGCTAGTGATAAGAATGGAGCTTTGTTTACATATTTAGGTATGTATATATTTATGAAGATTTATTCTATAAATATTGAGTGAACTAGGTACAGTTGCAAATTTGGTTCTTAAATTTAATTAATTATGTATAATTAAAATATTACAACTGATGGCATTTTTTTCTCATGGTATCATTTTTGGTAAAAACTAAGCTAATAGAAATTGCAATGAATTGAGGATAAAAACAATATGTATAAATAAAAATTACATTCCTAAAATATACATAAAATTCATATTATATCATAATATTGAAACAGTCGTTAGAACTAGAGCCAGTTAACCTGATTGCCACATTAATGACCCGATGAAGAGCTGTCTGTGAAATATGGATGCTGCATGGCAGCTTCCGCACTAATTCGCTGATTCGGACGGCAAACAAGCAGTTTCTGCAGTAAATCACGGCCCTTTGTATTCAGTCTTGGTACAAGTTGGCTCCACGATGTAATTGGTGGAAACGCTAAGCGAAACAGAAAATGAAAAGATGTCAACGTTTTGTTAATTAAATATTTACATGGAAGCGCCACGTAATCAGTGAGATGCGAGACACCAGGCCAAGACTCCTCGGTTGGTGTGCCAAGCACACGGAATATCTTTAGCAGTTGGTCGAGCACATCAGAGCCAGGGAATAGCGGACGTCCAGCATCAGCTAATTCGGCCAATATGCAGCCCGCTGACCACATATCGATGCTGGTCGTGTACAGTTTGGCGCCGAAGAGTACATCGGGTGGACGATACCACAGCGTTACCACCTCAGCGGAATAGCATTTGACGGGTATGCCAAAAGCACGGGCGAGACCAAAGTCGGCCAATTTCAGCTCGCCGTTCTTGTTGATGAGCAAGTTTTGCGGTTTCAGATCCCGATGCAGCACATTGTGACTACAAAAAATAACATAACAAACTTTCAAAATTCAAATCCAAATGCAAGTGCAGTTGCAGCTGCTTGAGGCACCCACCTGTGACAAAAGGCCAAGCCGCGCAACAGTTGCAACATGAAACTTCGACAAACAGTCATATCGATTTCTCCATTCAAACTGTCAAAATACTTTTTTAGGTCCTGATCGCAGTGTTCGAATACCAGAGTTAATTTCTTATCGGAGTGCAACACATCACAGAGTCGAACAATGTTTTTATGCTTGAGTTCCTGGTGGTAAATGTGACGTAAACATTTGGCTACTTCATTGAGTAAACCTTCCGGTTGTGAAACAAAAAACAAACCTTCAGTAAGCATATTTCTCTCAGCGCGGAACTCGGCACACCCTCGTCATCTTCATCTAGACGGACTCGTTTCAGTGCCACTATTTCCATAGTGTCTCGATTACGGCCCTTGAACACCGTCCCGTAAGTGCCCTCACCAATTTTCTCCATTTTATCATATTTTTGCATGTTTATAAAATAATTTTGACACGATTATCTGAAATACCGTGCGCGTTGCCAGACCGTCATTAATCAGCTGTTTGCCTAAGTCGCGTTAAGTTAGCTGCGAACGCAAATTCGAGTCTGCTGTCAATTCACTGTTGGTTACCAGCCAAATAATTAAATATACTTTTGAAAAAAATTACACATACTTATTTTTTATCTCTTTATTTTTCTTTTAGAAAAATATGGAGGCTTTAAACGACTATGTTGTCATCCGCATACTAAGTTTCTTGGATTTAAAATCACAGCAAATCATAATAGGTTTGCATCCACGATTCTATACTTTAATGGCAATTGTCTGGCGATCTCAGTATAAAACTGTCAGCATGTCATTGTACGAGGCAAACTTTTCTAACGAGGCCTTGCGTTATTTCTTTCGAAACATTTGCAATACAGTGCAAGTGCTACACCTTAAAATGGTATCGTTGGAACAGTTTGAAGAGCTCACCAGCAACGTTTTCCCAAAAGTCCATGATTTTCGTATCGGAACGAGCTCACGCCAACTGCTGACCGATTCAGATATACCTATAATTATTAAGAGTTTTCCAAGCTTAAGAACATTTAGTCCTCAGGGCGTTTTATCGGGCAAATATTTTGCGGATATCCCATTATTGGAACGCCTCACCCTGACATACTGTAAGCGATTTTGCGTACAAAATCTACAAATCATCATGAAGACACATAAGCTCAAAGAAATTAAAATGTGTCTGTTTGACGAAAGAACAATCAGATCGAGCAATATAAATTTGCCCCCAGAATGTATGGAAAATCTCGAATCAATCAAAATTGAATTGGAGGAGCTGGCCTGGTTTTCTGCTAATTTGAGTGAACTTAAGTGCTTGAAAGAGTTCATCCTGTGTGGGACAAGGGGCATGGCACCTTATCCTTTAATATGCCGAAAATTGCGTGGTTTAATTCTTAACCAGCATTTGAACATTTTGGAGACTTGCAACACCACACACATATTGGGCACTGTCATAAGAGCTAATCTTCAAGTGGATTCTCTTAAAATCGTTACGGATAACTCTTTATTCCATGATATAGCCCAATTTCGGACGGAAGACTATGCAAACATAAAGAAATTGTATTTGAAAAGCAGCTATATTGAAAAGAGCGCCTATCTAAACAGTCTAATGTACAATATTGGAAACCTGGAGCTCGTGAGCTTCGAACAGTGTGTTTTTGGATTTGATAATTATGAGTTTGTGGCATCAGCAATTGCAGAGAAGCGCACCAAACCACTCCAAGTGAATATTTATCAAAACTCATGCCTACAGACGGTACGTTCTTTAGAACATTATTAGAAGATACCTGTTTTTAAAAGTATTTTCCTTACAGAACCTACCGTGGGTTTGGACCAAAATCGGTGAACATTCTTTACTCCAATTCATCGAAGGCAGAAATTTTGAATATTCTTTCGAGCCCCTATACATTAGTTTTAAGAAATAAATGACGACAGAAGAGAAAACATTGTGAACAAAGTCAAAAACAAGCATATATCTTCTGAATAAAATAGTCTAAAATTGGAATTCCTAATATTTTTATTGTTTGTGCTTGTACAATTTTTAAACCCTAACGGAGCATAACATTACGCCGACAGTCTGTTAACAGTTGGCCCGATTGCAGTTCTTGAACAGGTTCGTTTTCACGGTTTCTAGTTCGATTAGCTGGTTCACGCAAGTTCACACAACTGTTCACTGCGAACCAAACGCATTCGCCATAAATTAATTCGGTATAAAATAAGTCAAATAAAATAGAAATTAATAGAATTGTGCATTTAGCTTAGTACGCACGTTAAGTTCTTAACAATATACAGGCCTGGTAAAGTTCCATGCAGGTGCGCCAAGTGAATAAAAGGTGAAATTTTATGCGCATTTCGACACCTTTGTCAAACGCTTATTTGCGCAAAATAAAAGTTCGAGTGTTGTTGTTTTTGGTGGGACACAGCACAAATACATAGAACTTGGCTCGCTTGTCGCGGAGGCAGTGGAAAACGCAAACAACAACAGCAACAATAAGAACAACAACAATAACAGCAGCAGCAGCAATAACAGCAACAAAAAAATTTGCGACAGCGATCACAAGAAATGGCTAATACTAATATGATTAGCAGCAATCATAACAGTAACAGCAACAGCACCGCCGCCTACACTTACAACAATTACAACAGTGCCAGTGCAGATAGCGGAAACAGCAGCGGCAGCAACGGTGGCGGTATCAGTGGCAGTGGCAGCATTGGACTCGGTGTCGGTGGTGTTGGCAGTGAGGTGCAAACGTTGCGCGAAGTCTGTAATATGCTCAATTCAAGCGCCACACCAAGTTATATGATACCAACAGGTGGTTGTGCCTACGATCACATTATTGCCATGATGCGCGGCCTTAACCTGCAGGACGATGGCATTGTGTTGAACAACAAAATCAAAGCCATTGAGACCGATTTCTGCAACATTGTGCGCGACGAATCGATGTTATGGTATGTATAATTATTTCTATGTGTATATCTATGTACGTGATTCTCTCCGTGTGTGTGTACGTGTGTCTGTCTGTCTGTGTGTTGTATGGCGCCGTCCATTGATGATTAATACAAGTCGGACATATGTATATATATATATATATACATATATATACATATATATATATATACGTATACGTATATTTATTGCCATGCACATATGTATATTTTTTCGCTACGTCAGAACTACTATTTAAACTTACAACTTTTTTTATGTAAACGATGTCGCAATTCGATTTAAACTCGGCAATGAGATTTTGCCGCAGATACCTGTAGAACGGCAGCGAGAAAGAGAGCAAGGGAAAAAGAAGCAAGTTTCCCGCCACCAGTTGATTAAAAACAGCATAAAGTGTCGGCTGGCCGCCAAATTAAATACCCTTTGCCAGTTAGACACATAATATTTTGATCTAAGCTCAACGTATTTATATATATATATATATATATATATATATATATATATATATATTGATTGATTGATATCAGATAGAGGGTGAACTCACTCCTCAGACTGTTTGTCAAAATTAGTATAGTGGAATTGCTAATGGATAAATACCGGTAGAAAGTTTCTTTTCCTCGAAAAGACACCCTCACAAGGGTGTACAAAATTTGTATTCCATCAGCATAGAAACATACCTGTAAATAAACAAATTATAATTCTATTTGTTTTATTTAAGCAGCGCAAACAAAAGTTTATGCGGCTTCTTATCACGCATGTTCGTGTTTTCCAATTTGCACCTACAGCTAGTAATTAGTTCGATTAAGTGCAATTTTCACATGGTAACTATAAAAACTAAAAATTGAAATACAAAATATGCTTTTCTTGTCTACTTAACAATGGTTACCCATACTAAAACATTCTCCTACATTCCTATGAACAGAAACAATAACTTCGCATAAACTAACAAAAATGTACATTTTTAAATGCATTTCAGCGAATCCATGGACTACATGAACAACAAAGCTTTGACGGATGCGGAAACGGCATTGAAATTCGCATTGCTTTTCTCGTCGCGCAACTTTGATGCGTTGGCCATGAAGGAGACGAAAGTGCGCAGCGCGATGCTGAAGATCCTGGAGACGAACTTTATGAATGCGGCTGCGTATCGGTTGCACGACAAGAATCGTTTGTATAACTCGATAACGCTGCTAGGCGAGTACTATCATCGTGTCCGGCTGGCGGATAATGCACCAATTACCATTCTGGGAGATTCGCTGCTCAATCTACTGTTGCACGAAATTAAAGATATTTCGGTGGTGATGAGTACGCGTTTGGCGCGCCTCGTCCTCTCACAGATAACGCTCAATGGGGAAATAATGCGAACGCGCCACAAGACGGACATCGATCAGCTGCTCTACCATGTCCGGCGGCATCTGATCATGCAGCCGGCGCTGACTGCTAAGGTGAAGGCGATGCTGCTAATGGTGCTCGATCTGTTCTACAGCCATTTCAAGCATGTGGGTGAGGAACTGGAGGCCATGTACACCAACTATTTGATCGTGGATGACGACGAGGACGATGGCGTCAACAACAACAACAACAATAATAGCAACAGTGGTGCAGATACACAGACACAAACGGATGCTTACAGCGACAGCGAAGAGCAGGGTAGCAGTGCCAATAACTCGGCGCAGGAGGTACCCAAGAAATGGAGCGAGCAGGTCTGCGAGGATTCGCTCTGTGATATTGTTTACGGCGAGACAGGAAGCAACATTGGTGATGAACAGCAGCAGCAGCATCATCAGTATAGTGAAAATGCCGGCAATGCCTATCAGGGCCACGACACCTTCACGCCTGGACGACAGGCTCGACGTGGTTATCAGCCACGCCATGTGCCGCGTCCCCTAAAGCAGGCTCACACACAGACTTCACCCGCTGCTGAGTGAGTACTCCTAGCCTCTAGAATACGTTGTGCATTATTTTAAATTCGTACCATTTATAACACGCAGCAATATCAGCTCTGATCATTATCCATCCATGGGCAGCAGTGAGGATCGCGACGAGACAAAGCCGCTGCCCAGTTGGCGGAAGACGCGCTTCAATCGCGCCAACGATGGGGATCATTCGAACGGTCGCTCTCGTCAGGATCAGCAACGGCGCTACAGCATTAGCTGCGACGACGATCATCAGAGTGTGCGCAGCGAGGGTCGTGGTAATTTGCGCTTGTACAGCATCGACGATCGCCGAAAGCACTCGCAGGAGCGATATGAGCGCAATCTGGGCGGCAGCAGCAACTACAACAATATCGTGAACTCCAATTGGGATCAGCGCGATGATCGCAGCGAGCGCTCCTACATTAGCAACTATGAGCGTGGCAACAGCTACAAGCGCGGCGGACGCCATAACAATCACAATCGCAACACTTACGACAAACCGCCGCGCTTCCAAAAGCAGCATCAGCAGATGCAGCAACAACATCATGATCAACACCAGCAGCATCACCAGCAGCACAGGGATCAACAGAAGATACACAGCGAAACTTGGCGTCGCTCGAATACGGCCATCAATAATGCATATCAAGATGAGAACTGTGCCTACAACTCGAACGGTCCCGAGTCCAACAGTCGCAGCTCGTCGCGTGCACGCACTCTGCCGCGTCCGGCCAAATCGCAAATGGATGACGGCACCAGGAAGAGCAACTCCAATGCGTATCGCTATAGTCAGAGCCCAACCCGTCCTGGTGGTAGTGGCAGTGGCGGCGTCGGCATTGTCGGTGGACCGCGGAACTTTCAACGTTACAGCAGTCAGAGCAGCCTGGCTAGCGAAGCGTCCAGCACATTTGATCGCCGCCAGCGAGCTCCAGATCAGCGTGCCCATTCGCATCAGCATCAGCCGCAACGTCATCGTAACTTTACGCGTCGCTCACAGCCAAACATCCATCAGCCGCAGGAGCAACAGCAGGGGCCGAGTTCACAGGAGCAACAGCAGCATCCACATCCGAATGCCGATAATACCTGGCACGAGGCGGTTGACAAGGATGAGAGCGAGCTGGTGCGCAATGCTCAACAGACAACAAAATACATGAACTACCTGTCCGCGCAGAAATGAGATAGACAAGTCCGCTGCAAGAGAGCTAAGCGGAAGTCGTGAATAGAAATGTATGGAGTAATTACAATATAAGCACGAGTACGATTTTCATAAAGTAATTGTCATAAAATTGAATTTGAATTGAAAGTCTGCAACGAGATTTTGTTTTCAAGCTGCAACCGCTAACCACTCCCAAACCGACCATGGAATCAATTTGCTCTTCAATTTTGTTTTTCATATACTGTATTTATAATTATTTTGATTTGTTGTAACCACTTTTGAATTGTTAGATTATAATTGTGGCGTTCATTTAACATGTTTGTATAATTTAATAGAGACTGCTTCTAATCTACAATTAGAGCTCAAATGTTGAACTTAACTCAACTCGTGGCCATTTGCATCTAATCTCCAATTCCCGCCTCAAATAAACAAGAAATCGAACTAATCACAAATCAAGATAGGCTCAAGTAATATTTATACAAATCGCATAGTAAAATCGGAAACAATTTATGCAATCCACAAAACAAACAAATTGTAAATATATATCTATTGTAGTCACGACGGAGCGATCAACATATATATACACCCAAGCACACCCACAAACACACACACACACACACATATACATATATAAATATATATACATAGGTACATAATTATACATGAGCATGTTTTATACAAGTTTTGTTAGAAACGTAAGTACAAAAGTCATAAACATGAAACAAAAATCCTATTTCTATTATAATTGTATGAATAAAAATGATGTTGTTTAAATGTTACATGCACGATTGCGCACCTTGTATTTTAGCTAAATATATCTAAATGTCATGTTATGATGCAGATCAAGAAGATTTATTAAGCAAATACAGATAAATACAGAAACATACATATACATGCATACCTTAAAAGAAAAGTTATTATAAATAATTTGAGAAACAAAAAAAGAAAAGAAATGAAATGAAAGAGAAAGACGCATTGTTATTGTGCCGAATTTGTTGAAACAACAAAAACACAAAATGAGAATTGACAGATAACAATACTGAATGCAAGATATATACATAGTTAGTCAGATACATATACGTATTTTTAAGCATAACAAGCGTTTAAATCATAGTTTATATTTATATATATATATATATATATAAATATGTAACTATATATGTATATATATATATATATACAAATACGTAGTCTAACAATAACAATTTTAATAAAAGTATTTCCAAGACTTTGATTTTAAGATTTGACATACGTATATATTGAAAACTGATAAATATAACACAGATGATGGCTGGATAACAATGCAAAATTGGGAGCAACAAGTTAAATTCGATTCGATATTATTTTAACGCTCGGCCTGCTCTTTGGGTGTGACCACGAGCACCTCATAGTTGCTCGAGCTAACCTCCTGGCTTCGATAGGGCATATATAAGACGCGATGAGATGGATGCACTTTGCCCAGCAGCGTTAGACCCTCATACACAGAACGACCCGTGCACAAGGCCTCACCGCTTTCCGAGTAGCCAGCCTTAAGGGCGCCCGGCGGCACGTATCCATCTGATGCCGCCACCCATTTGAGTTCACAGTCCGTCAGCACTAGGAGATCGACATCGGTGTTGAGTCTGTGTGCACTACAATTCCAGGGAGCGTAGACGACTTTCAGTTGTGGTACGTAATTGGCGGGCAGCAGATCTTCATGCAGATAGACGCGAGCCACATACGTATCGTGGCCGTCATGATCGGTGCCACATTGAACGGCACCTTCGATTGTGGTGAACGCAGTCGGATCCTCCAAATCGATAGGCACCCACTGGATTTGGGGGCGTTCCACATCTTCGATTCCGGTGCATTCGGCAAAATTCAAGTAAATGCGATGCACTCGCTGCCGGTGACAAATGGCCCGACATTGAGGACAACTCGGGGAACGGGATAGCCAACGAATCAGGCAATCCTTATGGAAAACATGACCACAGCTTGCGGTTGAAAATATGATGTCATTCGGACGATAGAACTCATTGCAAATACCGCATAAAACGTTGAGTGACTCAGCCTGTGAGTTTGTTGTTGCTGGTGTTCCCGCTTCCATGTTATCTAAGCTGTTCTTATAACTGAAGCCCGTCTCGCCCTTATCGGTGTGCCGTGAACCGTATTTCACCAGAAGAGCACACAAGCAAAAAAAAAAAAACAATTACAAATAACACCGATAGTTGCTATTTGTGTTAGTTAGAGACCAGTGACTCAGTTAATCGATATATCGATTTTTATTATAATATATATTGTTTAGCGAAGATACGTTAATTTGTCAGCCCTGGTCTTGCGCACGTTGTGTTTATTTTGGATACAGTGTTCGCCACAAAAATGCAGCGCAAAGAAACAAATGCTTTTCTACAACTTGGCTTGCGACCATGGCTGGCCAAGCAACTCACCAAGTTAGGTGAGCTAAATAAAATAAAGAACTAAGCTTGTTAGGAGTCTTTAAATTTAACAATTTCTCAGGTCTCAAAGGAGCGACGCCTATACAAGAAAATTGCATACCAGCGATTTTGTCTGGCAAGGATTGCATTGGTGCGGCTAAAACAGGCTCGGGTAAAACATTTGCCTTCGCCTTGCCCATACTGGAGAGGCTAAGCGAAGAGCCTGTCAGTCACTTTGCCCTTGTGCTGACGCCCACACACGAGCTGGCCTACCAAATCTCCGAACAGTTTCTTGTGGCCGGCCAGGCAATGGGCGTCCGCGTTTGCGTTGTATCCGGCGGCACAGATCAGATGATTGAGAGCCAGAAGTTAATGCAGCGACCACACATTGTAGTTGCCATGCCGGGACGTCTGGCAGATCATCTGACCGGCTGTGACACCTTCTCGTTCGATAACCTAAAGTATCTGGTCGTGGATGAGGCAGATCGCATGCTGAATGGCGACTTCGACGAAAGTCTGGCCATAATCGAAAGATGTCTGCCCAAGAGTCGACAGAATCTATTCTTCTCGGCCACAATGAAGGACTTTATGAAAGAGTCCAGCATTTTTCCCATAGCAAAAGATGTGAGTGTGTAAATGTATATAATTTAATATATATTTCAATTAGTTACCTTGTATATAGTGTCTAGAATGGTCGCAGGACTCTGATGTGGCTACTGTGGATACACTCGATCAGCGCTATTTGCTTTGTGCCGATTATGATCGTGATATGGTGCTTGTGGAATCTCTGCGCAAATATCGCGAGGAGAATGAAAACTCCAATGTCATGATTTTTACCAATACGAAAAAGTGAGTGACTAGAACATAAAAATCCTGCAGAAATTATAATATAAGAATTTCAGATACTGTCAGCTTCTTTCCATGACGCTGGCCAACATGGAAATCGAGAATGTTTGCCTCCATGGCTTCATGCGGCAAAAGGAACGTGTTGCGGCGCTGAGTCGCTTTAAATCTAATCACATACGCACGCTTATTGCCACAGATGTGGCGGCACGTGGCCTAGACATACCCAGTGTACAGTTGGTAATTAATCACATGCTGCCGCGTACACCCAAGGAGTATATACATCGTGTGGGTCGCACTGCCAGGGCGGGACGCAAAGGCTTGGCCATCTCAATATTTCGATTTCCACGCGACTTGGAATTGCTTGGCGCCATTGAAGCAGAGATCAACACTAAACTTACAGAGCATCCCATCGATCGTATGTGTCACATAGATCTAATCCAGATTAATTTATATAATTTGTGCATTTTTTTAGAGCGTATGGTGGAGCGCATATTCATGCAGGTGAATGTGTCACGCCGCGAGTCGGAGATGCAGCTGGACAACAATGACTTTGACGAGCGAGCCCAGAACTACAGACGCAAAACGTGGATTATGGAGGGCAAGGACCCAGACCAAATGGAGGCACTGTAAGTGCCAAATCTACCCACCGCAAATATTTATCTACATATTTAATATATATCCACTTTATATGCAGGTATCGCAAGAAGCAAAAGGACAAATTGCGCGAGATACGCCGCAATCGAAGGCAGCAGCAGGCGGATCAGGCCGCAAGTGAGGAGGGTAAAGCGCTGCTACAGGATGAACGCTTCAAGACCGTGGATAGTGCGCGATTTGAGAAGAAGTTCAGGAAACGCCCAGCAGCAGATGAGAAAGCAAAGACGCCACTCAAACAAAGTAGAAGCAGCACATCCAAATCTAAAAGCACATTAAAAAAGAAAGCAAATGTGAAGCGCAAGGCAACTGCAACTTGAGGCTTATTAAATTATGTGAATATATATATTATAACAAATAACTTTCGACCTTACACTACTAAGCAGTCGGGAAACGCATCATTAAATATATTAAATTTAATTTTAATATTTCAGACATGCTTCAAACGAATGCAGCAGTAGAAGTAGCCTTCAGTATTTTTAGAGCAGGCACTTTTCTAACGTCTGTTTTCAAGTTTTGAACTTTCAGTCTAGGGCGATTGCTAGGAGTGCATCCTCAGGATGGACCTCCAGCAGCACTTTGGCACCATCGTTAAACGGATAGGATATGCTGCCATCAATGACCAGATCTGTCAAATGCATTACATATATATATGTATATGTATATATTAAAACAGATTAATCAATCACACTACTACTCACTGGCATCGATGCAGTGCGACTTGATGAACACACTCTGCACAAAGTCGCGCGCCTTGAATGTCTTTGGCGATGGCCATACGCCGACACAGATTTGCTCACGGATGGAGTAGCAGAGGCGCGGATCATCTGGCGCAAAGAGCAGTCCCTGATTGTAGCGCTGGGCGATTTCCTCGACATTCTCGCGCAACTGTAGCACAACCGGCGAATCGCTGCTGGGCAGCGATTGCAGCAGATCGTCTACATTGCTGCTGGTGATACGATTGATGCTTGTATGCCAGGATGTGGATCCGGTTCCGGTGCTGACGCACAGGCCCGAACATTTCGTCTTGTTCACCACATCCTGATGGTCCAGCACCAGCTGCAGGAGAGACACGCGTGCCGACAGATGCTCACCAATGAAGACCTGCAGAGGATTCCAGAATTAGCTCGAACAGACAACTGACTGGGTTAAATCGCAGACCTCGTTGAGCGCCAGATATGGTAAAACACGCTTCATTTTGGCCTTGTACTTGCCAGCCATATGCTTATCCAGCATTTCCGGCGACGTATCCACTTGCTCCATTTTGACAGTCGTGTGCCTGAAGAGGTCCGTCGACTCGGGAATCGTGCCATTGCTGCCTAGAAACGTGGTACGAATGCGTGTTCGATGTATCCACTTAAAGTCGCCCTGCGAGTCAGAGATTAATACAAAATATTAAAGACTACATTGCTGATAAGATATCTGGATTAGTGACTTACGCTCTTGATGCGTTCGACTGCATCGGCGGGATTCTCGGAGTAATGCTTGGGCAGCATCAGACGTCCCTCGGAGTGCTGTGGATCCGAGTTAAAGCCGACAATCGGTGTTTTCTGCTGGCTGAGCGCGAACAGAGGACTGGCACGATTGGCGGACAGCAGAAAGGTGCCATCGCCGCCAACGGGCACAATGACATCCGCCCAGTTCATCACATCCTTGCTCAGAGAGCTTCTAAATTCAAGTCTGCTTGTTTAATAAAGTCAACAGCGACAGGGACACATTATGTGGATGGCGGGAATCAGTACAGTTAATTTCGTAGAATTGACATTTGGACGACGACGACGAGGACGATGATGACACACCAGACATAGCCACAATAAAGCCACACACAAGCAAACAAACGTTAGAAATAAATATATATATATGTATATATATATATATATATATATATATATATAATTATATATACATATATATATGCATACATATAGGTACTAGTATCACATTCGATATATATATATATATAGATAGGTTGGGGCCACGCACCTGCTGGACAACTTCACCTCGCAGCCGACATTCTGGAAGCTTTGCACAATTCGCTGCTCAAAGTCCTTGTGCAGATTGTGCAGATAGAGGACCATTTCGACATCGGTGCCCCGATCGCGCAGCTTCTGCTCTAGCTGTTCGCGTGAAAGATCCGGATGACGCAGTTGCTCCACTTCATAGCGTGACAGCTTCGATACGACCAATGCGCGCTTCAGTTTAAAATTTGCAGGCGCAAAGTTTGAATATTCTTGAATAAAGCAATTGTCAGACATATGTAAAATATTATTTAATTTATTCAAGAACTCCGACAATGTTTTCATTGTTCATCGTTGATAATGAAAACTACAACATTTTTACCAGTACATTTGTCAAAGATGGAATGGAAGCGGACAAAAGATGAGTTTTGGTTTAGAAAATTGAGTAGTCTGTGGCAACACAAAGACAAAATTATCTTAGAATATGATTCCTGGCAATGTCATCAGCACACAATCACATGCCTTAGCCTAAGCTGATAATAAAAAAAGCGGAAACGCGCTGGAAGCGCACAGAGGAATCGGACGAAGTAAACAACGAAAGCAAGCAAGGCAAGCACTTAATAAAAAATTAAGATTGTCCAGCTAAATTGCGCTCCAGAAATTGAAAGTACAAGGTTTTTTGAGGCTGCTTACCTTTGGCTAAATGTTTTAGCAATTGCTTGGACTTCAACATGCTGAGCGGCGATAATGAAGCGGCATTTATTGCTTGGTATATATTTATATATATATTATGCACTCAAGTTATTGAAAATTCTTTATTTATCGGTTTTATACATTAAATGTTGAATATAAATCGAATGTAATAAGGAAACTTAAGAATCGCTCTACGCTTTCCTCGCACAGCTGCTAATTTTAATATTCATTTGTTGTATTTATTACTAAATGTAATTGTAGGTTAATTATTTTCGTAGTTAAAAGTGAATCAATTAACACACTGAAACGTTATCGTTATCCATTTGCAACTTTTGTACATCCACGTTGTAAGCCTTTAGTAGATTTACTAATTGATTGTTTTTGCTTTCAGTTTGCTTTTTCCTAATCGTCAACACATCTCTGCGTTAATAAAAATATTCGCTTTGCCCGTCACTTATCGCGGTTTGCTTATATTTTTGTACGCTTTCGCTTCACATCTCTCTCCCTCTCTCTCACGCACTGCCTCTCTCTTTCTGTCTTGTTGTGCATTGCTGATAAGCGGCACGGCCTTTTCTTATCAGCCGAAAAATAATAATACAAAAATAAAATAAACTTTCAGTTGTACCAGTGTGCGTTGGTTGCCATTCACCGCGGAGCTGTTCTCTTCTTTTTCCACAACGCCTACGCACTATTCACATAGAGCGCCATTCTTATTTTACCATTCGCTTGGAACGAATACTTGAGCGTTAGACTTTTAAATATAAATATTTTTCATTTTGTCTTACGAATTTATGCTACTATGAGCACAAATACTCTCTAAATTGTATTATTGAAGACCTACTGGAAGCGCTGGTGCATCCTCATATTGGTGACTTGAGGACTTATTTCCATGTCCAGTCCAGTTGATTCTTCAGGCAGACCGTTTTGCTGTTTTATGCAAATAGATACTATTATACTCATATTGGGAGTAATTTTGATTGTTTATTTACCTGCAGATAGGAGAGCTCCTGCTGCACATTCTCATTCAGCAAGGGCTTGTGAAAGACCTGGCTCAATAACAGCATGGCATTTTTGGCCACCTCAGCTATATTTAAGTTCTGTCCGTTGTTCTGCAGATCGATCAGACGCACTGCGTCCGAGGCAATCAAAGCACCTGTGCCCGAATTTGCCGTTAAATGCTTCAATTGACTGTTTTGGTTAATCAGACTCGGTTGCAGTTGCCCATCGTTGGTTTTGTCCAAAGCCGGCTCATTGATAGAAGTGACGCGGGCAACATGCCCCAAATTATTTTCAACTTGGTTATTATTGAGATTAAGTCTTTCAGCTTGATAATTATCATTTATATTATTATGAATTAAAGCGCGGCTATTACTTTGAACGTCGTTAGCCGAGTTTGTCAGCGAAGTTATCGAGTTCGAACTGCACCAGTTTTGGCTCGGATAACTATTTAATTTGTAATTTCCTCCATTCAAATATGAACCTTGGCTTTTTTTCGGACTGAGATCGGCGGTCACCTTTAGCGGTGCCTGACCATACTCAAGTTGAGTGTTTAACTTCATGAAGATCTGCTGCTGTGGATTATTATTACAATTATTATTCTTGTTGTTGTTCATGTTAACGTTTAGTTTTTGGCTATTATTGATCGGGTTAAGAAAGTTGCCGTTTCGCCGCTGACCACGTTGCCAATTGGTTCCCAAACGGTCATGTACAGAGATTCGTGAGTTATTGCGATTATTATTAGAATAGTTTTTATAATTTGTCTGTTTTTTAAAGCGCCCAGGTCCAGGGCGATTGAGGCGTGATCCGTGTTGCTGCATTTTTGATTTACCATGAGCATTATTGTGGACCAAAGGAGCAGCGCCCGGTGGCCTGTTGACATTAGTGGGATGTATTCGCCACTGTGTCGAAGTAGGGGGTGTTGTTTCTGCTTGCTCTGGACCCATTGGATCATCGATGTCTTTATAAAGTTGATTAAACTCATTAGTTTCAAACTCAATTTGATTCTGGTTGGACTCATCCACGGGAGAATCATACTCATCAACTTGCTGCTGCTGCGGCTGCTCTTCTTCGTCATCTTCGTCATCGTCGTCATGATCTTCATTGTCATCGGGGTCATCCCTGTAGGATTGTAGATGAGCTGCTTGCCGTTGCTTTCGACCACTGTATCCGGGATAGCTTTTTGGTATATGGGGCTTTGGGTTCACATAATGATCGTAGTATTCGTCTGAACGAAACAAAAGAAAAACGGCAAATTTCAAAAATTTCAAACAATTTTTTTATTTAAAAAATAAGTTCATACCAAGCGGCATCAGTACAGTTGGTGCATTAAATGAAGTCATTTTGAGTTGTGGCCTAGACCTGAGTAAGAGAAATTCACTTTAGCACTGCAATAAAATCTAATCGCTTCTTTTATTTAAGGCAGCAAATTCTTCAAGAACAGTTAGAATTTTAACAAGGCCTGCATGTGTGCGTGTGAAAAATATCGAATCTATTTCGCTTCCAGTTATCGATTCAAGCCTGCGTGCAACTCTGTGCTGACGACTAGCGCAGCCAACGTTGGTGGTTTCCGTCACTTTAATTCTGGCTGTAGAAGATGGCGGTAAATTGAACTCCCAAAATGTAAGTTTATTATATTAATTGAAAGCTGTAAATTGAGATTGCAGCGAATATAACTGTGTCAAGTGTACAACAAGCCTTTCTACAGAACTCAATGCTGCAAGATCAAACTTGAGTGCAGGACAGCAGTCCCTATCCCGGCTATTATTATAGTCACGTGGCAAAGGATCCGTTTCCTGCACTTGCACATTTTATTGCCCACCCACTAAATATAGTTGTATAAACATTATTCCCTTCTTTTTAACAGGTGAATATCAAGCAATAAAGCCAGCGGAAGCAGGCGTATTTCAATTTGGTAAGTGCACATTTATTTTGCAATTCGATTTTGTTTGCGAACACGAGTCGCTGGTGTAAAGATATATTTTCCACTTTAGCTAGTGCTTTTTTTCTGTTCGCAGATTAATTTTGTTTCACACAAGCATAACCCAAATTTATTTCAGAAATTTGCGGTGCATATTTTTTTTGTGAAGCAAACATTTTAAATAAATACATTTATATTGTGGTTGTGAAAGTCGCATTTCGGCTTAACTAATTTAGTTCTATTTTTATTCTTGCAGGCAAAAGAAGAATCTTGGTCGAGATTTATAGCGTATTCTAAAAGAAAGGTAAGTTTACAACTATTTTAAAAGTTCATTTAGCTTCTTTCTCTGATGAAATTTTACATCTGACACCTCATATGAACCACTGTGATTCATTCTATATGTAATTAAATACTGAAGATGCTTTTGAACCATACTTTTCATATCATCTTTAGCAAATTGTTTAATGAAGTACTCTGTTCTTTTGTAGGTTATAGGCGCACATGGGAAGATTTGAGCCGCAAGTGCTGTTGTTCCCTTAAATGCATCGAGAGTTTATCTGATTTGGTTAGTATTCTATTACAAGGTGCTGTTGTATTGCCCTTGCAGTGATGATAATTTAAACCATTCACAGACACCATATAAAAGCTAAGCGCTGACAATCTGCTTCAATATTTTTTTGGAGTTTGGGAGTCTTGCTTAGCCGGTTATGGACCCTGGTTAATAAATTGGCACTGAGTCTTATACCTAATGATCTGCTAATGTTTGTGACCAAACAAGAATACTAATCCTTCATCATTCTCTTTTGCAGGTGCTCTATCCGATCTGACAGATCCAAGCTAATGTTGCGAATCATTGTATGAGAGAAAGTAGCCAACAAATAAATATGAATTTTTGATATTAAAAATCGTTTTTTACTAAATTTGCGCGCTCCCGTAGTGCGAGTTCTTGGTTCTGCTGGGCAATCATGCGATCACCTTTCGATTTCTTGCCAATGCCCAGTTTGGGCAAACCTCGATTAAGTCCCTCCAGCAGAACGCATGCCTTGCATGGCTGCTGAGAGGAAACGAAGCCGCAGCGTTCGCAAATGCCACGCACAGGTTTCTTTGCGGTATCCTTGAAACGCAGCTGCTCGCCCGAATAGATGATGTCCATGATTACCGATGGTCGCACTTTTTCCAGGTCCTTCAGGAAGGCGCGTGCATGTCCCCGATAAGCATTCGGTGCAAACACGCATTCCGTGGAAAAGTATACTAATCTCTTGTAGTGCGCATACATAACGATCTCCTTCTCGTAGCTGTATTTGAGCGGCTTGACCCGGGGAATGGAATCTTCGCCACCGCCAGTGCGGATATTGGTGCAGCGACGCAAACGTGCTGTATCTCCGCGTAGTATATTCATTAGCACCGTTTCCGCAATGTCGTCCGCATTGTGACCGGTTGCGATGCTGTCGACGCCCAACAGTTTTGCACCTCGATCCAATGCTTGACGGCGAAAGACCCCACAAAATGTGCAATTGTTGGAACGGCCAATTTGCGCCACAATACGATCCATAGTCCAACCGTACAGTTCCTCGTAGGAGAGGATTTTCAGTGGCATTTGATAGTCGTCGCGATTTTGTTTGACCGTCTCCAGGCTGTCGTCCCGATAGCCCGTGATGCCTTCGTCAATCGAGAGCAGCACCAGATCCAGACCATAATCATGTCGTTCGTTGAGCAGTTTCATGCTGTAATTACAGGGATTAGGATGGGTGTGAAACGTGTTAGTGTTAAATTTACACATGCGCCAAAACTGTGGAGTCCTTGCCACCACTGGCAGCGACGGCAACCTTTTCGCCACGTCGAAAGAGACGACTCGAGACAATGGTGTGATGGATTTCAGCTTCAAAGGCAGCAAAAAAGCAATCCTTGCACAGAGCGTCGCCGGTCTTAGGACGCTATCAGAATGATAGAACTATAGCTTGTGTTAACATCAATGAAATTCAGTTTTTACCTTTAAAGCGGCTTTGTTGCCACATTTAGCTTTACAATCTATGGGCATTTTTAACAGAATAAATATGTCAACAGATTGTTTATAAATAAAGAACGTGCAGTGATAAGCGCATTGTTGCTATCGATAAATGTGTTCCAGTGTTGAATAATGTTTGACATGAGCAAAATGGGCATTCCATTTGAAACTTAATTTTCAAATGAAAATCCTTAAAATAATCTTATTTTGTACGGCTGATTTTGGATTCATATCATAAAGTTTATTTAAATTCGATACTAAATATAATTATTTAAAGTAATTTTATGTTTATATTTAACAATATTACTTTCTATGCCTATAAGGGAATATCCGCAATGTAATTAAGCTGCTGGGAATGTAAACAGAACGTGGAGTTTAAATGTTGGATGATGAAACTGAGAAATGCATACATCAGAAATTGTACCGCAGCAGGGGTAAGTGCGGTAAGTAGCGTGCGTATTTGCTTACACTCTATAATTTAGCATTTGTTAAAACACAGCAATATTTGCACGTCAATCGGACTTTCGCGTTGAGCTGAAGACGAAATCCACTGCGACATCAATTGCCGCAATAAATGAGAATGCTGCCAGCAACAACAACAACGGGATTTGTATTGGACATGATATTTGGTTGCATATAGCGATGCATCTAGATCCGGAGGACGTGCAAGCCTTTGCTTTGGTATGCAAACAGACCGCCCGGCTGGTGAACTCGCGAGCCTTCTGGCGGAACATGTACAAACGCTATTGCCTGGCTGGATCCATCAAGGTGTGGAATTTGGAGCTGCCCGCCGAGCTGCAATTGGAAGCAATACGTAATTGTGATGCAAAAGCGCTGCGATCACGAGTGATCCAGTCACTTTTCCATTGTTATCGACCGTTTAGTGAGCGAATTGAGCTGGGCTACAAGCTCGACTGGCTGCTGCAGCGAAAATTTGTATGCTGCTCGCAGAGAGAGTTTCGTCGCTTGTGGTTCGTCTATTATACACTTTCGAATCGAGCAAGGACATGTGGACATTTGGCGGAGATGGCGGCGGATACGGATGTGGTCAATGATTGGGAAACACTTGCCGAGGATGATGGTGCACCAGCACAAAGCTATGCCAATCGTCATGATGGTGTTGTCCTGCTGATTGTTGTATGTCGACAATTTATGCCGCTGCCATTCCAGTTGCTCTACAACCAGCAGCAGTCGCGCTTTCGCCTCAAGGCGACCCGTGAGCTGCTCTGCACGGATATGCGGACCACGAACCTGGAACTGGACTTTGTCGAGGATAACAGCAGCAGCAACGGCCAGATCAGCATAACAGTGAAATATTCCCATATGGAAAACTATAAAGTGCTGCCCTGGTGGCATCCAGACTTTAAGACTCATTTTGCATGTCGTTCACGTTGAACAATCTCTCTCAAGATCAGTTCAAAGGTCAGCCATTCTTGTAAACAGCTTTTTCTACAATTGCATTCAATATTATCAGAATCGTGTAATCGAGTATTTTAATGGGCCACCCAGCCACCAATTCTTATCTCAAATGTTTGCACATTGTTGTTTGCGTGGTAAAAGTCAAACGACACGACTCGAAACAGATGTTATAAGTTGTTAGGAACAGACAAGAGCTACCTGAATGATTTGCCGATAAACAATCGTTCGTAGATAGAATTTATTCTTCTATTTGGACTGCTGGTGTATAAAACATTTTAATACGTAATTTTACAAAAGCGATTGTTGTCATTATGATAAAGGATTACAACTGGAAGATTATTGATATATACACTTTCATCTTAAATACTTTGTGTCACATACATACATACATACAAAAAACAAACAATAAAAAGTGGTCGTTCGATATTGCGATCACTTTCGGTGTTCGTGTCTTTTTTTTTTTTTTTTTAGTGTAATTCCTCGATTTGTTTGAATTACACTTTACCGAGCAAATCGTGGCCGTAGGGCTTCTTCCGATAGCCGCCCTTAAAGGCGAACAGTTTGAAGGCCAACACCATCATGAAAATGCAGAAGGCATACAGGAACATGCCCATTCGCACATCCATGTCTGAGAAAACGCTGGAGATCTGACGCTTCTGGCGTTCCTTGACGAGCGCCTCGTGCTGCAGCTGCTCGCGCGGCACACCATAGCGGCTGATAAATTGCGGATTATGTATGTTCTTGAGGAAACTGAGCACCGCATCCTTGTTCCAGTTCAACTCCAAGCTGTCCTTAGAGGCATTTGCGGTTGCCCGACGACACTGAGCACAGCTGTTGGCACTGGGAAATTGTATTTTTGGGAATTGTGGATCCTCGGTCGCATCTCCGGCTAGTCGCTGATTGACCTCATTGTGCGCCGCCCATAGCCAAAGTACGGCTTCGTCTTTCGAGGCTACGCTCCAGATTTTTCGGCGTGCTGCCATTTCCTAAGTACGACACACCATATAGATTAATAAAGATTTCTCGTACAGCAGAGACAGATACACTTGTGTCAATTTTTTTTTTTTTTTTAGCAATTTGAACAGCTGCTGATAGGAGTATAAAAAACAACAATTTAGGTCGGTGTCGAAGATAAATAAAGACAAATTGTAATTTTACGCTGGCTTTTGCTGGTTACGCAACAAACATCATCAGTATAATAAACATCAGTGCAAAGAATTTCTAAACAATTTCGCAATCCACGTTGATCTTGCATACGTGACCGCTCAATTAAACTTATTTATCAGCATAATACATACAAATAATAAGGGCTTTGACCCCCCATAATACATGAAAAACATACAATATGCTCAATCAGCATTAAACGAGTTGCAAAAACTAGACTGCTGTACATCTGCACAAAAGTAAGTTAACTATTCTACGCAAACAGATGGAACATTTGTTTAAATAATTGACGCCAATTTCTGGGTCACTCCACGCTTTGTCCTATTTTTATTTTTGCCACGGAAGTTTCTATACCAAATTTATATTTATTGTGTTAGAGTCACGGTCTTTCAATTACCACGTCTATTGGCCATAATATGCCAATCAGGAAATTCAATTATTACCGCAACTGGTTAATTAAATTATATGTATATATAGTTATATATATATAATACGCAATATGTTCTTTACTAATTGTTAAGAGTAGTTAAATTCATAAAGTTTACGCGTCCAAAAATGATACTGAATTTATATTTATTATGCAAAGCAGGGCATTAGAAGTCTGGTGTCCATCTACATGATAAGCCCCAATAGAAGAACTATAAAATTTCCGCGAACTGTTGAATTTTTGGCCTTATTAAGCTATGATTCACAATTCACATAAATTCATTCATGCGAGTTTATATATTTAGATATTTCAATAATACCACTCAATTTTTCATAGATAACTTCATCCATTCCTACTTAATTCTCACTTTGTAAGTGTAATCGAATTTGGTATAAGTACTAACCCATTAGACAAAAACGAATCTAATTTATTTAACATATATATTATTGTTCGCGATTATGACTGTAACCCGTAAGTCGAAGTTGATAACTTGGCGTTGTTGTTGCTGTTGTGAGCTTAACACATTAAAGCAAACAAGTATTTTTTTTTGTTGAACAATGATTAGTCTATAACTGAACACAATTTTTCCCCCGCTTGCGTCAAAATAGCCCGAGGGTCATACGCTGATCTCATAGTGAAAGCATATATATATATATATATATATATATATAATACGACATTAACAACAAGGTATTATTAACACGTAGGCAAAATTTGAATTGATTTTGGAGAGGAAGAGAGAGAGAGATTAGAAGCTATGTGACCCACCTGGAAATGGTTGCTGCAATCGGTGCAGCCAAAGAAATTCCGAACGTAACCATGCATTGCCTGTAGCACTTCGAGTGGATCCTGTGCCTCTTCATTGCCGGCTGACTGTACGCTCAGGTAATGGAAAAGTGTCCACAGTGAGCAGGTAAAGCCGCGCAGATGCGGACTGGAGCCAGTGCAGCCCACATAATTTGTGGTGGAATATATTTGACCCAGTTTCGATACCAAGCGTCGCAGCTCCTGTTCGAACTGTTGACCCGACAGCTTTTGATTGAACTGCACCACAAACTCCCTCAGCTTGCTGACCATCTGCCGTCCATTGGTGCCCAACGGATTGTAACGTTCCAGCACAGTTAGGAAACGCTGGAGAGCAACCAGGGGCTCACCACCAATCTCATTCTGCTTGGACACCTCGTTGTGGAGAATGGTGCGTATTGCCTGCTCCAGATCCGCTTGATATATCAAATGCTTATTGCGATGCACCTCGCTGATAATTTCGCTGACTTCTCGATTGCGACCGATTGGTGCAGATGGGAGCTGCTGCTGTTGCTGCAACTGCTTTTGCGGTCGGGGCGTCATGTTCAAAGCACGAAGCGCAGATTCTATGGCCTGGGCATAGGCTATGCTGGTTTGATTGGCTGGCGTGTGTATTTGGATGGCACCCCGCCGATCCAGCAGCGCCAGCTGATGCTGCTTGCTATCAATTTTGAATTTAGCAGCAATTGTAGCATCGTTAATACGACGCACCTCCACCGCTGGCCAGTTCAACAGAAACATCGCCGTTTCAATTGCCAGCGTGGAGTTCTCCGGCTCAAAGATTAGCGCTATCTGCTCCTGCACGCTTTGCAGATCCTCGAACAGATTACCAGCCGAATCAGACTCCGTAACAGGCGCAACATTTGGCCAATGTATATTATTCGCAGTCTGATTCTCGACTGACACTAGACCAGCGAGCAGCGAGCGCAACTCGTCGGGATTTTGTGTCTCCAGTTTGACGCCATATTGCGTGGCGGTGGGCTGGAAGCTAGGTCCCAAGTAGCGCAGCGTGGGATAGCTCATCACCTCGTAGGTGCGACAAATGCCATTGTTCTCCTCTGCGGCACAATCGATGGCACTCACAATCACCACATCCTGCCACGGATGCAGCTGCTCCGCCAACTTTTTGTAGACGGGCGCAAAACGTCTGCAATGCCCACAATATGTATTGTAAAATTCAACCAGCGAGCCGCGATTCTGTTCCAGCACCGTCTCATTGAAATTGTTAACGTTTAGCTTGACAACCTTATCTTTGCCATCGTACAGACCCAGCAGCTCGTCCTGCGGTTCAGACTGCTGTTTCAACAGCGTCTCGTATCTATTGAGGGGGACGCCAGCAGAGATCGATTCCAGCAGGTAAATTACGACTAAACAAAGTGCCAGCTGCGCACCTTGTCGATTCATTGTTTTTGGTGTGTGTTGAATGGTGTTGTTTGTGGTGTGTTGTCGTTGTAGGTGTTCGGTGCGCAATGCAATAAGTACGACTGATACGATATTTATTTTACCGTAGCATTTGGAATGTTTTATGGTTTCAGTAATTTTTGATTACCAGCAGCGTTTTTGCTTTGCGCTCGCCCTCTCTCTTTCTCCCACTTGTATTTCTTCTTTGCATTAGCAGCTCTCAATAGAGATGAGCAGCATCAGCTTTGTGACTGCGTCATCGTGACTGCATCACAGTGACTCACGCACATGCATTTAAATAGCCATGGAGAGTTATTGGGGTAGGGTAAATGTTTATGCAGCTGTGACTGAAATCAGGAAAATGCTCGCAGGCTTTTTGAGGTAGGTTTGGCATTGCAGTTAGTGTTGCTCAACCAAAACAACTCAATAGTCACTCAATATAGGAAAAGCAAAATTTATATTTATATGGTCAAACATGTTATTAGTTAAAGTAATTTAATTAATTCATTCATTCATTTAATATGTATTTTAATAACATGTTAATTTATTCGCATTTAATGCTGTGACTTTCATTTTCTGTTCATTTCATTCAGCTGCTTTCACTCACGCACGCAAGCAAAATCGATACACAAAATTACCAAAAAATATCAAAATACTATCGATAAGCCAAAATACTTATTTATTTACTAATGCTTGTGTCCAACTGGACTGTCAAACGAATTTAAAAATTGTTATTTATTGTAAATTAATTTAGTGAACTTTAGAATTATGATACTACGACCATTGGGTCGGGCATTTCGCCCACGTTCCATTGCCGATGGAGCGTGTTTCATGCTTATTGCTGTTTTCGTGCCAATCACGTACATCTTTCAAGTCACCGTCATTATGCCGGAACTGCATAATGTGGGCAGCTTCTGGTACACAGTTATCTGGCTGGCCGGACTCTTTTTGGTGTTTAATCTAACGTCCAACATGCTGGCCTGCATGCTGGTGGATACGTCTATTAAAAGCAAGTAGCTATCCATATTCAGTATGTTCATTTTTATCTGAACAAACTTACTTTGCAGTGGTTATACTGAAACCGCCGCTGGAGGCTCATCTGCTCAGTCGCTGGCACATGTGCGATATGTGCCAGACGCTGGTGCCGCCCCGTGCCTGGCACTGTGAGGTGTGCAACGTGTGCGTGCTGAAGCGGGATCATCACTGTCGCTTCACCTGCTGCTGCATTGGTCACCACAACTATCGCTATTTCTTCTATTATCTGCTCTACATGTGCATCGGCGCCTGCTATGTGAGCATCAATGCCAGCATTTATCTCTGGTATCTGCACGCCGACTACTACTGGCGACCATATACCCTCATTACCATCTTTGTGCCGGCACTGAGCCTTACCGTGCACGCGAGCTGGGAGAACTTTTATGTAGTGATCTACGAACTGAATCTGTTGGCCTTTGGTATGTCCACGTTGCTGCTCATTTATCATCTGCCCATGTTTAAGCGTGGCGCTGTGATGAAGGAGCGCCAGAGCACCAAATATGATCTCGGCTTGCGCGCCAATTGCGAAATGGTGCTGGGCAAGCGGATGCACTGGACCTGGCTGTCGCCTTTCGTGCGCAGCGATCTGCCGCACGATGGCGTCAACTGGCTGCCGGGGCCGAAAAAGGATTGAATCACAAATATCAATATCCAGACTAGTCATACTTACTTAAGCAATCTCAGCACAAATCGAATGAGTTTTAGTATTCTATCGATGCATTCCCTGCATTTATATACACATTTAAATAATTATAAACTAATTTGTATTTATTGCAATTACAAAACGAATTTAATCAGACAACCGATAGGATTTTATTTCTCTAGGAAGCCTTCACCGACGAGCGACTTCAACTTGGCCAAATGCACTTCGCTTAGCGTGTAGCCATCATGGATGCACTTTGCCAGGGCACTCGTCTCCATGTTGTTCTCCACGGCATATTGGAGGGCGGCGAGCGCCTGAGTGGGCGCCTTATGCACCACGGCCGCCTCCACGTATTCGAGCAGGGCGGAGTCGGCTGGTGTGCCGGGAATGCGATGCTGCTGTTTGTCAATGTAGGCGAAAACCTCGCTGGCCTTCTCGAAGCTGCTGGTGTTGCCGGCGTCCCGCACGAGCAGCGTGAGAATGTTGCCCAGCATTTGGCCGGTGAAGGAGACCTTGCGGATGCGTTTCGCCGACTCCTCGATTTTGTTGAACATGTCCAGGGCGACCTTGGCGCACTGCTCGGGTAGCTGTTGCTGGGCGGGCAGTTCAGCATTTGGACGATTATCGACCATTATGCGAAGCACATAAAGCAACAGACTCTCGCGATGCGTATGATCAAAGATGACCATGTCCGACCATATGCGAGGCACCTGGTCAACGGCTCCACTGATCTCCACAGCTCTGAGTATCTCCTCCATGATGCCCGGCTCCGGGATGTATATGTTGGGCACTAGCAGATCGTAGGTCTGCATAAAGTCCTCAATCGATTCGGTCTGGCAGAGCAGGGCCAGATAATTGCGATAGTAGATGGACTCCTTGAAGGAGTCGCCAACCAAATCGTAATTGCTGCCCGTGTGCAGTAGGTCATTCACCTTCTTGGCCAGCGCCTTGTCATGCAAATGATTGCGGCACACATCCATAGCCGTTGCAAAGAAATACGTGTCCTTGGGATGCTGAATCTTAAACTCCTTGCCTCCAATCTCGTTCAGAATGTCCACAATAACATGGGAGACTGGAGCACGCTCACGACAGAATATGATCAGCAGGTAATAATAGGTGCCTAAACTGGGCACCACGCCCAGCTGCTTAAATTCAGCCAGCAACTTGAGCGCTGAGCTGCGAGCCAGTTTGAAATTGCCAAAGGAACTGATGCATTCGAGTAGCGCATTCAGCGTATTCAGATTGGGATGCAGCTGCTGATCGGCCATCTGCTGTAGCAACTCCGAGCACAGCTGCCAACGCTGATCGGCCGAGTCCTTCAGATAGCTGACAATCTGTATTATGGCATTGTAGGTGTTGGTGTCCAGTTGTATCTGCCTCTCATTCGCCTCCTGGAGCAGCGCATAGGCACGTTCACACTGCAAATACTTGGCCATGCCACGGATGAGGGCTGCATAGGATTGGGGAGTCTTTGGCTCAATGGCTTCATAGAGTTTCTCGGCCAAATCTCCATCTTTCCATGTCTTGCCGTGTCGCTCACGCCGACGACTATTCTGCAGGAACCAGCGCTCTTCGATATACTCCTCGGGCAGTGGTTCCTGATTGTTGTAAAAGCAGACCAGCTCCAAAAGACTTTGCTTGAGCGCATCACTAACTGCGACGCCCTTTTGTTCCAGCAAGTTGTACACCAGCGTCGCATCCGTCAGCTCACCTTGATCAATCAGCTGCTGGAGGGAGTCCACATCCACATCGGACTGTTCCGTGTAGACCATGGATGGTGCAAACTTTTCAATGGCCGGTTGCGCCTCTTGATGCTAAATTGTGTAACGAAGCAAGCTATTAGATTTAATATTTCAGATTTCCTCCTTTCTCTTACCAGGAACAGTTCGCGATGCTCCTCCTTAATCCAATTGGCCGCCTTGCGTCCCGCCTCCTTGGACAGAGCATAGGTCCGCTTGGCCACATTCGACATGGGTATCAGGTAGGGATCATCGTGGTATTTGTAGTGCGGCGCCGTCGAGTCACGTCCTACGGTGCTGGCCAACGCCTGCAGCAGATCTGTTGACGAGCGCTGAATCCGTTTGGGAATTTCAATGTGCTCTTCTTCCTCTTTTGCGGCAGTGGCCGGCGATGCGGCGATTGTGTAATGTGTGCCATTGCCACTGGCAATGTGACGCGTCAGACGGCATCTGGATAGCAGTCTCAATTGGGCCGAGAGGTACATGCTGAGTGATTTGACAGTTAAAAATCACTTCACTTTAAGTTAAAGTTATTTAATAATATTTAGCAAAATTAAATTGCTCTTCAGATGGTAGCAGCAGTGTGACCGAAGTGAGGAAGTGAAGAATGTGTAACAGCTGTTGGCAGTCGACGATGGCATGTCGATTAACTGAGGCGGTTTGTCGATACTGATCGACTGGCGTGGAGCCAACTGAACGAATCTGGCTTTACATTAAGTCCGGTATTTTAATTTTGAATTTTTCCTATTTATTTTCTTATATAATTAATTGAATGTAAAATGAAAATCAATTTGATGTGAGCGTAAATATGGCTACTGATTATCTGGAATGTGTGTCTATTATATACTTTCCTTCTTGCAGCCTGACTTAAATTTAGCTTTACAAATATAAGTCTCTCTTTCTCTCTCTCTCTCTCACTCACTCGGGATTTATTTTATCTCAGTTTTTATATATGTAGCTCAGAGAACAGCTGTTTGGGTTTCAGTTGCTCGCTTGCAGTGAGAGCGGTCGTATTGTTCGTTGAGCTGTTTGTCCGTCTTGGATTCGACTGTCGAATCATGTCCAAGCCGATCTTATATTATGATGATCGCAGTCCGCCTGTGCGCAGTTGCCTGATGCTAATCAAAATGCTGAATATTGATGTGGAACTGCGCTACGTTGACTTATTCAAAGGTGCCCAGTTCGAGAAGCAGTTCTTGACGGTAAGCCATGCAAATCTTATGCCGATTTGGCTAATTTCATTCCAATTTTTGTTTCTCTCCGTTCTTCAGTTGAATCCGCAGCACAGCGTGCCCACTTTGGTGTATGGAGATCTTGTGCTGACCGATAGTCATGTGATACTCATCCATCTCGTGGAGCAGTTCGGTGAGACGGGTGAATTGTGGCCCATGGATAATAATGGCAGACTGAAGGTGCTAAATCGCCTGTTCTTCGAATGCTCTTTTCTGTTTCGCCGTGACAGTGATTTAATGGTGAGTTCTCATTTAAGTCCGGGCTCTGACAGATGCACTTACTCAGCTTACCACAGTCGGAAATCGTACGCAAGCAGTTCGCCAATGTGGATGTGGATTACCACGAGCGCAAGCTGTGCGAGGCATACGACATCATGGAACATTATTTAACCGACCAGCAGTTTATGGCCGGCGAACAGGTGAGCCCAAGTTGGAGAACTAAAGCAAAACCACAAAATTGTAATTGAGTTTTGTTTTTTTTTTTAGCTTACGCTCGCCGATATATCCATTGTGACCACATTGAGCACCGTGAATCTCATGTTTCCAGTGACGGCGCAACGTTGGCCGCAATTGCATCGCTGGTTTGCTATAATGCAGCAATTGGATGCCTATGAGCTGAATCTTCTCGGCTTGGAGAAACTGCGTGAAATTATAGAGCAACTGGGCAAGTTTCACTTTCCCCAACACCAGCAGCAGCAGCATCAGCAGTTGCAGTCCGATGAGGCGACAAAATAATGCTGATATCATTTAGTACAGTGATCGCTCTAAGGAATGTTTTCTTGCTAGAGTTGATTGCAATTGTAAATTCTTATTGAAATGTACTAATGTCTATAGAAGTTAATTGCATATTCTGTATTCTGTTCAATTGTGTTTTTATATACAATAAATGAATTGAAAATATAAAACGAATATTTATTTAATCAAAGGAATCTATTATTCAAAATATAAAACAAAAACAAGGATCAGTCATTATTTTTTTTTATGGAATGCATACACAAATAATAAATAAAAAACAATTTGTAATTTTTATTTGTATTATTACAACTCTGGATAGCCAGGCTGAGTGCAAATGCTATTTATCTTTTGGATAAATTCTGAAAATAAATTTGTTATTATAGCTGCTGTCTGTAGACTAGACTTGTTAATTGCGTTTACTGTTTGCTCAAGGCATATGATGTGTGTACATAACAACCGCTAATGATATTTTAGACCCATTCTTGCAGCTGGACTTCATTAGCACACGCAGAGTCCAGCTGAAGTCCTGCTCAATTGTGGAGGGTTACGCGTACTGTTTGCACTCGAAATGTTGGCCAATATTTGCGTACGGAGCGACGACAGCATGTCATGCCTAATGGCCATATCGAGTGCGTTGAATTGAGTTGGGTATTACTTCAAATGCCATAAAGTACTAGGCGTTAATTGCACGCACCTGATGTAATTTATGACTTGCTGTTCTTATTCCCTGGTCACCCAACTCAAATCTACTTTAACCGACTCGGTGCGCACATAGAACACTCCCTCGACCCTGGACATGCCAGTCAGCATGAGTCGACCCTTTCTGATGTCAGTCAGTGGCAATCTCAGTTGCTGCCACGTCACCTGGCAATTTTACTTTTGGACGGGGAAAGTGCACAAAATGCAACAATTGCTATCCGTTTTGCTTTGGGCAAAAATCTTCTTTCAAACTTTGCAATTTTGCATGCAGTGTCCCAACGTTATTCTGTATAAAAAGCTTATATTAATAAAAAGTACATTTTAACTGTCACTCTTGTTGGATGCACAATCTGTGACGCTTACTTGATTTTGTGAGAATGCCTGAGATGCAATAACAAGAATAGCTTTAAATAATAATGTATATCTATAATATATATTGACTCTAAATACTCAGAAAAACAATCTGTATGCATTTTAGAAAATTGCTTTACTTTTAATTTATTATTCGGAAAGTATATGTGGTTACAAAATTGGTCAACAGTTAAGCTACCCCACTTTACCACAGGTTACACATCAGCCACAAAAAATAAAAATTTAAAAATCGATTACCAGTTTTTAATTTGCGTGAAATAATGATCTGAGTACACGAGGCCTGCAAAATTGTCGTTGCCTTCCGGGCAGAATAAGGCCAAAAGACTCAGAAAACACCTGTTGCAATTTTTTTGCCGATTATTGTCTGCGATGTTGCTGAATTTGACATAACCATTATACTCATTTTTTTAACCAATTTTAATGGATTCAGAGTATAAAAATTCGAAATTTTTATTATTATTATTGATTTCATAAATTTTTACATTTTGTTTGTTTTCCCTTTTGCTATTTGCATTTTGTGTTGAATTCGATTTAAAATCAAACTGCCGGCAACTGATTTTATTTATTGTGCTAAAAACCGTACCAAAAAACCAATATCAAAAAATTATCACACAGGCAGAGATCTGTAATCTTGGATAAAAATGATACAGCATCTAAAATTCTATTTGATTTAAGGTTACAAATATCGAAACATAGTAATCAACAAATTTTATTGGGTAAAGATCGATTGGTTTGGGAGAAAATATGGTCAAAACCAGTATTAAGTAAGAGGGCACAGCACATAGCCAGATTAAATGTTGCAAGAGCCAGGAGTAGCAAAATGCGAATTTTCTGATGAAAACCATTTTAATTTCAATGTCTTAAACGCTTTAAATTATTACTGGCTCGACTTGAAGAAGTCTGACAGATTTTTCCCTACTGGAAGTCGTTGTGGTGCTTCACTCATGATTTGGGCTGCATTCAGTCATGACAACAGGACCCCGATTTGTAAAATTTCAGGTCGAATGAGCACGGAGGGTTTTAAAAACCTGTTGCAAAGTTTTGGTGAACTTAATGAAGCATCTACCAGACCCAAATGTCTTATTCCAGCAGAATATTGCTTCAATACATGTGCCGCGAGCCTGTCGTGGGTGTATTCGGGATAAGAATTTTAACCTTTTAGAGTGGTCAGGAAGATCACCCGACCTGAAACCCATAGAGAACATATGGGGACACCTGGTCAGTCGATTTCAAGTTGGTACTCGACAGTTTGACACAGTTGAGCAGCTACGAAGGCGGTCGTTAACGACTAGTCCACAATCCCACTATCTGAGTTCTAAAAAGTCGTTGAATCGATGTCAAATCGATTTTTTTTTGGCTATAAACAAATCTATAAGCTGAACTCATTATTATTGTGTTAGTTTTATGTAATTTCTACAAATTATATTAATTTTATTAACACTGCTTGTAATCCAACTGAAACAAAAAAAAATTAATAAAAAATGTTGTGTTAATTTTACAAATTTAATTCCTTTATTTTTTGACGTGTATTTAACAATTAACTTTTGTGGAACAAAACATTTTTTTATTATTTTATTTTCAATTTTATAAGGAAAAAATCGAGTGCCTTTAATCGAATGTCGCGGAGTGTATGTCTGTTTGATTATTTACATAACAGTCGCATGCGAGGAGAGAAGGGAGGCGGGGAACTGGGATTCGACTGGACGAAGAAGAGTTGACCACGATTAAAAATGTTGTTTGTATTGAACAAGTTAAAATCGAATTTAAAGCCAATTACAACAACATCAATAATTTGCAGATGCTTTAATTACATTTCCTTGATTTATTGTCGCAAATAATTATACTAAATAAATATTACGATATTGGAGAGAGAGAGAGAGAGGGAAAGGGGGTGAGGCGTGAGTTGTAATTGCATAAATTGAGAACAGCGACAAAGTCGGACCGAAAAGGGGTAAAAGCAGGGACGACAACAAACCAAACGCCTAAAAGCAGACAACGCCTTTTGACAAGAGGCGCCATAATTAAGCGCATAATGAGTGTAAATTAGCATAGCTGTTAAAAATTTCAAGTAGGGACTGGAGCAGAGGGTGTTGTGCCTCAAATCGAGTTATAATGACAAGCGACTCCAACAGCAACAACAACATATTTTGTGTGTTTTTTTTTCCATGTCTCTGGGAACTTTTTTGGCAGCATTTCTTGTTTGAATCCCGTGGCAGGTGCTTGTGGGGCAGGGTTAAGGTCTTCTGCAACTTGAGCTTAATGCTGAAAAATAAATTTTGCAAATTGATTTATGGGAAAAATGTTTGCTTTGATGTCACATTCACATCAGCTTCAAGTTCTGCTTCTGCTTCTTTTTTTTGGCCTTACTCAATTTACTGCAGACCTTTTCTCTTAAGTCGAAAATCTCATTAAGTGCTGCTATCTATTAACTATACCCAGATGCTTGCTTTAAAGTGTTGCCTAGCCCAACTTAGGATTACTTGAACGATCCACATGCGCACCAAAGCACCACAGCAACAGCGCACCAACGAACCACCGCAACACCGCACCACCGCATTGCTGGACCACTTAACCACAGCCAGGAGCATGCCGAGTCAACGGTGCGTGTGCTGCGAAAATATTGACAAAGTTTTATGGTCCAAGCATTCCATCAGCACTTTAAGCCACATTTGTTGATTCTATTTGGGTCAGACAAGTTTCGACAAGAAATAAAAAGATTTTCCTCTTTTTCATTTTCTTTTCTCCCTGCCTTTGCCAAAACTCTGAAGTTCGCCAAATGTCAGTTTTTGCGGACAGCGAATTGAAATTCAGTCGTAGCTGAATTATTGATTAAAAGGGCGGCAAAAATGGAAAAAAAGAAATCAAGTTTTCTTTAGTGAAGGGTGTTAAGCTCATTAATACCTTGTAAGTTAAGCAATCAATTATTGTCTAGAAAGATATGATATAATAATTGATTGCGTAACTTTGGTGTTAATTAGATATTCATTGCTGAATTTACTCAGCTGCCACAAAAACTTAAAACTTGTTGTTAGTTTTAGATTTTTATTTTGTCTATTTTGAAACCATGATTGGTATTCATCTAAATATTATATTTCATTTATATTCATTAAGACTTAATTAAAAATACTTGTCACATATCTAAATAAGGATTAAAATAAACTGAAATAATAATGTTATAATGTGAGAATATCTTAATGCTGAACCAAAGTTTGAATCTTATCATACCTGCCTTAGCCACTTTGTAATAACAGGGTATAGAAACTTATTTTAGCTTTCCACTTTTCGAACAATTATTACCTGTATTTGGTTTTTCTAATTTTATCTTCTTTCAGCTTGAATGAGCAGCAATTTTATTGAATTGGGACTGGGAACCAACCTTTTTTTTTTTTTGTATGTTGGCTGCTGTTTAAGTTCATGTTGGTTGGAATGCGTAATTAGGGTTCTTAATTTTATTTTTTACTTTAAGCCATACGGTTACATTGGCCATCTGGATTGAAATATGCGAAAGCAAAGTTGAAGGGCTGTAAATTATTTGCGGGCAGAGAAAAACCAAAGCAAATAACACAAGCGAACAGGAAAAGTTCAAAAGGAGCCAAAGAGACTCACAATGTAGAAGCCACAATAAGAAGTCAAAAGAAAAAAGAATAGAACAAAAGCATAAATAATTAAAATGTCTGTCAATAAATGCAAACCACAGTGCGTGCACAGCTAATTTATATTCTTGCGAAAAAGGGTATACAATATGTTTACTTAGTATGCAAATAAAGTTTCTGCAAATTTGCACGAACATTTTTAATTGCCTTTCGCGGCAAAAATACAAACGAAGTACAGACGTCAAAAGAATTATGTGGAACCTATAAATATCAATGGCCAGCTCTATTCCTGTTGTGAGGGTGATTTTACTGTGGACCACTCGGCGTATGCTCGATGTGCTGTATTCATATTAATATTTTTATAGCGCAATGACGACATTGAGTCGCGTGTTTTTCCAATAAAATATTAAGCACCAAGTCAACTTTTTAAATAAATAATGCGACTATTTTTAACTGACTGTCCGCAATGGCAAATGGAACTATGTATTTAGTCGCCAAACAACAGCTGCTTTGTTTATTTACGATTATTTGTGAAAAATGTTCGTTACAGGCGAAAGCGCAAAAGTCAAGTGTGAAATATTTTGACAGTGGGACAGACAAAGTAAAGCCTGACTTCATTTCCGATTCCATGTTGTAAAAAGAACGGAAATACGTTGAGCAGCCACTCCAAACAATATCAAACAAGTGGAATTAACCCACAGAAGCAGCGAAAATAGGAAAGCATTTCCCCCCAAGGACAACACAGTAAAACCCCCTAACGCATTGAACCCATTTTCGCTTGACTTCCTTTTTGTTTATTTATTTTTTTTTTGTTGTGTTTATGCGTTGGCATTTGTTTTGCACTAGTAGCAAAGGGCATTGGTATTTTGTTGTGGCATATGTTACACACAGTACGAAAACTCTTTGGTTACCCCAATTACATTTAATGATTGTCTGTTTGTTTCTCTCAATAAATGATATTCAATACATTCATAAGCAAAAAAACACAGATTGCCATTAAAATGGTAACAGGATATAATTGATGACGTCTAAACGAAGTAGCTACTTTCATATTGTACATTTGTTAAGGGTAATCAATATTCGTCTTGCACTCGTTAGCAACTGCTTGTTGCTTATTGTGGCAACAATTTTTGGTCATTGCCATTGCCATTGCCATTTTGTGGAATGTGGCCTTTTGTTACGTTTTTATGTTGATTTATGTGAATATAATCCGAGCGCATTTAGCATGGAGTGCCAGGCGCTAACCAAGTCTAAGCCTGCTCTTGAACTGTTTGCGTGGGCGACTCCAAATCAAATTTACTAAGCAAACAACAAAAAGTGGCAAGCGTTGAAGCGGTCAACTTGCTATTTATATTTGCCATCTAAGCTGCTGAAGAACTATGTATATATATATATATTATGCGCTATTCCTGGGAAATTGGGGTATATTCGAATAACAGAGCCAGTGAATATAACCAACTTTATAAAAACAATTACGAATGTTGTGCTTATAAACATTATTCTCATAATTTATATTTGTATTTTGCTATTTATTTTAATAATATCTAAGTGACACTAGGATTTCAAGTTGCATTCCACACAAACAATTGTAACTTAATTTGATTTTCAATTTTCTTGTTTCATTTTTCTTCATTATTTCAAGCTATGGCAACGCGAATTGTAATCACAAAATTGTCTTGGCAGTCGCGAAGCATTCATTTAATTTGGTAGCCGAAAGGCAAATTTAAATTCACTGAAATGAAATGACAGTAGGCAATGAGATGTTATTTTGGCCATTGCCAAAAAACCAAATTTTGCTAATTAAAAAATTGCTGCCTTGGGGGACAACTCGGCGACTCGGCCCTAGAACTGGACTGCTTTGGTCCACAACGGCTGTAAAAATAAACCAACACGGCATGCGGCGAGAATGTGTGAAAAAAAAGAAAACAATAACAGCCCATGAAACACATCGCAGCAAGCCAAGCAAGCACGAATGCTAGAAATGCCCCTCCGCACCGCTCGCCACCCCCAGCAGTCCACAGCCTGGAAAATCTCAAATGCTGACGCAGCGCAACTATTTCGGTTTTTCTTTTTCCACCTGTTCAATGTGCCGAAGCACAGCGCACAAAAATAGACTCAACCCAGAGCACAATTTCTTGGACAGTTTATGCCAGCTGCCTGCCTCCTTATACGTATGCAGACGATTGTTATCGAAACCGTATCCGCTCTAGCAGGCAATGTTATCGCTGCCGCTGAGTGATGTCAGCGTCTGTGTTAAACAAGGTCACACAGTCCCATCGCATTTACTTTGCAATTATGCTTGTTTTGCTTCTTGTTTGTCTGTTTCTGGCCTTAGTCAAATATTCTGTAGCTGCGCTGTGTTGTTAATGTGAATAAAATATTAACTTTTATTCGGCGTCTGCACTTTTGCGACTGTCGTCCTGCCAGACATGACTTGAAATTGAGCTTGTATTTAATACATTTTGCTGAGCATTTCTCCGCAATTTGTGATTAATTATGTGGCTTGTTCTTCACAAAGCAAAAAATTGTATACACATTCGTATCCAGCTTTCAACATTTGTTTTCCTTACTGCAGGACTCAGAAATACACCTTGGCTGCCAATAAGTTGAATATTCAACATTATTACTGAAAAGAGTATTCAATCTTTGGCGAGTTACACAAATCATAAAATTCCTTCGTGTTTATTAGAAATTTGGACATAATTTAAATATTTGCTGGGCACCCTCGAGCGTTTTTTAATAACGCACAGCGTATAAATTAAATTAATTGCCTGCACATTAAAATGGCTTCGACCTTGGTCATTTGAAAAGTTGTTTTCCGTTTTTAGATTAATGGTAACACTAATGGCATGTGTCAACCATTATAAGTATTAAAATTTGCTTATAATCATTAAATTTGCATAGCTTTTATGTGCGGTAATTGATGAAGGGCAATTCTTAAAAATAATTTACTAAAGAGCTTTATTATGCTTGAAGCAGAGTCAGAGAAATGCCGCACCAAAACTTTGGCAAAAATAATTAAGTGGCGAACATCATTTTTCCTCCGTATCTTCTGTATCTTCAGATATATCCGATAATGAGGGTATTTCGAAATGCTTTAAGAAATCCATTTTAGCTTTGATTGTATCCACCCCCGTTGGCGTCTTTAGCATATCTTCCTCCTCTTCAACGTCATCTTCTTCCTCAAAAAACAATTCAATATTCCCAGTTTCTTCATATTCTAATTGTAATTGTTGACTTTTAGTGGTAGAGGTTGTGGCTATATCTGTGACCTCTATGTCAACCTTATGCTGGAGCTTTTCTGAGTCTTTCTGTATTTCGTTTGAATGAACAGATGTCTCGGAATTCCCTGTTCTAAAACGCATATATCGAGCACTTTTCAAGCGAGCCCTTCTCTCCTCCCGCTTTGAGTCTTCCGATGGGGATTCCTTCTCACTTAAAACTTGGCTACCTTTACTTTCTACAATAGTTTCTGGCACGTTCTCTAGTTGCTGCTGTTCCATTATTGTCTCAGCATTATTTCTTTTATTAGCTACTTTTTCAATTTCATTATACTGTCCAAAAAGTTCACTTTCCGAATCCGATTCGGATTCTGTGCACAATAAACTTATATCAGCGGTAATATTTGAATCTACAGATGTTTGACTTGGACTCAATTTAGTGTCTTTTTTGGGATTCTCTTTTTTAGAGCCCATGTGCAAATTTATAATTTATATTTTGTTTTTCTGCTTTTTTTGAATATAATTTTTTATAGGACGTCAGTCGTAAACAAAATTGATTATATTCCCAAGGCTGACAATTAAATTTGCCATTCCCAAAAGCGCCAAATCTTTCCGGAAATTTGAGCACAGAGATGAATATTGACTTTTAAAGTAAATTGCATCAAAATAACTTGATTGATTTAATTTCTCTCTATAAAAATTTGTAGCAATAGTTAATTTAACTCAAATCACGGAACTGACTCTGCAATAAATATCTTAGAATTTTGTACAAATCCCAATCTAAAATTTTGCAAGTTTTCAACACATTTTCACACAAATTTACTTAACACTTATTGGAAAGTATTCGGAATGTTAATTATAAGCATGATCCAATGCATTTCGATTGCAAATGGAAATTACGAGCAACAAATAAAGGCCAACAAAATATGCAGCCAAACAGCTGCCCAAAAGTCCGAAAAGTGGAAATTTTTGTGATGAGCAGCCATTGTGTATACGTTAATTGAGTTGTAAGAATAACAAATAACACGAAGAAGAAGAAGATGAAGAAGCAGCAGCAAAAGTTTATACAAAAAATTTACTTAGGGGCGCACGTCTATTTCCACAATACGTGTGAAAAATTATTGAAATTGGTTATGCTAAGTTTTTTTGGATGGTCTGGTCTAAAATTAAAACGCACGACTCATGCGAGATGGCGACGCTCAAAGTCGGAATAGTGAGAAATAAATTGGTGCTCACATTCACACACACACACACACATACACACACACACACGCACACACACACACACGCACACACACATATTTACCTGACAGATTCATGCAGGCGACGCCCACGTCTTGGCCACAAATCTCCCACAGCGCAAAGCTCCCACATAGACGACTCCGAATTCGGATATATTTTTGGAAAATTCTTGAAATTCGGTCTATGTGTGAGTGTGTATGGTTTTCGCAGTGGTGTGCGTGTGTGCGATCATCTCTTGCTCTCGCGCTTTAAAAGCCGCATACGCCCTGTGGCCAGGCATCAGTGAAGGCTTGCATTAGCTTTGGTGAAGATCTTATAAACCGATTACTCTCCCCCTCAGAACAAATCACAAACATGTCTCTAGAACGTGCTGTTCGTGCCAAGGTGAATAAAAGTGATACACAAAAGAATAGAAGTAAAATGATAAAATAAAAATTAAAATGCAAAAAATTAAAACTCGATTGAAAAGTGCAAAAAATATGTGAAAAGATAATAATAAAGTTTTTTTATGGCTATAGATTGCCGGCAAACGCAATCCCGAGATGGACAAGGAGGCCCAGGAATGGATTGAGGCCATTCTTGGTGAGAAATTCCCCGCTGGTCAGGTATATGAGGATGTACTCAAGGACGGACAGGTGCTGTGCACTTTGATGAACAAACTGTCGCCCGACTCTGTGCTCAAGATCAACTCGTCCGGTGGACAGTTCAAGTTCATGGAGAACCTCAACAACTTCCAGAAGGCGTTGAAGGCATACGGTGTGCCCGATATTGATGTCTTCCAGACTGTTGATCTGTATGAGAAGAAGGATATTGCCAATGTGACCAACACCATCTTTGCTCTGGGTCGCGCTGTAAGTAGCGATTGACGTCAATGATTGACTAACTGACTAATTGATTGATTGACTGATTGGTTTTTTGCAGACCTACAAGCACGCTGAATTCAAAGGCCCCTTCTTGGGCCCCAAGCCCGCCGATGAGTGCAAGCGTGACTTCAGCGAGGAGCAGCTGAAGGCTGGCCAGACCATCGTCGGCCTGCAGGCCGGTTCCAACAAGGGTGCCACCCAGGCTGGCCAGAATATTGGCGCTGGCCGCAAGATCTTGCTTGGCAAGTAAATTGCAGCAATTGCAGCTTCTGCTATTTTCTGTCTGTCTTTCTAATATGTTTTTAAATTATGTCTATCGTTTAATTGTTAAGTTTACAAACCAACATTAAACCACAAAAATATTCCTCATACAAACACTTACAAAAAAAAGAGAAAAAAAAATGAAAAACAAAATACACACTCACACAAATGCAAATGCACAAAACATAAAAGGCACATCGATGTGCCTTATATTAAGTATACGCCTAAGTTTATTTATACAAATAAAGAGATGATATTGTGGAGAAATTGATAATAAGACCCGAGCACTGATTGAAAGCGAAACGCGTTTCGCCAGTTAATTTTTATTACCAAGTGGAAATCGAATTCATTTCCAGCAGCGCATTTCTAATCACATCTACTTATAACCTTCAGCTGCGAAAAGTTGCCTTGTTGCCTTTGTGTGGGTGTATCTTTTTATTTATTCATTTGTCTATCTATTTGCGTGCTTGATTTATACAACCACATATATCTACACTATATGCATGATCTAATTCTGGCCAAGTCTATAAGTAATTTGTATATATATATATATATATAGATATATATATACGTGAACATCGTTGAAAACATAAACAGCCTGCTGTTACAAGTGTGTGCGAAAAATTCCATTGAAGCGTGCTGAGGTCATTGCAGATAGCTACTTTGAAAATATATATAATATATATGTATATATATCTATCATATATATACACGTATAAATCTGTTAGCTATTATATGGCATTAAGGAAAACAACCCCACACATTTTTTAAAATTTTTAATTATTATTCTTTTGGCATAGCATACCGTTAAATTTTCCTATATTAGAATATGTCTGCAGGTGTGATACGACATTGAAAACATGCCTCGAAAGGCCCGAGTCGTTGTCGAGAATTTCACGCCCCCATTTAATTTGAATGCAGCTGGCATCTTAATTTATGTATTTATTACGAATTTTTTTTGCATCACATTGTTTTGGTACAGCACAAATGAAAAATGTACTTCATTAATTTTTGCTAATTGCTGACATGACTTTATTCTAAATATAAAAATCGCAATTTCCACAAAATCCAAAAAAGAGAAAAAAAAAATATTAAATTTGAAATGAAAATGCATTTGGTACCCTTTTTCCTGACTTAAAAGAAAATGCTGTGCACACTCTTTTTGAAAATTAAGTAATATAATTATGCCCCTTATACAAATAATTTTCTGAGTAATATATTGCTTAAATCTATATTTAGAAGTAACGACATTAAAGCGTGTGTCAGCATTTTGGATTTGTTTATAATTGAAAACTTTCTGCAGTTGTTTGTAAAATTCAAAAGCAGAAATATATGTTTACAAATATGTATTTTGTTTTATTTTATATTTTTGAACAACGTATTTTTGTTTATTAATTAAATATTTTGAATTTAAAGGAGAAATACCACCAAGATTAACGAAAACAAACATAAACTATCAAACTTGACACTGAAAATGAACCGAGATATATTATGTTTGCTCATTAAAAGATTTTCTGTCATTTTCATGGCGACCATTCATAATGAATATATGTAGATCACTGCTTGATATGTAGTTATCATAATTTTATTTAATATTATGATTTTTTTTTTTATTGAATCTTGTCAGATTAATTTATGTCAATGAATGTTCAACTTTGGCAAGCAAGACCAAAATATAATTAGTTTGAGATGAGATATTTTAACAGAATAACTTTGTCTAAGAGGAAATATAAGTCTAAATATAAATGAGAAGAAATAAGTTTAAGTAGGTTTTAACAAGTACTTGAGGAAATTGTTTATTTGGTAAGTATTTTTATGTAATGCGTGTTTCAAGTTCCAAAATGCGTTGTGTGATATGTTTAAAGGTCTCCTTGAGCTCCTTTACACTGGCCTGCTTTGCTCTCACTCTCTCCACAGTCTCATCATAGTCGAACATCAGAGCTGGCATCGACAAGAGACCACCCTGGAAGCTGAGATCAGAGTGGACCTTCCGTATATTGCTACGCTCCAATTTGGCTTTATAGAGACACTCGCGCAGTTGATCCTGCTTCTTCTGCATTATCTCCAGGTTCAATTTGGCAACGTCCAGTTTGCTGTCAAGTGCCAGCGCCTTCTCCCGATTGTGCTGGGTTAAATGCAGTTCCGTGTGATAGTTTAAGCGTAGCTTTTTCAAATCATTGTTACGCTCTAAGCCAAAAAAAATTTTTTAAATATAGTTGGGAATTAGGCCATGCAACGATATTTACCTTCGATCTTTTTGTCCAATGCAGCTACTTGATTTTGTATATTAATAAAGTCATCCATGCAAAGGTCCTCATTGATTTGTTCCAGCTTCGTGATTTTCTGCAAACTCATAAATAAATAATTAATTGTTAAGCTTGTGTTTACATATTTAAATCTTCGTTATGGGGAATTTGAATTTGCATTTGATACTTACATCTGTGATGCGACCCAGTGTGTGTTTCCTAGAGATCAAATAGAGTCGATCATCACTGATTTCATTACGTTTCTGGCTCATTTGTCGCAGTTCACGTTCGATGATACGTTTGAATAAATCCGATTTGTTGGTACACAGTGTTCTCACCATAAGCTCTTCGAAATGTTCTTCGGTATACATGACGATGTTTTGTACATGTGTAAGATCCATTAACACACTGGACATGAGGATGGCGTTCTTCTTTTTTGTCTCCGCCGCGACAGATTTGACATAATCCAATTGCATCAGCGCATTCAAATATCTCTGTTTTTCTTTTACGTAGATATCTCCGGGCAAAGTTGAGAACACTCGAACGTTTTTCATGCGCTTATAATAATCGCACATTTTCATATTTAGATATGTGCACAGCTCTTTCTCATACATCAACTTATCCCTTAACTCTGCCAATTTTTCCTGAAGCTTCAGCTTATCAAATTTATTTCGTAAAATATATTCTTCGTTCACATTCTCCACTTTGTTGACCACATTGTCGAAGAGTTCGTTAAGAAAGTCGATTGCTATCTGAAGTGCTTCTTGTTTCAATTTCCTGGCCTCAACCACATCAGCAGACTCTTCAAAGGGGATAACATCTATGTGACTAGCTTGGAATTTCACAAAGACATCTATTACATCTTCCTCATCTGCGGCTGGTGTCTTAATGTCGAAAATACTATCATTAAAGTCTAAGCTGTCATCGGTTTCAGTTTCACTCTCCTCATCACTTTCCGAATGATCATCAGCAACAATGGCAGTAACAGGAACTGCAACAGGAACCGTATCATGCGAAGAACTTGAACTGCTTTCCCTTCTTAGGGGATGAACAAATTTTCCTTTTGTTTCTCTGTGTTGGGAACTGACAGCCTCTGTCATGTGTTCCACTTCAACAATTTCTTGCTCTTCAGAAATGTCGGATAATGAGGGGAATTCGAAATTCATCAAAAAATTCGCCTTTGCTCCGATTGCATCATTCTTTGCGGGTCCTCTATTATCGACGTCTTCATCCTCATCCTCTTCTTCATCGGTAAACAGTATCTCATCGACTTCCACATCCTCGGCCATCATGCCGTGCATTGCTGTTTCAACATCCGATTCTTCCACTTTTTTTGATCTACCGACGGAGGAATCACTTTCATTTTCTTTTAGTTCAGCTTGCTCTTCATCCTCAAGCTTCTGCTCTTCAATCTGAATGATCTCATCTTGTGCTGACTCAATAAATTCATCATTAATTGTGAAACGTTGATATCGATTCTGCTTCAAACGTGCCCTTCGCTCTGCCTTCTTTTCTTCCTCCGTTTGTGGTTGAGTCGCCTGAGCACTGAGCCGATCAGGTTGGTCAACAGCTGTTAGAGTTGATGCCTCTCGGGGATCAACAGGTGTTTCAGAATGGTCCAGTTCCTGAAATTCATCTGCAGCTTCATCTGCAGCTACATCTGCAGCTTCATCTGCAGCTTTATCAGGCACATTCTCAGGATTGACGGCGCTTTGATTGGAGCTTGTGCGACCTACATTTGTAGGTTGTTCTGATTCGGTGTCCATTAAAGTGTAGCTAAGTGTGTTTTTAGTGTAAGTATAGGTTTTAATGTTTCGTTTGTTTCTGAAATGTGCTGTGTTGTTTTGTTTAGTGTTTCGTCGGGATTTGGTTTTGACAAACATTCAAATCTGATGTAATTTGATAATCATTATTCTTATTTTAGCAAATGAATAATCTATTTTAATGTTCGCTTAATAGCTGCTTTTAATCAAATCAAATTTTTCTTCAGCGATTGGGTAAAAATTTCAGAAATTTTATAAATATATACATATGTGTGGCAATAAAAAATAAATGGTAAATAATTATTGCATATTTTCAGGCTGAATATTAATTCAGAACGTGGGAAAATTATTTTCTATCAAAGCAAGTGTGGCTTGTTTCTTTTTATTGGCCTTTTCAATATTTGACGCCTAAGCAAACCTTTGCTGGTTTAGAGTTGATTGATGGCTTGCCAAGCTTATGACATTGATAAATTTTTAATAAATATGACAAAATAAAACGACACAAGAGAAAATGGAAAAAAAATAAAACTAAATTTAAGGAGGCAAATATTTTGTTAGGGCATCAGGTGCCAGTTGATTTACATAAAATGCTGCAGTCCGCACTTGAGCAAATCGCAATTTGCATAAAAAAAATGAACTGCAATATTTTTGAACAGTTTCCAGACCATTGCTTTATTTTCGTTTGTTAAAATTTAAAGTAAAATATAAAAAATAAGGGAAATGTTTTTTTTTTTAAGATATTCTCTTCCAATTTCACAGCAGCGTCAAAAGGTAAACCATTTTTTTTTTAATATGATTGAAACAAATTTTAAAGAGAATTAACACATCTTTGGAGTAAATAAATTTGAAACTGTAAACTTGAATTTAAGTATTTATTTTGTATTGTGCTACAATTAAATATACTCTCTTGCTAAACTATTTCATTCCAAACACTTTAGGGGATCTGAATAATATATTTTATCAACATATAAAAGAACTTGCAGCTTACACTTTAATTTGTTGGTGCTTTGCATTACATTCGTTTCCAAATAGCAAATATACCCGTAAGCTCTTTACTTTGTAGATTGCCAGGGTATGAAACAGGGTGGCTATAAATTCTAAATTTACTTAAATTATGCAGAAAGTCATCATTTCAACTCGCTTGGATTTCGTTTCATATCATTTCATTTCGCTGCGTTTCGCTTCGCTTCGTTTCGTCACTTGGCTTTTTGATGTTTTTAACTTATGCAGTAGAATATGTATACGCTGTGAGCTGTAGAGCCGGGACATTCATCAGGGAATCAAATTCAATCAGGCTGGCTAAGAATCCATTTATTTTTGAATAAGCTGCAAGGCTCAAAGGATTTTCGCTTTTAAAGCTGCTGAAGCCGTTAAGTATTTGCATTTAATTTCGGCCAGCAAACACCTTTTGCCTTTACAGTTATGGCTTGTATTCGTTCTTTATTAAACTGCCCAATTTTATGCAGCCCGTAAAGGCGTAAATCACAAGTGTCAGCTAAATGCCAAGGGATACACACCGAGATACGCATAACAACCGGCCTGAAATTTCGATAAAGCGTCGCTAAGATACTTGAAATCTAAGAGATACTTTAGCAGTGGTCTTAGTTAGTTTAGGTTCTTTGTTAAACATGCCACTCACGTTGCTGTTCAACATCGAGCATATCCTTTTTTGTTTTGCCTTCTTTTGGGATGTTTTCCTATCGCCATCTGGATTAACCGGCATTTGTGTATTGGCAAGTCTAAAAGCCTTGACCGGCCTTTAAGGGTATCACTTAATGCGATTCAAACGCACCGTGGAATGCATTTATGTTTGAATGTCTACATATATTATATAATTCAATTATAGCACGTATTTTCAGCTGCTTATGAATATGTATTCAAGTATTCATGTCTCGTCAATAGTCGCAAATTGCGTGTTCAGTCAAGCTTATTTGATCTCCGCTGATCTGCCTTATCAATTCCATAGAGAAGCAGACTGCGGCCAGAAGCTCACTGTAAATTGCGCATTCCAAAAAATGAATAATAATAAACAACTAACTTGCCACAGGCGATGCATAAATACCCTTTGAGGCATGAGTGAACAATCTTATATTATTAATTTTATTTTATTTTGATTCAATTTTCATAAAGTGTAGAAAACATTTTGTAATTTGTAAAGCAAATGATATACTTTTATATCTGTAACACATTTATTGCCAAGTCGTTCACGGAAAACATATAAGGAATTGAAAAAGCGTTGCAGCTCATAATAGGAAAGTACAATACTCTATGGTAGGGCATCCAATTAATGCTAATGAAGAGACGCGTTGTGCAAGCCGTAGTCAAGATGATGAAAATGACGCCAGGCAGGAAATTCTTATTATGGATTATCTTTTATTATACTCTGATAATGCAGGTAGAAGAAGTGTATTCGGTTTAATATTTTTTATTTTAATGTCTGCCTTTTAAATACGCCTCAGTTGTAAGCGATTACGTTGATAATTGTAAATTGATAAATCCATAAATCTGCCATCAGTTGTAATATAGAGTCAGTAAATTTGGATTGCAGACTTCTGGCGATCTTCTTCCCAGAGTTAGAGCCACACTAATCAAATTTAAAGAGTACATGGACCGTTTTCCGCTGGTATAGCTGTCATCAGAGTATTCCACAGTCGGTTACGGCAGAGTGCAACGTTCTCATTTGTTGTTTATTTTCATCGATCGCAGCACGACTGTGAATCTGAGATGCCTCAATTGAACTGAAAGCCAGTGTCAGCTGTCTATTATCAAATGGCGAATCAAATGTCTACAAAGTGCGGTAAGGTTCATAAGAAACAGTAGAGAGCAATGCCAGTCAGTTGAGAAATACAAGTCGCAGCGTGAGCTACAAACAAGCAAGTGGGCAGCATAAAAAACAATTTGGGATCGAGGATTAAGATTTGAACAGCTTGCAGGAGCTACTTATAAAAATGTATTCATCCATATTCATTATGACTTTGGCGGCGCTACTGCTGAATGCAGCATTGGCTCTGCCCATCAATCTGGAAGATGTTCCAGACTCTGCCGAGATCGATGAGCACTTCGAGGAGCTGCTCTGTGGCAACAGCATGGAGGACGAGGTAGTCAGCTCGGAGCATGGACGTGTCCGTCGCACACCCATTGAAGATCCTGACCCAGATTTCCGCACACCCTGCGAGTCGCACGCTACTCATGCTCACGATGAGCTGGCTCACATGCATTTGGGGCACAAGCACGTGGGGCGGGAGAGGCGAGCAGTTGGTGAGGATTCAAGTGGCAACTCTTCAGAGGAGAAGCAAGCAACAACAAGCGAGCAACCCCAGGTTATTGACGGAGAGCAGCCCAAGAAGGAGAAAATACAAAAAGATAAAGATAGTAGTTCATCAGAGGAGAAGCAAGACAAGCAGCCCAAGGAGGAGCCAAAGCAAAAAGATAAGGATAGTAGTTCATCAGAAGAGACGAAAGAAAAGCAGCCCAACGAGGAGCCAAATCAGCAAGAGCTGGCGACGACAGAGTAGAGTGTACTTCGCAGGCGTGAGGCTACTGAGCCTTGATAAGGATGTGTGGATGAATTGGATGATTTAGAATAGTCAAATACTAAATATAAGAAACACTCGTATTCGTAAATCAAACAAATAAAAACTTATACTCATATTTTTTCAAATTTGACAAATGTTTCTTATCAGCTATTGCTGCTAATGACGTCATCAGTTTTGTTGTTTGCTTCTATATACATATATTATAGATAGGTTGCTGGTAAGTAGTCCATCTTCGCTCGACCTTACAGCCTTTTATGAAATGCTTTCCTTTGGGGTCTATTCTATATTATATATTCTATATAATAACCTGGACTGCAGCTGGCCTTGGGCGGATCATGAGAAAACCATTTACTAGTGAGCCGCACACTCAGAAAAAATATGACTAGGTATTTTAATGCCGCTGAGATTGGTACGACTATGCAGAATGTTTTCAAATTATGTCGTGAAGGAGATGTTTTCATATGAAGTATACATATTCTTGACAAGCATCTGTCGACATATCTGTACGTCTGCCCTCCATCATCATCGGACTCCGGGCCAAATTTAGGAGTGGCTGTGCCAGAACAAGACGCCATCATCTCACTTGATTGAAGCTTTCTCTTTACCCTGTAGTCATTAGTATTAGCTTTCGTAGTTTGTACTTTGCTTGCAGCCAAATTTTAATTATTGTCTATAGTGCAATTACTTTAGGAGCACAACCTATTCTTGACTGCATATGCGCAATTTAACATAATTATAAGCTATCCTCACAAACTAATAATTAAACGTTTAAGTTATATTTCATTTTACATTTTAAGATATTTTGTATATTATTTGAATTTTGTTTAATTTCATATTGCATTTGTAAGAATGCAAACAAATAAAGAGCGCATTCGACATTGGCATTTTATTAAAATAATGTGTGCAAAACCAACCAGTAGTTGTAGTTTTATTTATATATTATTATTATTTTTAAATTTGGCTATCTTTAAATTTCAATGTTTTTCTATTTAAATGTGTTTCTATTTAAAAGCCGAATACGTATATTTGTTTTTCTACTGTAAAAAAAAAAAGATTCGGTTTGAATTTGTATGCTTTAGTTTAATAAACTTGGAGTGTGTGTTGAGCACTGTTTAAGTAGTTCTAGTTGCTGTCGTACAAGTAGTTGGTGAACTGTCCGTTTGAACAACTCTCATATTGGTCCAAAAGGTGTCCAGTCCAGGCTGCCTTCAGTGTTCGCTCGAGTGCTGAGTCCTTTGTGAATTCTGCTTTTGAGTTTTTGCACAAAAAGCAAATTGTGCTAGCTGCAAATGCGTTTATTATGGCTGCAGGTGCTTAAGACTTGTCAAGCACTTAACTTACACACTCGCACACCCAAACCGAGACTCGCATACACACACAAATATACACACGCACACATCCACACACCCCCAGACACGAAAACACATGCAATTAACTAGCTTACGGCAATTTTCGCCGGGATTTCTTTGCTGCGTCTGAATTAAACACCTCTAACTTTATGAGATGTGCGAACAATTTGAAAAATTTGAAAATCTGACACACATACACCTTAAGTAATTATATAGATAGTTCTTTCGTCAGTAAAGAAATTAACTGGGATACAAATTTGACTTTTAACACACTGATTTTCTAAAATCAAGTACACATTCGAATAATACTCTATCAAAGTATGAAGTACTCATAAGACTGAAGTCCTCCTGCTGTTGAGTAAATCGTGCTGAAGGGAGCTAAAGCTTAAAAATTCCGAGCTAAAATCACTAACTTCTTACACAACTAAGTACAAAGTGATTTACAGATTTCCTGTTGTTTTTTTTTCCAGTGCACTCGCGATTTGAGTGACAATAAAATGGCCCTTAACGCATTGTTTACATGCATAAAACATGGAGTCTACGTTTTGTGAGAGTGGCAACAGCTTTTGCTGCACTTAGCTGCAAAAATGCGGCAAGCCATGGCAACTTGCCACTCCATCGGCAACATCATTATGGGCACATCAACCACACAAATTGTGGCTGCAAAATGCCGTCAGCAACGTGACAAAACAAAAGTCAACTTTTGTACAAATAAGTTTCAATAAATGGAAAACAAAATGATGACAGTCCCCTCTTTACATTGTCCCCCTTCTTGTGGCTTATATTGCGTTGTCGACCAACTTAGTGGGCCAATAAGCAAGACCCAGCCAGCGATGAGACATAAACGGAACGAATGTGAGCAGAAATGGAATGGGGTGGAGCATCCATTGTTGGTCCGGAGTTTCTTTCTTTTTAGTAAAATTTGACTAATTAATCGACTTTTGTTATCTACTTAGTACCGCTAAGGAGACATGGAGTAGTCAAATCGACTAAAAACTGACTGCCTGAAAAATCTACTTTTTAAATGGATGCAAAGTGTGGGAATATCATGATTAGTTCATTCTCATGGAGAACAGACCACTCTGTATGCCATTAACATCTCTGAAAACTGTAATAGGCGAGAGAATTACAAATTGTTGTAATTAAATCCAATTGCTTGTGTTTTTAGAATTGTATATACCCCACAGAAAGCGATCGCAGCCCACAAATATCTGTCACACAACAGCATCGTCAAGGTGCAGCCAGGGATCAAGGTGTCACGTGATCACACCAATGATATCGATCGATATCGATATTATATGTTAAGTACCCAGTTGCATGTTAAGTTACAGATGTTATGTAACAGTCTTATTCTCACTACACTAGTGGCCTGCTACAGTATGTCCACCGGACAAAGAAAAATTCTTATATCAAATCGTAATATATCCACGCTCTCAGCATCCGAGACGCAGCGGAGCGAGAAATCTTATTGTTAACCACCAATAAAATGCAAATTCAAAACAGTGGTGCAGAATGATCAATATAATTTTCTAGTTTTATAAATTATATAAAAATGTATATTCCAGTGCAGCTGAATTTGTTTCTTAATGTCATTCAAGAATACTCAAATTTAAAACAAACAGTTTCGGTTGGTTATAATTAATATACATCTATATATTTTATAATAACTGAAGCATATAATATATCATAAATATGATTAGTAACACTTTAAGACGACAATGATATTTGAAATCAATAATTTAGCCAACCTCTATGCGGCATACGTTTCGTAGCTGATCAAGAATATATTCAATGCGTTACAAACTTGACGAAAAAATTCGAATACCCTACAAGTGTATTGAGACAATAAACAACAAAAAGGAAGACATTGCTTAATTAAGTCATCTGTAGTATATATAATCTGTCTTAAATTCGGAGAATATACTTTTATTTATTATTTTGCATCGGTTGACTTGCAGTGTCAGTGTCACGCATGTATCAGAAGTCGACAAAGTGATAATCAGTTGTACGATAATGTTTTAAGCAATAGCTTAGCAACGTCAGTCAGTTGGGCATCTCAAGTCGCAGCGTGAGATCACCGAAAGTGGACAGCTTAACGATTGATTAAGGTGGCAGAAGCTACTAGCTACTTGCTACTTGCCTATCAATCTCGATGATGTCCAGGAAACAACCGAGGTAGCCCAAACCCCTGAACAGCTGCTCAATCAGCAGATTGGCAATAACATTGTCTCCAAAGCAGTCAGCTCGGAGTATGGTCCGTGACTTTTACTGCGGAGTCAAATATTGCCGGCAGCAGTAGAACACACTTGATTGGTTCCACAGGAACCCCAAAAAGGCGAGCTGTGGGTAGTTTATCATTCAAATATGATGAGGATGCTATTGGTTCCCCGGATGACACAACCATTCTCAATAATATGGCCGTGATGGATAAACAGTCAAAGATAAACATTGAAATTCGCAAATAAGAGCAAGAATTCTAAACTTTTCACGTTTGCCAACCTTTTCTTATCAGCCAGTGCTGTGTTAACGACGTCATCAGTTTTGTTGCTGTTTGTTTATATTCATATATGTATATATATTCATGTATATATACATATATTGTTCGGGCGATAAGTGCAGATTCAGCGTTCAGGTGTCCAAGTTTGTCTGCTGAGTGTTTTTCACACGATTCTAGAGAAGTTAATGCATCTTTGGGGAATCCCTTATCTGAGAGCGTCAAATAGATTGTTGTCAACGTTGACAAAGCTGAAGTGTAATACATAAAAATAATTCTTGCTCTTTTTAGTTCGCAGAGTTTTCGGGACACTTTGTAATCTCCAATAACACAAAATGTTAATTGCTGTGCTTTAATGAATTCAGTTTGAACATCATGTACATTGCCTTCGATTTCTTTTTATAACATGAAAATAATACCGCTGAAATCAGGCATATATACAGAATATATATAAAAAAACATCCAGAATCGCGGCATGCGTCGTCAGCTAAAAAACAACGTATTGAAAAGATCAGCCACATTTTACAGAACGAATACTTTTCATGGCCCCAAAAAAAAAGAACTCTCAAGAATGCAATGAAAGGCCGCATCGACAGCAATATACCCGATACCCAAATGGTTTGTCTGTCTGCATTACATTTTGCTGCATTTGTACCGAATTGTAAAGAACTAAATAAGCTGAAGGGTTTAGAGTCAACAAGTTTTTAAAGTGTACAGCAGATGCCGATGCTCCAAATCTTTTAACAATTGTTTCAATGTTTTATTGATTTGAGATTCAAATTTAATATCACTACAGTTTCAGGAGGTAGTACCCAATATTTTTAAAAATCTGCCAAATATATGCTATTAATTATAAAAAGTAAAATTTGTTCCTTATTGGCTAATAATTATGTAGCACATCGATTTCCGACCTGAATCAAGTTGGTAATACTGTAGCTCTTGGTTTTATGTAAACTACACAAAACTAATATTCCCCATTTGGGTTGAGGTATATTAAAAACAGCATTTGCTGACGCGTGGCAACTATAAAAAAGCGAATGCACCACAAAGGCAAACTTCTCGAAATTATTTCATCACTGTGCCTTTTAGTTTTAGTTGCCCGAGTCGTCTGCAATCGTGTGGAAGCCAAAGAAAATTGTGGAAAAGCGTAAAGCGTAAAGCTAAAAAAAGATTTAAAAAAAAAAAAAACAAATTCGAAACATTTTCCTACTTAACTTGGGCTTTATACAACGATTTCATAATTAAATAAATTTCACAAATTGCTGAGCTCTAAGAATTTTATATAAGCTGCAAAAAACTAAGAAGAACATTTAAATTTCTAATTGGTCGAGTGCATTGTGCAATGCGTGAAAGCTGATTATATAAGACACGCAGTTAGGAAGTTGCATTAACGACAAACGTCTTTCAAAGCATTGGCACAAATCAAAACAAAAAGCCGGCAAAACAAATAAGAAATTATATTATATTTCATATATTTGGCACGGGTTATCTTTTTGGCAGCTGAATTTTGACAGGCGCAGAAAAAAGAAAAGTCAAAAGCAAAAGCAAAAGCAAAGAAAAACTATTGCAACCAAACTGTATAAAAATACAAAGAGAGAGAGAGAGAGAGAGAGATATATATAGAGAGAGAGAGAGAGATAGAGAGAGAAAAAGATAGAGAGAGAGATAAAAAGAGAAAGAAAAAACAGAGCGATTGCAAAGAATTATAAATAAAACGAGCAGCTACGCAAAAAGAGCAGCGGCAAAAAGCGAACAAAAGCAACATAAATAAACAAAGGGACCAATAACTACGACAACAACAAGAACAAGAAGAACAACAAGAATATAACGATGCCTGAGCCACTGGGATTGCTGTATTCCATGCCAGAGACAAAGAAAAAGGCACCCATTATTAAGGTGTCCTGCGGCATTGGCGATACGGACGGTTATCCCGCATTCGATGTGGAGTCGGATGCCTATGACTCCAAGGATGATACCAAATGGGGTTTTCTGATAACCGGCGGCGCTGAATTTCACATGCTCTTAACCGTGTTTCAGGTAAGCGGGAGGAGTGTGGGTGGTTGGGATTCATATGTCCGTTTAACTATGCACAGGGTGTAGTTTCCCTTGAGAACTCAAGTGTATTGTTATTCATATTCATCTCGACGTTGTGCGGCTTCCCAATTTCCAATCGACAGCTGCAATTTCCCATTTCGTCAATGTGCTATTTGCTCGATTTTCTGGCTCCAAAAGCAACACATAAAGACAACAATTTTATATTTACGAGCCATTCGACTATGACGAAATCATCGCAGACAGCCAAATAAATATTTCACTTTGCTGACGCTCGTTCGATGCGGCGTATGCGCGACAATTATTGTGTGGCAGTCACAGACAAAGAGCGGGGTGAACGTGGCGGGGCAGCACTGCGTTCTCGTTTCAATTGCTTTTACTCTTCAGCTGCGAGAATGCACAATATTTGGGTTAAAATTGTTTCTGCCCATTGCTTCTGGTTTTCACGTCTGTCTTTTTAGTTTAGCGAGTAGCGAAAATATCAATTTTTATTTTGTCTATGAACAGACAAATCGGAACATAAGTAAAGTCCCTTATAATTTCAAACATTTTGTCGAATGGTTTTGATAGATGTTAACAAAAATGGAGCAGATTTTTCTTTTCATTTACTAAGCGATTTTGTATAGAATTTTATACGTTAAATTTGGTTTATATTTGAGATTGCTGTTTCCTTTCATATGCTCATAAAATTATTTGAATCTATTTAATAAACTATTCATTTTAAATATGTGTTTTGCTTAACAAACATTATGTTTATAATTTTAGTTTAATTTTTATTTTACAACTAGAGTTGAGTCCTTATTAATTTTAATAATAAACATAGAGTTTTCGATTTATTATTGATTATTTCCTTATTTTAGCTATTTATTTAGTTTTTCTCATTTTAAATTTTAAATTTAATTTCTGCTTTATTTTATATAATTTAATTTTTAAATTTAATTTTCGATGTATATTTAATGAATTTTTTTTTTTTGTTTAACTGTTGTCCACATTAAACATTGGTTCAAATGAAACAAATATTTAAGACTTATTTATTTCCGTTAACAATTAAAACAAAACAAAAATATAACAATTAAATATGCAATAAAAATAACCATTAACATTCTGAAGAATTTCTGTCTAAGTTTTTATAGAGCATGCCAAATGTAGACATATAATGTCTACAGTATCTCGTACACTTAAAAGCAGACTGTTTCAAAACACAGGCAACAAGTATCTCATTGTGTTTTCGGAGCAAACTTACATTTGAATACATATATATGTATATATGCCGATTTCCCATCCATTTGTATCTGTCTGTCATATATCATATACACATAAGTAGCAAAAGTATTTGCTCGACCTAAACTCGAACTACGCAACATTCTCATTCAATTGTGCGCTGACTGCTGCCTCGTTCGGTACGTGAAAGCAAGAGTGTTGAGAGTAACCTAATAGGGTATATTTAATGAATGAAATGTGGTAAAGTAATAATTGTCTCTTGTGCAGGTGTCACCCGATGGTATAGCTGACAAATCGGGCATACGTCTGGGCGATATAATACTCGAAATCAACGAAGAGGACGCTACGCAGCTGACACTGGCCCAGGCACACGAGCGCATCAACGCCACGCCCAAGAAGGTGCATTTTCTCATGCGCAAGTAGGTTGCCCCAGTTACTAAAATATACAAATCGTGCATATGTATATATTATTATTATGTAATGCTTGCAGCATGGAGGAGGATGATCCCATGGGCATGTACGAGGCCGGCGAGGAGAAGTCGATTGTGATGCGTGTGCCGAAACCTTTGCCACCACCAAAGGGTGAGATTTGTTATGTTGTTATTACCAGAGCATGTCGAAATTGTTGCAAGCCCCTAATCAAAGACAATGGCATGAACTGTCTGTTGTTGCATTTTGTGGTAACTCACACAAAAAAAAAAAAAAAAAGAAAAGAAAAACCAATATTTTTTTGGTTGTATCTATTTTGTAGACTTCACCCCAACCCCATTGCTTGGCTCGCGTTGTTGGCATCCCATCATGTGGCATGAGCCGCCCGAGCCACCCAAGCCCAAGAAAAAGAAAACCAAAACCCAACTCGATGAGGAGGGCAACGAGGTGATCATTGAATTGAGCGAGGACGAGTCCTCCGACGATGAGGACCAGGTGAATGCCAACAAGCAACATTAACCAACTAGCAAATCTCACTCCAACAATTGATTTTTACCTCTGTTCTCTTTCTTCCGACAATCCGTCCGAACAAAAACACAAAACAAAAAAAAAAAAACAAAAAAATGCAGGAGCTGCCACATCATCGCATTATACGGAATATTAAACGTTTCTTTGCGGAGGTCGGAGACAATCAGGAGCTGCGCAGCAGCACCATTGAGAACATGCTGCTGGCCCTGCCCACTGCATCGAGATCCGCGAAATAATGGCGATCCTCCTCACTACTCCACAACCACTCAATTGCAACCTTAACCCCATTAATACTTGCATCTTTTGTGCCTAAAATCCATGTATATAAATCTTAAGCAATTGAATGCCATTTTAATTTATGAGTGTCGTTTCTTTCTGTACCTTTTCAATAAACTTTAAATCATTAACTATAAAAATCATAAATCAGACCATCTTCGTTCAGACCGCGTGTTGCCCAGCTCGATTGAGATGCGGCTCCTGGAAATGCAGCGTAAGCTGTCTGCCATTGCTGAAATACCAAAAATATTATCCTCGACATTGGCCACCGTCTCGCAATCCTTTGGATCCGAGGAGATGTTGTACATGCAGCGTAAATGCTCCTACGATGAGGATGCGCTCGACTATGAGCTAATGGAACAGTTGGATAGCGCAGATGAGATTGATACAGAGCAGGAGGATGATCTGGTGCAGGTGCAGGATGATGATGAGGACAAGTCGCTGCTAGAATGTGAATCAAAGCAACTGAAGGATTTGACGCCAGAATCCGATTATGCATCCGAAGTCAATTACATGACAATTAAGCTGAGTGACGAGCCAGACAATGACAGTGGCAAGGACGGAGGTGCTGATGATGAGGAAGAACAGGACGAGGACGACTTGCCTGCTCACCAGTCAGTGTACTATATAAAACTGCCTGCAGTGTCAGCCGACCAAGTTGGGGCATTAAATATCAGTTTCAGCGATGATGAAAATGAAAATGTTGAACATGAGATTGAGAATGAGAATGAGAATGACAGTGATTTCCTGAGCACCACTTACACATGGAATCTGCGAAATGTGCCCAAGCTGAGCGTAAGTGATGCCGTGGGCGTATGTGATTTGACGCTCAGCCCGCAGTTGGAGGCGCCGTCACATAATGCCGATGACACTTCAAAGGTGCGCTTAGCAACGCTCGAGGCAGCAACAACAGCCACATCTGCCACGGAGTCACAAAAGGTAAAGCAATCAATGCGGCGACGTCTCATTAGGGACATAACATAATATGACATTGTCACATTTTGCAGCTGCTCTTCAAGCTGGATAACCTGGAGCGCAGCTGGCCCTGGGCGGATCGTGAGAAAATCATTTACAAGTGAGTTGCACACTCAGAAAAAATCTGACTATAGTTTGTCTTCATAAATTCTTGTGTAGGACTTAACATTATTGTTGTGAATTTCGTTAAGTTTTCGATCCCATAAGGCATAGATAACCCACAGATATTTAAAAGCATTATAATTTAACTATAAAATAAAGTATACTTTTTATATTTTTGTGAATTTTCGAAAGGTTTATAAATATTTCATTTAGTTATGCTTTTCATAAAGGTGTTTAACAAAAATTTTTTAAATTTTTTTCTGAGTGTAGACAGTCTGCAGTCATTTGGCTAATATTTTGTATTCTTTTTTGTTGATTTTCTAACAGGCAATCAACTTGTCATCTGGTTCAGCGCAAGCCGCTGGGAATAGTCGGGCAGCGCATTCAGCTACTGGCCAAACAGGAGCTGCTGCGCCAGGATAAGACGCCCTAGACAAGATGCCAGGACAAGACGCCCTTGATCAAAGCGTTCTCTTTTCTCTTTAGTTTTAGGTATCGACGCTTGCACTTGGCAGGCAGCCAACTTTTAATTGAGTTCATTATGCAAATACGTCAGCTGCACAAACTATTCTTGACATCCCCAACGCAAACGGAACGTATGAGAAATTTTACTCTCATTTACATATACATACATATATACATGTAAATGCTAGGTAGTTTTCAAAACTAATGTGAAGTTTTTTAATTACAAGTCACTACTACTAATCATGGGCATAATATTTTTATATGCCTTGTCTTGAAGGTCGAGGTGTATATTGGTTTCATGCAATGTCTTTCATGCTGTCTGTCCGTCCGTCTCTTGAAGTTAGCGATTTGAAACTGAATATATATTTATCAATGCCCTTGTCAGACAAAGTATTAAATTTGATTTGCTACTCCAACTGAGAAAACAGGAAATCGCTTTAATCGACACGCTCCAAAAAAATTATCCACCACCAAAGAATGGCTCAAGTCCATACCTCGCACAATTTTAAAGGTAAGATTTTTTGAAAGAGTCATGCAATCCCAATTCCGACCTTCCAAGAAGTTAATTTGCCACCTGTTTTCAGCTGGCATATCAGCCAGATATCAGAGTATTCCGCAGTCGGTTACGCCAAACTGCAATGTTCTCACTTTATAGTTTTAGTTTTGGTTATCTTTCACAACATTTTTGTTTGACTATTTTTCATGTTATTTCGATTTTGCATAAATAAATAATTTAACAAACAATAAAAAACAATCGATAATTCATTTTACTATTCTAAGAATAATTATGCTTATGGTGCTTATGATAAAAAATCACTTTGCATTCTGAGTATCAAAGAGAAATTGTGAATTTCAGTTGAGCACTGTTTAAGTAGTTGTTGTTGCAGTCGTATAAGTATTTGAATGCTGTCCATTTGAATCACTCTCATGTTGGTCCACATGGTGTCCAGTCCAGGTAGCCTTAAGTGTTCGCTCAAGTGCTTAGTCCTTTGTGAGTGCTGCTTTTGAGTTTTTGCACAGAAAGCAAATTGTGCTAGCTGCAAATGCATTTTTTATGGCTGCAAGTGCTTAAGACTTGTCAAGCACTTAACTTGCACACTCGCACACATAAATACACACACCCACCCACACAGGCACACACACACATGCAATTAAACAGCTCATTTACTGTTCGCTGCGTCTGAATAACACACCTCTAACTTTATGATATGTGCAAGGAATTTGCAAAATATGACAATCTGACACACACTGCAAAATACATAATCTAAGAATGAAGTTCTTATAAGCATAATAGCTTAATAAAAGCTCTTTTAATAGTGGAAGAGAAAATCTATGCATTAAGTTGTTTGAATCTAATTTGTCATTGTAATTGATTGTATAAGTCGAAAAGGTGCTAAAATCATTAACTATTTACACAACTAATCACAAAGTAGTAGAGATTTAATGTTTTTAGCTGTGGCAATAAAATGGCACTTACCGATTTCGTTTACATGCATAAAACATGCGGTGTCAAGTTTTGTGAGAGCGACAGCAGCTCTTGTTGCACTTAGCTGCAACATGCGGCGAGCCATGTCAACCTGCCACGCAATTGGCGACATCATTACGGGCACATCAACTACACAAAGTGCGGCTGCAAAATGCCAACAGCAACGTGACAAAACAAAAGTCAACTTTTATACAAATATATTTCAATAAATGGAAAACAAAATGTTGACAACTCCCGCTCTACATTGCCCCTTATCTTCCGATGCTACTTGTGGTTTATATTGTGTTTATATTACGTTGCCGACCAAATTGCCACCAAGCACAGGCAAATGGAATTTATCACCCTGGTAGCAAGTACAATTCAACTTAGTTCACAGGCCAGATATGATGAGGGCTTCAAGGGTTTCATTTCATTCATAAACGTGGTCGGAATGGGACTAGAAGAGACGGTATGTCCATTACAAGTCCTGAGTTCAATTTTCAAATGGCCACTCAAGCGTAAAAGTTGGCTAATTAACAGACTTTTGGTATGTGCTTAGTATCTAATAATACTCACTTATTGCTCAATTGAATGTTTTGATTTTATAAATGAAATAAACACAATATTAACCTTAATTTCAGCGCTGCAATATTTATTTGATAATAGATCTGAAAAATTCCATAAAAACAAAACAATTTTGTTTACAATTCAAATACATATATTTATATAGTTCATATACACAGATTAAGAAGCATTCATCTAAAATGGCGAAAATATAAAGCGCTCCAGTTGAAATGTTAGAAAGCTCAGCTTACAACTTAAATATATAGCCACATATGCGATTTTATATGTATATAGTCAGAGACACATGACACTTACAGACAACAATGATATTTGATATCCACATAAATTCTTAATAACCATATAATAGTTAAATTTGTATATTTTTATGCTTTAACTAAATGCAAGTTGCATTTCGTTTTTACAACAATGTCGCCAGCTTTTGTGCAGCGTTTGGTAGGATTTTTTTTTAATCTGATCCGTATTTCAAATCAGAATGGATTTACAATAATACTTTTATTGCACAGTTTTGTTGAATATAAATAAGATGCGCCAGTTGTGCTTTGAACTTAATCGTATTAAATTAGAAAATGCGATAAATAATTAAATAAATGTATCTTCTTGTTAGTTTCGTATTTCATTTTAAAATTAATTATAATTTGATCTTATGGCTTAGATAATGCTGCAAAAAAATGGAGATTTAGCTTGGAAGTTTTTGTGAAACGCAACTTTGCTAAGATATTCAGCTATTTGTAGTTCAACATTCTTCGGCCTGGGGAACTTTTGTGGTAGGTGGAGTCCTTTTCACTTGTTTGGTATACAGTTGTAGAGTTATCTATTTTGGGCGGGTAGCTACTTAAAATTGGCTTAGACTATGAGATTTTCTTACAAGATTTGTGACTCGGTTGTATGCATTAGATGTGTATTAATGTGTGTGTGTTTGTTGGGGCAGTTTAAAGCGCCTCATCGGCTATGTTATTGTGATCAGCATTCGCAGTTGCATTCATGCTGACAATGACAACACCTGTACCAATAGATGAGCCTGTTCCTGTACCATTTGCTGGTGCTGCTGCTGATGCTTCGGCGGCATCCTCTGCTATTGTCGTCATCAGCGTTGGTTTGACTACCTCCGCTTGCACATTGACTGGCAATTGCATCTGCATGTTACCAGCTCCAGTTTCCCCCATGAGCGGCTGACGCTGGTGTGCATTCTCCAAGTTGGGGCGCCGCAGGAAGTGCAGTTTTTGCCGCCAACCATCCAGCAGTCGGGACGAGCTTGCTGTGGTAGTGTGAGCTGTCAAGGACATGCTCTGGCTGCGTGTCCGCTGCTGCTCTATTTGCAGCTGCTGCTGTTGCCGCTGTTTTTGCTGTTGCTGTTGATGATGGGGCGCTGAGGAGGCGCGTCGTTTGGCCGATGAGGACAAGTCCTTTAGTCATACCTTCTCCTCGCCAGGCACTGGCGGACCGCAGCGCACGAACTACAATCAAAAGAACTGAGAATTTGCTATCATGGTGATTGGCAGGTTGGAAAACGGTGCGCTGCATTTTCATCGCTTTTTTCTTGCTAGCTTTTGCTAATTGTTTTGTGTAAAACGTGGCGTATACTTAACATGCAGCAAACCAAGAAGTTCGTTAGAGTTTGGAATTATGTGTGCCTTGGCCAATTATGTGTGTGTGTGTGTGCTTGTGAGTAGCAGTTTTTATATATTGCATATATTAGCTCATACGCGCCGTAACCCGAATTGTATTAATAAATAAAAGGCAGAAGCATGTGAAGCTCATATGGAATCTTACCGAGACCTGAGTGGCTGTATAGGAATTGGTGCGTGGTCTATTGCTGAAGCACAGCGTCCGCCATTTGCGCTTCACTTGGGCAATCACCTCGCCATTGAAGAAGCAGAACAATGTTGCCACGCACAGACCCTGCAAAGTACACAAAATAAGAGGAAAAAACAAGTAGTGTAACAGAATTATTATCAGTTGCTGTCGCCGTCACAATTGCGCTTGTTAGATTTTTCCGTAGCCGGCGTTGACTGCGAAATGTGCCTTAAGTCTAATGCAATTTTGCTTATTCGCCATTTCGGCACGGCTCAACAGATGCCAATTCATTTTGGGGTCCCAACAAACATTCATTATCTCTGTCCCACTAAATGTACATATCTCTATCTTTGTTCGCATCGCTCCGTTGTTGTCTGTTCCCTCTGTTTGAGTGGTTCGTCAGTTTGCCATTGTATTTGTTTATGTTTGTGAGCGTATTTAATGCATAGTTGCGTACGTGCATGGGGCTGCCTTCCGGATTGCTTACTTATACATCGCCTGCATATAAATGAAATTGGCAAAAGGATTCATGCCATTGCCAATGCAAACGTTCTCGCTACAGCTTCCTAACTCAATCAAACGCAATCACGCACACAGTTTAGTAGTTGAGCTACGAACTATCCTCGAAATTTATAGATTCAGTAAAAGGCTTACCAAATTCATTCTCTCGCTCATTAAACCATCCCAAGTAGAAGTTCTCTGCAACTAATTAATTTATTGAGATCTCATTTTATTTAATAACCAACTAAATAAAAGAAACTCAGTTTATTAAACGGAAATTTTTACGCCCGCTGATAGTAATGAATTGTTTTTCGACTATTATCGACTATTTATTATCCAATCTTGATGAAATCTATGCATTTACCCTAAACATATGTCATTGTATATTATAAATCAGCTGGAAGGCAATGCCTTTTAAATTGTCGCTTTTATTGCCATCAGAAATCCATGTGCATAGATATTCGGCAGTTAATGGGGCCCACAATTCCAGACTGCATATCTTATTCATTAAGCAAGGCGAGTACCTCTCATAAATTAGTTTCTTCATTGAAATTTATTGCCACACAATTTGCCTTTCATTTTTCTTTTTAAGTGGAATAGAAAGCTAATTCTAAAATAAGCTTATGATGATTATTATTTGTTAAACATTACAGACCAAAATAGATGGCAACAAATGCGCATAGTGTAATTCCCAGTCGACTCTGGGAATTGTATATTTTCATTCATTGTTTTTGTTGCCTTCGCTGTGTTGGTTGTGCATTTATAAAGATTTTCTCTTGGCTTTCGCTTCTGCCTTTTATGCGACGACTTTAGCTCCCATAATTCCGGCAGCTTAGCTGACTTTATATGGGTTGTATAATATTTAGCTAGTTATTATTCAGTCTAATGTTTGCCATTACTCAACGCTGCCGGCTTTTAAGTTAACCAGAGAACAGAGAACGTTAAGCGAAACGTTGTCCTGTATTTGTATGTAGTATTCCATACTGATTTGCATGTCATTCAGCTCTTCGCACCAGGAGCAGGATGATTTGCTAATTACTCGCACTTGTGTGGTGCCCATGTCTGAGGCAGAAGTTCAAATTGCTTGCAAAAACTAATTAGTAAAGTAGACAGCAAAAAAGGCAACAAATGTGCTTTCGTTTTGGACCCCTGTTTTCAATTCGATTTAAATATGTGGAAATGCAAACAACAACAGCAGCTGTTGCTGGAGTTGTTGGGGGTGAGCGGATTAGGAGCAGATGTTCATCTAAGCTCATAAGTGGAGTGCCAGGACATGTTTTTTAAGCTTTATTGAAATTCCAGCTGAGGCATTTGTTGGCTAAAAAGAGGAAAGTCAGATAAATTCTATTAAATTTTCTTTTTTGCAAAGAATTTCGGCTCTAATTGCAATACTGGCCAGACATATTAAATGCCAATGCCGTTAGTCGCTTGCATTGCCATCAAGAGAATTTTTATGTTTTTTTTTGTGTATTTTCTCCTCGCTGTTGACATACACCAATTGATGCATTTTAGAGAAAATACGTCGACAAAGTTAAGAGCTCAGAAAAATGTTACGTAATTCGGAAATTATACTGAATTTAAGAAAAATATTTTGAGCATTTAAGCTACACATCTGCAATGATATAGCTATTAATTAAAATCTAAACTACAAGAAGCCTTAAAAATTTAATACTTTATTTTTGACTCTTAACGACCAGTTTCCCATGGCTTACGTAAAAAATTTTATTCTATGATTATGTGACAAATACCTGATGACTATTGTGTCCTATTGTTGTTTACAATACACATAAAAAATAATTCCGTAGATTCTTCACTTGGTATCAGGTTTTTAATGCAGACTACAGGATGAAATTAAATTATACTTCATATATTTTATATTATGGTGCTTAAAAGTTGTACCCAATCTTTTATGAGTCACAGAGCGCAGTTGGCATAATAATTTCAGATTATATACGCGCCGAGCAACCAGCACCTCTTGCAAGTTGAGAAAAACTTTGCAATTTGCTCAGCAACAACAAGTAAACAATAAAAGTTGATGCTTACTGGCTTTGGGAACAATCGACTAAAGAATTTTTCTTTTTTTTTTTTCTGCATTTGTTACTCGATTTTTATTTATTTTTTGGCAACCAACAAATAAAGAAAACTCGCAAATAAAACGCTTATTGTATTGTGATACTCTTGCGGCAAATAAATGCGTTCATAGGGTATCATATAGATTGAAGAATCTTTTGTCACAGAAAGCAAAAGTAAGTAGTCCCAATAACCTTCAAATTAGTTAAGGATCAATTGGCGTTTAAACATGAGATATTTATAATAATAAAACATCGTCAATATATTATATGCGAATATATTGAAACACGTTATTTTAGCAAAGATTTTTCTTTTATGATATTCGTAAGGGAAACACCAAAGTTACATTCCATGCTAAGAGTTGGGAATTTAATATAAGTTTGTGAGTTTCCCAAGTCAATCACTTCAATTTTAGCAGCATTCTTACTTGATTTTCTGGAATTTCTGTTACAGTTACAATTTATTTCAAATGCAGCGTACAATGACACGCCCCTAAGCGCCCCCACAAGTGATAACAATTTGGAATTTATATGCAGCAAGAACCACAGACATTTGAATTTAGCCTTTCTGCTGACAACAATTTGTTGTACAGCGTTTTTATAGTTTTGCGTATTTGCGTTAAACCAAAAAAGCAGATGAAAATGAATTGTATCTCGATTTGGTTAAAAGCGTTCATGCATTCTTGCCCCCTTCTATTTCAAACATTCAACATTTTACTTTACTTCAACTCAACTGTAATTTTACTTGTACTTTTACTTTTACTGGCTGTGCATTTCATGCTCGATTTGCTGACAGGGTTTCTTATTTAGTTTATTTTTTCCCTCATCGTAATCTTTGCATTCTTTGGTTGAAAATATCCAACAAAATACCAAAGTAAATCTTTGCATATCGTGTTTGTATATTGATTTCGCCCCCAAACTCATCATTAACTCGGTCACAGTTAAATGAGCTGCCTGCTTTGGGGAATTGTGTGCATGTGCCTGGCATTTCTAAGCGCAGCCTTAAGCGTTGACAAGATGGGGGTTTGTAATAAACAAGCTCCGACATGATTTTAACTTATTTACATAAATTATTGTAAATATCTTTTGTCAAAATCCAGCAAAAATTTTGCCAATTATATGTGCATATTTCTCGACCCTCAGTGTGTAGATTTAAGTTTTACTAAAAGCAGCTGAGGACATTTACATACATCATACATAAAGTGTTCCATCTGTGCAAAGTCGTAAAACAATATTAAAAGCTAAAAAAAAAACAAAACAAAAGATTTCAAAAACAAAAACACGAGTATAGAAAAACACTTTGATAGAGCAGGAAATACCTTAGGTTTATGTTTGATATAGCAGAAATTCAAGGAATTTACCATATAAATAAAGAAGAATTTAGAGTTGTGATACATTTTAGATTAGTGAATAAATTACGAGATTTGTAAATTCATTTAACAATATATAAATATATAATATATATAAAATATATAAAAATAAAAGTAAATTGAAGGATAAATTGGAGAATGTGCATACATCACTGAACAATTTGTGAAGGTTATTTTTAAGGCCGCACATCTAATATAATATTCTTTTCATTTTGTAAAATATTGTTTAATTTGGAAAACAGCCAATTGGCAGAACAGCAATTTGTAAATATCAAGAGTTCAAACCCGGGTCAATGCTTAATTTACTCAGCAACTCAAGTAAAATTTACTCAGCGCTGGCTAACTTAAAATATATGCAACTTTGTGCGTGGTATACAAAAAATGTACTTACTTGAAATGAGGCTGTGAACGCCGAGATGACTTGGTATGTATACTCCCAGGGATGCCCCTGGGCAGGACGAAATGGCGTTAGCATATACTGGAGGCCAAGCAGCGGCACCAGCAGCAGCGTTGCCCTGTAAAACACAACGGGGATTCACAGAGCAAATGAGAGAGAGAGAGACATGTACAAAACGAGAGAGAGAGAGAGAGAGAGAGAGAGAGAGAGAGAGAGCGAGCAAGCGAGTAGGCAAGAGACGGTTGACAGTATAATAATACTTATACTTATGTATAATTCGTTGTCGACGAACGTATTAAAATGCAAGCCAACGTCGCGTATGCGTAATTTTAAATTTAAAATGAAGCAAAACGAAACTTACGAGACGAATAATACATTAAATAAAAGCTGAGTAAAAACAAGTTTATTACGCATATGCCCCGCGGGCCAGTGCCCTTTTGTGTGGGTGTATTTGTGTGTGCTTGGCCTACCCAAGTTACATATTATTATTGAATTGAAGTCTTTTAAGTTAAGGCGCTCGCTTTGTATTCTCTTAACGTGGGTCAACTTACCGAAACGCCTGGAGGACGGTGCGAGATGGTCCGCAGCTGCCCTGAATACTGGCCGGGGCTTTTAGCTTAAGCAGGACGACGCGTACAATGTTGCAGAGGAATAATAAATTGAGGAATATTGAAATGCAGACGGGCACTATCAGAATGTAGTTGAAGTCGGTATCATTCATCCAGCAGCTGCAGCGAGAAAGAGACGCAGACAGAGAGAGATAAAGAGGGAGAGAGTGAGAGAGAGATAGTGAGAGCTTTATACGGGTTTTGTCATCTAATGAATTGCAAACGAGCTGGTTTCACAATTGATTCGATTTTAGTTTGCCAATCATCCTGCATATATACGTGTGTACAAACAATTTAGAACACACACACATACACACATGATGACATCATGCACATGCACTTACTGTAGATTCTCCTCCCGGCTGCCAGAGAGTCCGCGAGCCAGTCCATATATGCATATGACAATGGCTGGGGAGCACCAGCCAAAGGCTATCAGCCATTTGACCAGTTTATTCTCCGATATGAAAGCGGACACCAGCACCGTATGCAGGTAAAAGCCCTCGCACAGCATCCACGAATAGTTCGTCAGCAGAAAATAGTGTAGTATAATGTGCAGTGCCACGCAATAGCCCTGAAATAAATCAATTTGTGAGTTGAGTGTGTTGCGAACGTGCATGTGTGTGTGTGTGTGTGTGTGTGTGTGTTATCCTGCGCGTTGGTTGCTTTGTGTTTGCTTACCGGACTGAGCTGCACAAGCTCCGAGTTTGGCACCACCACCATATACCAAATCAGCCACAGCGAACTGTTTGCCGCAAATGAACTAAAAAGATTCATGTGCAACGTGATTCGGGCGCACTTGAGGGATCTGCGAATGAACGGCAAACGAACTTATTTGTAACTGAAAGGGTTAATTTATTTGTTCAAAAGTCAAAATTTATAATGCAATGGCTTCCACAAATTTCATCGAGATCGAATAGTAAACACCCAAGTTCTAGTCCAAAATCAATTCTCACGCTGATCTCTGTATGCATAGAGAGCTCTCTCGACTATAGCTTTCTTGTTCTTGTTCTTATAGCGTTATTCGAGTAGAGTCAGTTAAGAAAATTTCTCAGGTGCTTTGCTTAAATTTCTGAATATTCTTGTGCACAACCCTTTCAATATTTCTGTATATCCTTAAGTTTATTATTGATTATCCTTTGTTATACGTCAGTAAGTATTTTATATGTTTATTCTGCTTATATTTATTTCTGTAAACAGCTCTTAATATTTTTGGATATTAGCACTTCTGTTTAGGGATCTCTGCACCAATTGCACGGTATCCTTTTAGTAATGCTCCATGCATCAGAGTCCTATTTTTGATTTATTTGCTTTGCGGTTTCTCCAAATGAAAATTCATTTATTTGATTTCACAAATATTGGCATACATTTGGTAGCACGTAGATAAATTTCCCACGGCACACGGGCTGAATCAAGCGCAGGGGTTGTCTATGCAAGCGTTGTGGCAGGGGCAGGGGCAGGGGGGCGGGATCGGGGGCATGGCTGTGTGAAAAGTTAATTTCAATGTCAACAGTGACCGCACGTGCTCTCAGCTCAACTATTGAGGGGACGTAACTCCGACAGTTCATATTTGCTTCTGCCTGGTGCAGTTGTGAAATTTTTGACAGTTGGCAAAAGAACAAGCTGCATATTAATGAAATCATGTCGGGTCGAATCAAATGAATGCATGTCATGCAAATTGGGTACAGCTCTACTTTATTTGGCTTGCTCAGAACAGGCTATGCTATGATTGCAATGGTTTTCTTTTTTATTGCGTTTATATATAAAATGGGATGGTCGTTAAGAATCAAAGCACACAAATATTGGAATTCCAGCAGTTCATTTAAGCTTTACTTAAGTAGTAAGTTGCCAGACTGAAAACCTTTTCCAATTCCAAACCCTAAAGAGATCACTTGTTGATATGCAATCGGTTGTAGAGCGTATTTAATTATCACACAAATAACAACAGTTGGGAACGAAGTGATACGTCAAATAGAAAACTCTCATCTCATTTATCATGGTTATCTTATTTGCCGCTGCACACAGCTTAAAATTGTTCCACAGTCTCCCTTTCTGATGGGTTTTCAGGCGGCCTGTCGGCCTGTCTGACTGTCTGCCTGTCTCTCGGAGCTGATAATAAACAAGCCAAGAGCACTAATTGTGCTGCAGACAAGTGGAAATTAATCGATATCCTGCTTGAAGAAGACACACAATCTAATACTCAGTTGACGTGCGACATAGCTGAGGAGAGGAGGAGCGAGAAGAGCAAGACAAATGGGGGAAGGGATGGGGGGAGGCAGAGGTGGACGGCGGGATAAGAAAGCAAATATTTTCTCATTTCCGACGTGGAGTGTGGCGGATTAAATGGGTGCAATGGTACGAGTAAGTGGGAGTGCAATGAACAGAAAGAAACACGCTGACACACACACACTCACACACACACTGGCACACACACACACATACACACAGGTTGGCAGTCGATTAGAGCATTTGGCATCTTTGTTTAACAATAAAGTTCGGCGCCAAGCGCACATCGTCATAACGCCAAATGGCAAATGTGTCTCATTAGCCTCGAGTGGTTTTCCATTTGCCAATTTGTGTCGCAGAGCAGAAGCCGAAGAAGAAGATGGATCATACGTCAAGAGCACAATATTAAATAACTACTCTTAATGAAGACTGCAGCTAATTAATGCAGTGGGTGGTTGACAACAAACTCACTTGAAGTAGCCCAAGATGGACAGCGATAGGAGAATGGCCAGCAGGGAGATGGTGTAGCCCACCTCATATATCAGGTTTACATTGTGATTGCGCTGCAATATACAAAATACGAGGAGAATCATCTGTAGTATAATGTAATTAAATTTAATTAGTTGCCACTTACCGCCAAATCATCTAAATTCACGCAGGTGGTGTAATTCGACCAGGTTTTGTTGTTAAATGGATGTTTGAACCATTCGCCATCTTCGCCGCACTCCTTGTGCGCATATCCTGTAAATTATAATTTTGTATTTTAGAGCATACAATTTGCTGATATTCATAATTGCTGAAATGCACCCAATTTCCATACTCATAAGTCTATTATACATATCAGATTACACAAAATGAATTAATTTTTGATTAGTTCTGACGATAAATTGCATTTACTACTAACTGAAGCGTTAATTGCTTATTCGCCATATGATCCATTTGACCACATCTAATAGCCAGGATGTGCCAAATTAACTGTGTGTAATATTTATTTATTTATTTATTACATTAACATGCGGCGTTGCATGTTTTATAATTGACTTGTGCCCGGTATGAACAATAATTTAAATTTGTCTAGTAAAAGGAGCTATAAATGAACTTATACAGTTAGTTGAGCATTAGTTACTTAAAGTGGGCTAAAAGGAAGTCATTTTAACTTTTCAAAATGTGCATAAACAGAATATAAAGCATACTAATAATGTCCTAAATAAGCTGTTAACACAACTTTAAATTGAAATTGGCCATAAGAACCTATAAAGTTTACAAATTTACAAGTGCTACATGTGAAATGCTTGAACTGAATTGAGTTATGCAATTTTCGTGTTATTGTTAAACTGTTATCCAACTTGTTAAAACCACCGATTGTGAGACATTTGCAGCGACAAAAAACTATTTTTGGGGCCATTGAATTGAGTTTTTGGTCAATGGAGCAGGAAACGAGTTCAGATGTTAGTGTCGTTTGGAATTTAACAGGTGAAGTTTTACAGTGTCCTCGCTGTCTTTCTGTCTGTCTTTTCTTGTTATTGCCGTCAGGCACGCAGTGCCAAGAAATCACGTATACGCTGTGTGTGGCCAATAAGTCGACAGAGAGACAAGACTGCTGCTACACTGAGCAAACCTTATTTTTTTTAGCTGCTAAAAATTTGTAATATTCTTTTATCGTTTAAGGGCCCTGATGAGACAAATAGTTTTCAAATGGTGTATGTGCTAGTTTGGTCTCATAGACGAAGCGTGTTATATTTGTGTTCAGTGTACGGCTGCTGGTGCTGGCAGTGTTAACCACATCCGCCAAGCGGAAGTGCCATAAAAGTTAATGGCAGCACAGTGCAAAGCACATAATCTTGTACAAGTTACAAGCTGGCGACCCCGAGGCGCGGCAGCAGTCTCTGCTTAGCCCACAGACTAACGCTGTGAGCCAAAAAAAAAAAAAAAACACACAAAAAAAAATACACTCATAAGCCAAATGTAGTGAAAGCAACATTTGCTTATTGTTATTCACACCCCGACCCCGACCCCAAATTGCACCTCCTCCTAGTGGCAGGCGCCTTGTCATATTTCCCATGTTTATTTTTTTTCTCTTTTTGATACAAGCCGCACACAGAAAATGTCATTCAACTCGTGTATGGGCGTGGCAGTTTTTGTTTTATGCAAAATTGTCATGCCACATGACTTATGCCAAAAATTGCCTCACAACATAAATATGATTATTTTATGGCTAGCTCTTTGTTCTTCTATCAATTTTTTTTTGCTGTTTGTTTCTTTGTTTTTGGTTTGTTTTTTTTTTTTTTGCATATTTTGTTATTGATGTTTTTTCTTGCATAAGCAATTGGCTTCATTTTGCATAATTCATCATTCTTATTGTTTCCAAATTGTGCAAACAAAACCGACAAACAAAAAGTTCGCCAGCTAAAAACAGCAAATACGTTTCGTTAATTTATTCCTCCTAAAGTGCTCGAAATACCTATCTAATTATGTGGAGTCGTGGCACTCATTAAAGTTTGCGGAATTTGTTTTTGATAGCGTGAAATGTTTACTTTTGTTTTTACAAAAATGTTTTCAAATGTTGCGTTTTTGTTTTAGCTGCGAGCGTAAATTATGTGAAGATCTTAATTTGAATAGATAAATAAATGATGAGTGTGGCAGACGAGATAATGTATAGAGTATAAAATACCGGAGATGTTTAATTAACAGAGTTGATAATAATTGAAGCATTATTTTTCATTGGATACTTTGTTTGTTGCTAACTTTCCATTATAAACGGGATCTATTGTTTAGTGACCGATTTTTATAAATTAAATCTGTTTTTCGTTGCTCCAGTTCCAGTGCCTAATATTTTTTAAATACTCCGGTATATTTCAAAATATAATATATAAACAATATTATATGCTAATAAAATTGTTCATCTATGCTTGAATGACGATATTTCTTGGCCGAGTGTGTTCTCGTCAGTCTATTGTAGAACAACATGACTTGCAAACTTGTAAAACGAATTTGTAGATACTTTGAAAACTTCGATAATGCTCAGCAATGCGATGTTGTTGTTTAATAAAACTTCACAACGAAACTTCAGTTATTGATTTCCAGCCAACAGAACAAATAAACCGCGGTAGCTTCAAAAACTCAGAGGCACGTGAGTTCGAGAAGAAGAAGAAAAAACCAAATAAGCAGCTGCTGCCAAGGTGCGGAAAAGCCGCTGCTTTATGCCTGAGCACACACCATTATATATATACACACACACACACACACACACAGATTATGTTCACGTGTACTTAAAATCAAAGCTGAGCAAAAAACGATAAAAAAAATTGATTTGTCAGCGTTTTTTAATAACAGCTTAAAAATGAAAAAAATAATAAAAAAAAAACATGATTTAAATTTGCATAACTCAACAGAAGGGCAGCGGAAACGGAACTGTGGCCTCAGAGTGGCTTACACCAGGGGATGCGGCCAATTAGCAGACTCCACCTGGTTTGCGGTATATTTATACATGTGTGAATATGCATATATGTATATCTAAATGTTTGTGTGTGTGGGTGTATTGCCTGCGGTGCTGTGGGTCTGCGGCGCCTTAATGAAGGCTGCATAGCAGCGTTTCCGTTTCCGTTGTAATCCTGTGTCTGACATTTGACTGCGTTGCTTATGTATATTATAAATTCATTTTGAGTATTTGATATTCGGCTCTTGGTGCTCGATTTGGACTGTTTGTCGCAGACCTGGCATGTTTAGCACCCAAAAGAAAAAAACAAAAATAAAATGGCCAAAAAACGGATGTTGCCCTTATGGAATTCAATAGAGAACAAAATTGCGGCACTTACGCGCCGGATCAAAGCCGGTGATGAAGTCCGGGCACAGTTCATAGGCGGATGTGCCGGCGGCCGTGTCGGGCCAGCAGAGCCACCCATCAAAGGTGCCGGCGCAGTAGGAACCTAAACGATATTATATTGATTAACAATTGAATTGAATGGTATTTGATATTCAAAGCGAGCAAGTTACAACTCAAGTTGGCTTACCTGCCACATGGTGGCTGCTATTCAAACGCGCATCGCAAGCGATTCGCAATGCATCAAAATCCGGTCCACTTTCGGCAGCGATGTTGGTGCTGCTGCTGCCACCGCTGCTGTTGCTACTTTCAGCCATTACTTGACTGCGGCATTCAAACCAAATTCCTGCAAATCGACGCAAAAATTATGCAATTAGTTTTGGCTGGCTTTCAATTTGCGAGAAAATGAAAAGGCCATTAGTCAGCGCTTAAGTCATGGCAATGCTTTTATAAATCCCCCCCACACACTTACATAGCAGCTCTGCACACATATGCATATGCAAATGTTAATATTTGAGTGTGTCTGTGTGCGTTTGCTACTTCGGCTTCAGTGCGTTGTGTGTGCATCTTTTTCTGTTTTACAGTTCGTTTGAGAATTGAATTTAATTGGTTTTGCGGCCAATTCAATGGGAATACGAGTTGAGCACAGTAGTTGTTGTATATGTTTTTGTAAATGTTGTGTGGGCTTAATGCATGCACAATTTATTCATTTCTGTATTTTAATGCTAATTTCCATATTCAGCGACACAGTCAATAAATTTAATTCACTCGCCTAAAAGTATGCAATGAAATTTAATTTCGAAATGTTTATGGAAACATGAAAGCCACAAATTTAAAAAATTTAAGTTTTATTTGCAATGAATCCGGTTTTCAGTGGCAGTCTTTTCAAATTTAGTAATTTATTTAATTTTGCGACAATTTGTATATATTATTTTTAGTGGAAACTCTGTGCAGTCCAAGTACACTAAAATCACTAAATCTTTGCATATTCGCAAATATGTATTATGGCACATAATTTTGCATATAGGATTCATATATTTATTATATGAGCTTACACAAATGTACATATAGGATTCATAAATTTATTTTTATATAATACAGACCGTATCGTATTAACCGCAACAACTTGTGGTGGTTTCATTTTTTGTTTAAAAATTGCAAAATCTGCATTTTCTGTTTTTTTAATCAGATATGTCTCTGACAGCTTGCCATTTAAATTATTTCGTCGAGATGGTGCCATATGTTCGTTTATATGCTAACACAGGGAGCGAGAAGTCTCTGGCAAAAATCGTTCAAGACTTTTAAATTCATTTATTTATATAAACAAAATCCTAGAAATTTTATTCGATTGGTGACAACTTTCATAAAATTCCGTTCACATAACACAATTGTCAGCTGTGGAATTTAATTTCACTTGCATATTGTTCAGAAATATGCAACTAGCCAACATGATAAAAGTTTGTCCCACTGAGAACTCTCTGCAGAGCATTCTCTGTGCCGTGCTGGGCAAATATTTGCAGCACAAAACCTGCTCTGTGCTGGTGTTGGAGTGCTCGATACAGCTCCCGGTGCGTTTAGACAGATAAGAGCAGCAATAACAGTAAAAGCAGCAGCTGGTAGCGGATCAAATAACCCGAAAGAAAGCAAATCAATGATTGCAACGGCTACCATCAAAAAGCACTGATTTTAAAGCAGTGGGCGTGGCTGAAAAGATAGAGTTGAGATGGAATAAATGCCAGAATTATCTGGTGCTTTTACACTTTGTATACTTCCATACATGAGTGCATACACACACCTGGTTGCTGGTTTTTTTATTGTTTAGTTAAATTGCAGAGTGCACTTAGAGTAACAGCTCGAATATGTGAAAGGTAGTAAATTGTTGAATATAGAAACTGGGCGGGGTGGAATATTTGTTAAGAAGCAAGGGCTTGGATAATGGGAAATGCTGTTGCATTTGTATGCTTAGCACTCGATATGCATAAGACTTGAAGCGTTTTACAGCTGTTGCTTTTGCTGCGATAAGGATAGCATTGCATGTTTATGTATTTATTATTCGTAGTACGCACCGTCGCAGCCAAAGCTGAGCCGACAAATTTGGTTATTAACTGGCATTAGTCATAAAAGTGTTGGCAATTTGTTGAGGGCTGGATGCGGACTGGTCTACACGTCAGGCTGGTAACACTTAAATTTTACGAGTCCAAGGCGACAAACTGAAGACACTTTGCGACGCAGTGAAAGAGGCTAAAGTTGATTTTGGGGTTGGGCCAAGCAGTTGGCCAATAGAGTGGGGACTAAAGAGGTGTGCTACTTTAAGAGACCATTAGGCGGGCTGCTTGCCAATATTAATCTAAAAGTTGAGCTATTGATGGAAGCATACGTTAGATGCCTGCACAATATATCGTAGCATATTTTTTGGGGCACTCACTTTTCGAGGCGTTTACGAGTCTGGGCGAGAGAAGAGAGAAGAGAGAGAGAGAGAGAGGTGGCCTGGCGGGTGGGCGTGCCAGATCGTTGTGTGCTAATAAAAATATTTTTACGAGTGTACGCAGGCCGCTCGCAAGGCAATAACAGAAATTAGCAATAAAAAATGCCAAGGCTTGAGTGTGTGGGAAGGCGGCTCATCAGCTCAAAGCACATAGCTAAAATTGCGTGTATGTGTTGCAAAATGCGGGGGACGGTTGATGCGGCAAATCCACACATAAAACAGCAAATGTATGAGTATTTCGGTTTGTGTTACATTTGTCGGGATTCTATTTATATTCTGTGCAAGACCCCCCCACCACCTCCCCACCAAAACTTTTACAGTTCACGTCGCATAGTTGAAAACAGTGTTGAAAATCTTTCTATGTGCCACACAAGGCAAATTGCAGCACATATTAAAAAGGTGGGGAGGCACATAAAATTCGTTGGCCTTTGACCTGCATGCCACGCATGCCAGCCATCTATGGTATGTTTTCTTTTTTGCTCCCTACTTTTATGACAACCTCGCGCATTTTCACTATATGCCCACGTGACGTATGAGTAATGAAAATTCTCGCATTTAACTTTGGTTTCTTTGATGGGCGTGCGAGTGTGTAATCTGCGTGTGTTATTTTCAATTCGTTGGCTGTCAAAACTTTTGATATCAATGTATAGTTTATGGCAAGTTTTTCAACAGTTCGAGTGTTTTTCATTTAGAAATAAATCACTTTCATTTACAATTTATTAGGTACATAAATAATAAATGCTCGGCCCTGAGTTTCCTTTGCTTTTCACAGAAGCATTGCCATTATTTTTTATATGTACAAGAAATACGTAAGCTTCCATAAATAAACAATAGAGCGCTTTTTACGCCTCCATTAAATGCAATTAAAAATACCATTAATTTCAGTTCTTGTATGTTTTTCAACACGCATAAAATCTTGTATACATATATGAATGTTAAGCTTTTCGATCTGTGGCCAACAAAAGACAAAATACATTTTTTATTTACCCTACACTTCGCTGTATATTTGTTTATTTAATGTAGCTAATGTTCCAATAGTCAAATAATAATAATTTTAAAAATATATTCAAAATATTTAAAATTAATAATAATTATATATAAAATATGTGGGTACTCAAATATGAAATGCTCCAGCATTTGATAGAGAAACGCAGACAAAATCCAATCAGAAAAAAAAGTTAAAATACTAGAGTTTAGTAATATGCATAAGTTGATCTATATTATTAACTTATGTTGGAAGATAGATGTTAATTAACAACGAAATATTTATGAGAAGAAACCAAATTGGGGTACAATTGCAAACGAATATTTGGATCATAGCTAAAAGAAATAAAAACGAGTTTTTACTGAATGGTCTCAACTCGATTCTGGTCGTTTTAATATAAAGCGAACCGTTTTAGAGTTAGCAATTAAGTATTTATATATATGTAATTAATTTTTGTCAAGTCGTAAGTTTCTTCTCTGGCTTAAAGTTTAAGTTAAAAGGTTAAAGGTATTTAATGTACGACGTTTACAGGAATTGTAATTTTTCTTGTTTATTTGCGCACATTTCTTTTGATGCAAGCTTTTATTCCATTTAAATGGATTGAAACAACTGGGATTCAACCCTGGGATTTGTCCAGTAAAAATATTACAGAGGCAACAATTTACGCATTTTTCTTCGCATTGTTTGTTTCTGTAGCTCAGCATTGCACACAGAATTTTGAGCTGAGAATAATCAAACTCAGTTTTCAGTTTATGCGCGGCATCAAAAGATTAAACTGCATTTATAATACTGTTAAAACAAAGTTGAATTCAAAATAAGAGAAATCTTTTTAATTTTGACAAGTAATTTGATATATTATTCAGTATTTTTCGAGTAAAACAATAATTGATATTCTATTAAATTTTATTGAGAGGAAAGATAATAGCAAAACACATTTATTTTATTTTCTACCGAATAAGAGGAGTTAGTTGAACTAAATTGTTTGTTATCGAAGTTTAAGTAAATTGATTATCGAAGTAACTCTTTGAATTTAAATTTTCTTTTCAACTTAAATTCAACACTCATAAATCTCTGAGCCGCATTTGCAAAGAAGCTACCATTATGACGCAAACGCCGCATTCAAAAAAAAAAAAAGAAAACGCTGGTTATTTTTATCCAGCCGTATATCATAAAATATACGCATGCTTAAGTTTACATTCTCAATGTCGTTTAAATGTGATTCTCAGCTGTCTGTTGCCATGGCAAAGTATTTGTATCATTTGAAAGCGTGGTGCTGATTTATATGGTTGTATATTTGGAGGGCACACAAAGTTGTTAATATATCACTTTAAATGCGAGCAGTAAATATGAATCAGCTCCGATACTAGCCACAGGACATGTCTATATGTGCAACAGTCGCTTCCATCCATTGTCACAGCCACAATATGCTCCTTATCCATATGTCTAAATGTGTCCGGAGCGCACTCGAGGATTACGCCTGACGAGACAACTGAAGCATGCCCGGAGCAAATAGCTCGACTAGCTGGTCTGCCAAAATTGTTCAAAATCTGTTATTCTTTGCTGCAATTTATTTACTTAGCACATGTCTTTTATTTTGGTTTAGTTTTTTATTTTTATTATTATATATTTAGCTTGCTTTCTCCCTTGTTAAGAACTACGTTAAGAACTTAAGTGGCATAATTTATAAAGATGCTTACGAGCTGCTCGAGCAACTCAACGTCGAAGTTTTACTGCGTTAAAGGTCAAAGCTGCGGCCTTTAAGCTAAACTATTCAACGTTGCATTGCTCAAAGGCAGCCTCGTTGCCGGTTGCAAGCATCGTGCATGATGCATAGTGCAGGTTTCAGGGTGTAAGCTGCAGGCTGTATGCGGGGCAG